ACTATTCACCACCACCTCTCCCCCTTCCCCAAGTATCCCTTATGACCCCAGAATGTTCGTTTCTGTGCCCCCCCCCCCTGTCCATGGCCAGTAAGTAATCTATGTGTATATATCTGTATAAAACCAGATGCAGGCATAGACATTGACAAGGTGAGGGGATTTAAATATAAAAATAGTCTTGTTTTTGGCTCCGACTTATATATTTTGGCACTGTTTAACGAAGCCGGTTTAAGGAATGAGAGGCAGAAATAATTCCTAGAAATAAGATGGCCTCATCGCGATAGCCGCGACCCCTTTGTCTTTATCCTTCCACAATCGGCAGATAAGAGTGGCTCTGGCATACCAGAATGAGATGGCCTGTCTTTACCGTAATCAAGATATGGTACCTAACCGCAGTTATTTTGGTTTTATAACGGGGATATTGCTCGAGCTTGAATAACAAATAAAAGGCATGTTCTTATTTCTGTATTCTGACCTTTGATTGTGTATTAAGTTGAGCTGCACGCCAAACGTTAAGATTGTTAAAACGCTGAAAATAAAACTTTATTCCTCTCAATTTACATAAAAAATGAAACAGATTAGATTCGAATCTCAGTCACACCAGCACCACTGGTCAAAGGAAGTACAAATATCTATATTAATCAAATGTCTGAGAATTTGATAACTGTCTTGGATCCAATGTTAATTTTATTGAAGCAAACTAAGAAAAGATGAATTTTAAACGTTTAGAGGGAAAAGTCAAATATGCATTGTAACCCTAAAAATAATTCATTAAAGTGTCGTACACATTTTATAACATTTATATAAATAAAACAAATAAAGCACAACCCTAATGCCCTATAATGAATTCATATCGGTGCTAAACGGCCCTTGCAATAAAAACGCATCGAAGCAGGGAATGCTTGGAAAATTCTTCCGAGACTGACTTTTGTTATTTCAAAATTGAAATATGCCTAATTCCTATGAACACGCGATCTTTTTCCCTGGGTTTTACTCTATTTTAGATTTACTAGAAAAATGTTTATATGATGATTGCGTTTGGTTCTCACGAGGTCATTGAAACATTCAGTCGTAAAAATTTAGAGATCAAAAGACTAATTAGGCACCTGATTGCGGAAGTTTGATTGCATTTCGATCGCCGGGATTTTACAAACGTATTGTTTAAGTAGCGATCGTGTTCTTGGGATCTTGATAACTTCCTATTTTAAGTTTTGGGTTGAAAGTAGTGAGTATGTCGGACTTTCTCAAGTCCACATAATGAAACAATATCCCTTTATATTAGTCAAATCGGAATTTGCATAAACATACCAGTTTTATATTGCAAAAAGAACTGTAATTAATAGCCTACATAAAAGCATCATGATAAATAAAACATTAAAGCATATATAAAGCCTATTGTTATCGCACCCGTCGCACCCCCCCCCCCCCTCCTGGCTACTCCTATGGATATTTTGGCAACTTTCACGTTTACCCCGCCCCCTTATAATTCTTGCGCCCCCTCTAAATATCAGACCCGTCAGGCGTTGAGGCATGGATCAGGATACCCTGACTCCCAAGCTGTGCGACTTCTGGCAACCGCTACACCTATATTCCCGGGTCAAATATGGTCGTGTGTGGGCAAACACGGAGGAGGAGGAGAGGGGTGCGTGCATTGTGTGCGACCCTTCATCAGTTGTGTACCTTATTTTTGTATGAATTTCTTCCGAATAGTTATGCTAGAGGGGTTCTGATATTTATTTCTGTTTTCAAATGAAATAATTTCACCCTTGCCCGACTGACTTGTAGATAATGCACGAATCAAATAGCATGGAGATCAGATAATCAGATTGATTCGTATTTTCGCAATCAGATGAATTAACTTATTGTTTTCTCTGATTAAAAGGCGGTTTGAAGCTATTTTTACAGGATTTGTAAATTCGCAATCAGACTAGCTTATTTTAATTTTTAGTCAGTGCAAGAGGAGGGGACTATAATGTAGAAAATTGTTTTGATTTCTACACTAACTGAATAATTTATCACAATTGTTAAATAAGCAAACAGAAACAGGTTTAAAAATGAGAATAGAGGCAAAAAAGTCTATACATAAAATGTAATTAAAACCCGGGAATTAAAAGCAATTTTAGACTGTTAGATGATCTCTTCTGTAATCAAGGTGATGTTGGTACACTTCCGCCGTTAGAAAAACAAAGACTAAGACAAAGACTGCAATTAATCCTTTTGTAATCATTAAATGTTAGATTCTTATTATTTTGTTGGACAATGTTCAGACTTCTGACCAAGATTAAATCATTTATGTTTGTATTTAAAAATAGTATTTCAATCAGACATACGTTCTAATGAGTTAGAAAAATACATTTGTCCATTTCCTCTCAAGAAGTTTTCAAAGGTAATCAAGTCGATTTGTTTGAGTGTTTAGCATTGTTTTTCATAACTTTACGCTTCCATGAACAGAATGACTTTGAAATGAGTTTTTATAATTTTAGCTTTTACACGGACATGCTTATTGTATATTTCTATATGAACGTTGTAGTTATGTGATGTAACATCGCCCCCCCCCCCCCCCCCCAATTACAGGTATACAAATTTTGGTCGGAATGCATTAACTTGCAATTAAAAGCAATTTTAGACTGTTAGTTGTTCTCTTATGTAATCTAGGTGATGTTGGTACACTTCCGCATTTAAGAAAACAAAGACTAAAACAAAGAGAACTAAGCAATTAATCCTTTTGTTATCATTAAATGTTAGATTCTCATTTTTTATTGGACAATATTAAGACTTCTGTCTCCGATTGTTATGCAGGTATGTGTATAAAATCATGTGAACAACATTATCGTGGAAACTCCCATATTCATTCTCATAATGTCTTACAGCTATTTCGCAAATGACATAATCCTAAACAACATATGGAAATAATAGTGCAGAACTGAGCGAAAAGAATGGTGGAACAAATCAGATTAAGATATTTTATTTTTGAAATGCACTAAGGGCAACAGTTGAAGAACAAAAGTTAAAGGCGTTGTGAAATAGATCGTGCTTTTATATGATCCCCTTCTATAGTACCCTACCCTTTGCATTCGTTCGACTTCACTTCTCTAATGAGAGTTTCGTCTTCTGGTAGTTTATAATTAGACTCTGCACGCAGCATAATAGTTCCCCTATTATCCATGTTCATGTTCTCATTTGATTTTTCATCAGTTATGACTTGGAAATGGTAACATTTGCTCCGATTTTCATTACGGCGCCCGGCCGATTGAGTATTTTGTTCAGAATTGAATACAATTTTGAACAAAATACTCATCGGCCGGGCGCCGGTGCTGAAAATCTGAGCAAATGTGACCACGGCATTATAAAAGCATACTCTTTAATACACGAACAGATGCAAAATGAGACTTTATCTATCAGAGAAATAAAAATGGAAAATTTGTATTCTGAAAATATTAACTGATGCATTGGTTTGTATTAAATATTAAGTTTTACAGTCGGAAACCTCAAGGGGCGGGAAATTTGATTAAACAAAACGCCGGATTAATATGTGGACAACTTGCAAATGAAATGTAAGTAACATGACAGAACGAGTATGTACGCCCAATAAATACTTTTATAGTTTTAATGTGCATTCAAAGGACCCCGTTTGTAAAATTGATAGAAATGAATAGTTTTATTACCGGAAAAAACTGAGAAATATCTACCCGATTCGCCAGAATAGCCATCATCATATCAGTGCGAAAAATTAGCTATATTTATTTTCTATGCGATATACACCTGATATTGATAGCCTTCCACGATCATGGTCCGTTGACATCATCAACCTTGTGATTTGCCATAAGTGATTAACCAACATTTTAAAACAATTAAAAGTCGGGGTTGACGTTTCTTGACTTTTCACACTGACATCCAAACAAAACATAATTTGAAAATAAAAGGCATAAAATGGCCATTAAAAGTACATTTTTGAACAAAAGTATCAACTTATATTACACTGCACGCAAATACAAAGTGAAAAGAACGTCTTCCCGGAGCGATTGAAATACGGATCGATAAGTCAACAAATCTAACTGTTAAATAAACAAGCTTAGCCAATGTCTGCGATTGTTTGTCTGAGTGGCCAGATGTTATCCGTTTCGGATAATAAATTTCTGAGAATACTACTGATATCTAGAATACATCTTCCGTGATATTTTTCATAAAACTACCCTTTGCATTCGTTTGACTTCACTTCTTAAAAGAGAGCTTCGTCTTAGTGTAGTTTAACTAGACTCTGCACGCAGGGTATCGTAAAACAGGCATCTTAGCTGCAATTTTGAATAATAGCGTAATTCATAGCACAATATAAATTAACCCGCCTCTGTTTAATTCAAATATGCATTACCCTTAAGAATCATATACTTAGACACCTTTTCATTCTTGATTCGAATTTTTATCTTGTCTTCATCTAAATTTGTGGATTAATAACAGTTTTAAGTATACAAATTGAACATACAAAATGTAGCGTATTGATTACACGTTACAGTGGCGTAGCCAGCTTTCAGTCGGGGGGAGGGGGGGGGGGGGGGGTGCGATCGTGGCATAAAAAATGTTTTTGAAGATTTGTTTTGAATTTTACAAAAATTGGTGCAACTTCGTTCAAAATCGAGCTAGAAGCTTCAAATAAAAAGCATTTTAAGACTTTTTTCTTCTATCTAATGGTTCTATTTTCATTGGTTATGGAGGGGGGGGTGCGATCGCACACATCGCATCCCCCTGGCTACGCCTATGCGCTATATTAATATAACAAGGTTATCATATCATGCCAATAGTTATATGGTTAACTAATATTAACACAAAATAATAATACACGATAATTAAAAAAATAAACTTCGGTATTCGGGCCTAAAATCCAAGGATACGTGTACCATTACTTAAGTGTAAGCTGCAATACCATATCGAATACCTGTACCATTACTCAATAATAACCACTAGTAAGACCATAATAACAAGCTTAATAACTAGCTTATCGCTAGTTATTCCATACGATTTTGTCTTGTGGTGCTGTTAATGTAGTTCTTGACATCTAGACTGAAGTTGACAATATTCACTGCTGAGTTGTTCCCAGTGCTATGTGGCAATGCAATCACCCATACACACATTGTAGCATTAGAGATGGGCAGGGAAGGTGTTCTCCAATTAAAAGTGATTTATAAGATATGTACCTTGTGCTGTTAATGTAGTTCTTGACATCTAGACTGAAGTTGACAATATTCACTGCTGAGTTGTTCCCAGTACTATGTGGCAATGCAATCACCCATACACACATTGTAGCATTGGAGAGGCGGGCAGGGAAGGTGTTCTCCAATTAAAAGTGATTTATAAGATATGTAATGTACCTTGTGCTGTTAATGTAGTTCTTGACATCTAGACTGAAGTTGACAATATTCACTGCTGAGTTGTTCCCAGTGCTATGTGGCAATGCTATCACCCACACACACATTGTAGCATTAGGGAGAGGGGCAGGGAAGGTGTTCTCCAATTAAAAGTGATTTATAAGATATGTAATGTACCTTGTGCTGTTAATGTAGTTCTTGACATCTAGACTGAAGTTGACAATATTCACTGCGGAGTTGTTCCCAGTGCTATGTGGCAATGCTATCACCCACACACACATTGTAGCATTAGGGAGATGGGCAGGGAAGGTGTTCTCCAATTAAAAGTGATTTATAAGATATGTAATGTACCTTGTGCTGTTAATGTAGTTCTTGACATCTAGACTGAAGTTGACAATATTCACTGCGGAGTTGTTCCCAGTGCTATGTGGCAATGCTATCACCCACACACAGATTGTAGCATTAGGGAGAGGGGCAGGGAAGGTGTTCTCCAATTAAAAGTGATTTATAAGATATGTAATGTACCTTGTGCTGTTAATGTAGTTCTTGACATCTAGACTGAAGTTGACAATATTCACTGCGGAGTTGTTCCCAGTGCTATGTGGCAATGCTATCACCCACACACACATTGTAGCATTAGAGAGAGGGGCAGGGAAGGTGTTCTCCAATTAAAAGTGATTTATAAGATATGTACCTTGTGCTGTTAATGTAGTTCTTGACATCTAGACTGAAGTTGACAATATTCACTGCGGAGTTGTTCCCAGTGCTATGTGGCAATGCAATCACCCACACACACATTGTAACATTAGGGAGGCGGGCAGGGAAGGTGTTCTCCAATTAAAAGTGATTTATAAGATATGTAATGTACCTTGTGCTGTTAATGTAGTTCTTGACATCTAGACTGAAGTTGACAATATTCACTGCGGAGTTGTTCCCAGTGCTATGTGGCAATGCTATCACCCACACACACATTGTAGCATTAGGGAGATGGGCAGGGAAGGTGTTCTCCAATTAAAAGTGATTTATAAGATATGTAATGTACCTTGTGCTGTTAATGTAGTTCTTGACATCTAGACTGAAGTTGACAATATTCACTGCGGAGTTGTTCCCAGTGCTATGTGGCAATGCTATCACCCACACACACATTGTAACATTAGGGAGGCGGGCAGGGAAGGTGTTCTCCAATTAAAAGTGATTTATAAGATATGTAATGTACCTTGTGCTGTTAATGTAGTTCTTGACATCTAGACTGAAGTTGACAATATTCACTGCTGAGTTGTTCCCAGTGCTATGTGGCAATGCTATCACCCACACACAGATTGTAGCATTAGGGAGAGGGGCAGGGAAGCCTGGGGAGGAGATTGTCTTAGAACTGCTAAGATTTGTCAACAGACCACCACAATCTGGAAATAATAAAAATGAAAAAAAACGATATTGGTATTTTCTATATAATAATTTTACATTGAGCATCTCTGTTACTCCAAACATTGTTTAAGAAGCACTGTGCTAATAAAAAAGGACTCTGCTTGGAAGCAAGTACTTGATGTAAGACTTTAAGTGAACTTTTATTACTAATTATATGTACCTATGTTCTCGTAACTCAGCTTAAAACCAGATCCAATGTCTTTTAAGGAATTCTGGGCACTGGACGAGAAGCTCAACACCAAACTTTCATTTGTTGTTCCTATTATATCATACAGAGTGTCATTCCCTCTAAATGATCCAACCAACTGTCTTGTACCATTCATCATCTTGGATATGTAAACTGGATGCTGATTGGCTGTGTGAAACGCATCAAATGTTATGTGGACCAGTTTACTGTTCAGAGGGGTGATAGACCAGGAACAGTCCATATTGTAGGGGTAGAGGTTTGGGAAACCCGGGCTGAGAATAGTTCCCTTTGTTGAATTGTAGTTTCCTCCACATCCTGAAAATTTTTAAGTATATCATATACATGCATAGAGGATATCCTATGATTTATGAGTGATATGATTTTTATCCACGAATGGATATGATATCTGCACGAGCGAGCGTAGCAATTGCAAAAGCTCACCATGTGAGCTAAAAATACCGTTTTTATTAAAGAGTTATTTTTCCAAAAATAATGAAATTGTTCAAAATATAAATAAAACATAGCATATACATGTAGGCTATAGGCCTATTGTAGAATAAACTCATCAACAACATGTATTGTTTTCTGACTAAGTATTAAGTGTTCAATATAGTGGACTGAACAATGAAAATCCCCCCCGACCAACAATATCCTCGAAATTTGAACACCTGCCAATTTGAACACTTTTGGCTGGTCCCATGGGTGTTCGGATTAGACAGGTTTTACTGTAGATATAGTTGAAAGCCCATGATCTTGTCCAGGGTTTGTAGTCATATAGGCAACCCTTGAACCTTATTTTTATATTATAGTGTACTAACCTGGTAGTGTACTAACCTGGTACAATTCTATATGTGATTGTAAATATGTCCATAGACTGAGATTCATCTTGTTCAGGGTTTGTAGTCATATAGGCAACCCTTGAACCTTATTTTTAGATTATAGTGTACTAACCTGGTACAATTCTATATGTGACTGTAAATATGTCCATAGACTGAGATTCATCTTGTCCAGGGTTTGTAGTCATATAGGCAACCCTTGAACCTTATTTTTATATTATAGTGTACTAACCTGGTAGTGTACTAACCTGGTGCAATTCTATATGTGATTGTAAATATGGCCATAGACTGAGATTCATCTTGTTCAGGGTTTGTAGTCATATAGGCAACCCTTGAACCTTATTTTTAGATTATAGTGTACTAACCTGGTACAATTCTATATGTGACTGTAAATATGTCCATAGACTGAGATTCATCTTGTCCAGGGTTTGTAGTCATATAGGCAACCCTTGAACCTTATTTTTAGATTATAGTGTACTAACCTTAACAATTCTATATGTGACTGTAAATATGTCCATAGACTGAGATTCATCTTGTCCAGGGTTTGTAGTCATATAGGCAACCATTGAACCTTATTTTTAGATTATAGTGTACTAACCTGGTACAATTCTATATGTGACTGTAAATATGACCATAGACTGAGATTCATCTTGTCCAGGGTTTGTAGTCATATAGGCAACCCTTGAACCTTATTTTTAGATTATAGTGTACTAACCTGGTACAATTCTATATGTGATTGTAAATATGTCCATAGACTGAGATTCATCTTGTTCAGGGTTTGTAGTCATATAGGCAACCCTTGAACCTTATTTTTAGATTATAGTGTACTAACCTGGTACAATTCTATATGTAACTGTAAATATGTCCATAGACTGAGATTCATCTTGTCCAGGGTTTGTAGTCATATAGGCAACCCTTGAACCTTATTTTTAGATTGTAGTGTACTAACCTGGTACAATTCTATATGTGACTGTAAATATGTCCATAGACTGAGATTCATCTTGTCCAGGGTTTGTAGTCATATAGGCAACCCTTGAACCTTATTTTTAGATTATAGTGTACTAACCTGGTACAATTCTATATGTGACTGTAAATATGTCCATAGACTGAGATTCATCTTGTCCAGGGTTTGTAGTCATGTAAGCAACCCTTAAGAGAAAAGGATATTGTCAAGGGTTGAAGCCCTGGACTCAATGCATTGTGTGCTCAATCATTCCGCTTTGAGGTCTTGTTTTCAAATTTTTGCATGATCACACAGCGGGAAAGCAAAGATTAGGAAACAATGCCTGAGTGGAATGAATAAGACACAATGCATCAAGTCTTGGGCTTAAATTCTTTTCACACATTGCAAAATATTTTATACAATATCACTTAAAAGATATGAAATTACTTATTGATTGTAAAATTGTTTTCTGTGAATCACATCAAAATTAAAATCTGTACACAATTTCTACAACATATTGAAGTAAGTCACATGCTAAATGAGTACCCAGTTTTTTGTTACACAACACATGGTTTATCCTGTACTTCTAAGAACAATACAAAGCGTCCCATTTTTTATTGCCCACCCAGTAGAAAATAAAATTCCCAACATTTCCGCCTACCTTATGCCTTTATTTGGCCTCACATATATGGGTGGAAATGTTTGTACAAATGCAGTTAATGCCACAATTCTAGTTGATTGGTCAGACAGTCCTTCAAATATGGTCACAGTTGCATTGGGCTCCAAATTTAAGTTTATGATTTCTAATGATATTAGATCTGAAATATGAAGACATAAGTGATGTACATATACCCTCCTTTTAACCAATGCTTCATTACCCTGCGCGCAGTCTAGTTATAAACTACCCGCTGCCTAGTATAGACTATATAACAGTTTAGCAGCCCCACCCGGCGACCAGTGCCTGTGACAACCCGGGTCATAAATCATTTCAAACCTACCACGCTGACCTTTTCTCAACCAATCAGCGAACTGGAAGGAGCACGTGCTAAATGCAAGCTCATTAGCTCCACGATAGTGTCAGAAAATATGATCATATATAGAAAGTCATCCATTTTATCCACGAACTCTGACTGGCTCAGTGATAGAGATTTATTGTAAACTGAATGACAACTTAAAGCTCTCTTTTAAGTAGTGAAGTTGAACGAATGTAAAAGGTACATGTAATGCTTCATTCACTAATGACTAACTAACATTCATTAATAATAGTGAACATGAATCAATGAGAGGCAGGAGTTTTGAAATTAATTGTTTTAGTTAAATAAAGTCACCTGTTATATTGATTGGTTGAATCAGCAATGTGGATTGGTTCATCTGTACAGAATTCTTCATAATAACTGAGCCACTGCTTCCAAATGCATTCACATGGCTTCCTATAAAATAATAATAATAATAAACACAGGTATAAAGTTTTGATAAATTTAAAGAGGGCAGCACTGGACAGAGTCGGAGAAAAGATTATACAGTGGCTGAACACCAATGGCCCATTTACATGTAAAAGTAATATTGTTTGGAATGGCAGATACAAAAACCTCATTAATTAATTTCATAAAGCCATCAACAATTGCTTATCTAAATAGGTACTGTACTTCGGTAAATTTCGACGCTATAAATTTTGCGGCTATTTAATTTCGCAGATTTGAATTGATGACATTTCGCGGATTGCACAAGTTGAATTTTTTTCCGATTAGGCCTACCGTGAATCAATGCGTATCTGGCTATTTTAGCCCGTTCAGAATCCGAATAATGTTTGTATTTCCCACGTTTAGGGGAATATTCTTGAATGGCTTTTTCAACTTCAATTTGTAGGATATCATTGTCGTCAACAGTTCTTGCCTTTGTTGGCCTAATAAGCCAATTCAAAATGTTAGACATTATAGGCCTTTTTTGAATAATCGCCCAACAACACTGGACGAAACGTTTTACACCGAACAAAACATCAAAAGTCCTGGGTCAAATCCCAAGGGATTTAAAAGACAAATTTTGCGAAGATAAATGTTCGCGATTTTACTACATTCGCGAACAAAGCGAAATTAAATCGCACACGAACAATACACACTACTATACCCCCATACTGTATCCTGTATTCCTTTAAAAGAAGTACAGGCTACAGGGAAGTTGCAAATGGAGGACGTTTGTTTATTTCCATAGTTCTGAATGTTTACTAGATTTTACACATATTCTAAGTGTTCTACTATACATTGTATAGATTCATCGAGCAGTTTGCAACGTATTATTACCAGAAAAGCCCAATGGACAAAGATAGAGAATACCCGCTTCATTTGCAACTTAACCGTACCCTGTATCATTTTTAAATGTGGTCACGTGGTAGGGTAGTGTGCAATACCCAGAGAACAGTAATACTATTCATGAATGTTCAGTATAAATAGGAGACCACATTATAGTGCAAACCTTGTGAAATACATGTAGTTAGCCTGGATGTGTTGTCTCCCATAGAAATTCATACCTAACATAAGAGACCCAAACACCATTATAACATAAATAGGAGACTATACTGTAGGACAAACCTTGTGAAATACCTGTAAAGTAAGCCTGAATGTGTTGTCTCCCTTAGAAGTTCCTACCTAACATAAGAGGCCAAAACACCATTATAACATAAATAGGAGACTATACTGTAGGACAAACCTTGTGAAATAGCTGTAAAGTTAGCCTGAATGTGTTGTCTCCCATAGAAATTCATACCTAACATAAGAGGCCCAAACACCATTATAACATAAATAGGAGACTATACTGTAGGACAAACCTTGTGAAATAGCTGTAAAGTTAGCCTGAATGTGTTGTCTCCCATAGAAATTCATACCTAACATAAGAGGCCCAAACACCATTATAACATAAATAGGAGACTATACTGTAGGACAAACCTTGTGAAATACCTGTAAAGTAAGCCTGAATGTGTTGTCTCCCTTAGAAGTTCCTACCTAACATAAGAGGCCAAAACACCATTATAACATAAATAGGAGACTATACTGTAGGACAAACCTTGTGAAATAGCTGTAAAGTTAGCCTGAATGTGTTGTCTCCCATAGAAATTCATACCAAACATAAGAGGCCCAAACACCATTATAACATAAATAGGAGACTATACTGTAGGACAAACCTTGTGAAATAGCTGTAAAGTTAGCCTGAATGTGTTGTCTCCCATAGAAGTTCCTACCTAACATAAGAGGCCCAAACACCATTATAACATAAATAGGAGACTATACTGTAGGACAAACCTTGTGAAATAGCTGTAAAGTAAGCCTGAATGTGTTGTCTCCCATAGAAGTTCCTACCTAACATAAGAGGCCCAAACACCATTATAACATACATGTAAATAGGAGACTATACTGTAGGACAAACCTTGTGAAATAGCTGTAAAGTTAGCCTGAATGTGTTGTCTCCCATAGAAATTCATACCTAACATAAGAGGCCCAAACACCATTATAACATAAATAGGAGACTATACTGTAGGACAAACCTTGTGAAATAGCTGTAAAGTTAGCCTGAATGTGTTGTCTCCCATAGAAATTCATACCTAACATAAGAGGCCCAAACACCATTATAACATAAATAGGAGACTATACTGTAGGACAAACCTTGTGAAATACCTGTAAAGTAAGCCTGAATGTGTTGTCTCCCATAGAAGTTCCTACCTAACATAAGAGGCCCAAACACCATTATAACATAAATAGGAGACTATACTGTAGGACAAACCTTGTGAAATAGCTGTAAAGTAAGCCTGAATGTGTTGTCTCCCATAGAAGTTCCTACCTAACATAAGAGGCCCAAACACCATTATAACATACATGTAAATAGGAGACTATACTGTAGGACAAACCTTGTGAAATAGCTGTAAAGTTAGCCTGAATGTGTTGTCTCCCATAGAAATTCATACCTAACATAAGAGGCCAAAACACCATTATAACATAAATAGGAGACTATACTGTAGGACAAACCTTGTGAAATAGCTGTAAAGTTAGCCTGAATGTGTTGTCTCCCATAGAAATTCATACCTAACATAAGAGGCCCAAACACCATTATAACATAAATAGGAGACTATACTGTAGGACAAACCTTGTGAAATACCTGTAAAGTAAGCCTGAATGTGTTGTCTCCCATAGAAGTTCCTACCTAACATAAGAGGCCCAAACACCATTATAACATAAATAGGAGACTATACTGTAGGACAAACCTTGTGAAATAGCTGTAAAGTAAGCCTGAATGTGTTGTCTCCCATAGAAGTTCCTACCTAACATAAGAGGCCCAAACACCATTATAACATACATGTAAATAGGAGACTATACTGTAGGACAAACCTTGTGAAATAGCTGTAAAGTTAGCCTGAATGTGTTGTCTCCCATAGAAATTCATACCTAACATAAGAGGCCCAAACACCATTATAACATAAATAGGAGACTATACTGTAGGACAAACCTTGTGAAATAGCTGAAAAGTTAGCCTGAATGTGTTGTCTCCCATAGAAGTTCCTAAAGACCAGAAGCATCTTGTTGCTATTGGAGAACACATCCGTGAATGGGGCACCCAGTGATCTGTAAAATAGAGAATGGCTATACATGTAGTGAAAGGGCCGGTGTTAAAGGTAATTTGCTTTACAGTGTTGCTATTGGAGAACACATCCTTGAATGGGGAACCCAGTGATCTGTAAAATGGAGAATGGCTATCATTTTTTATTTATTTATTTTTTTTATTTTATTTACATTTATTTCAACATAACATATTTACAAAACAAATACATTCAAAAGCATACAAAAATACATGCAATTTCTACAAATACATAGAACATTTAAATATATAGAGCTTCACCAAAAAAAAACATATTTATGATATAAATTTTTTAATAAATTGATCTAAATAATGATTTACTTTTTCATTTTCATTTACACAGTTTGCGTAAATCTTTAAATTGGATGCAATTTTTGATTTGAAGTGGACATTTTCATATTTATTCCTTTCTTCCGACAATTTTACCCATGTCGAATACATTGTGTAACCTATAATAGTAAGTATTAAATTTCTAAATGCTATAATATCACTTTCCATGCAATAAAAACCCAGAATAAAATGTTTCCAGAGTATTTTACATTTCAATATTTTTTCCACATCCTTCCATAGTGTTTCTACTTGCTTACATTCAAAAATAAGATGTTTTGCATTTTGAATTATATTACATTTTGAACAATTTTGGTTAATATTAGAGTTCCATCTACATATCTCACTTCCACATGCTAAAATGTTGTGAAGTAATTTAAAGTTGAATTCAGCATACTTTTTGTATTTCATGCTTGTTATTTTCAAGGAATATATTTTATCATAAAACGTTTTATCATGAGGAATACTAAAGATATTACTCCAATATTTTTCTAAAACATTTCGTTCTTGTTTACTTTTTATCAATATATCATATAGCATATTTGTTTTCATCTCTTCTAATTTAATCCATTTATTATTTCCTAAAAGGAAAGTTTTCCTATATATTTTATGTTTGTATATTTTACTTTTGTAGTATCATACTTATTCATCACATTTGTTATACAGGCTTTTATAAGAATGTATTCTATCATCCAATTTCTTTTGTTAACAAGTTTGTTTTTTATATACTTTTCATTATAGAAGGTTCCATTTTCATCATAGAAATCTTTAACATATATAAATCCACTATATATCCATTTTATGTTGTGTACCACTTCATTTTTAATTTTAAAAGATTCATTTAGCCAAAATATTTCTCCTATTAGATTTTGATCTTTTCTAGTTCTACATTTATTAAAAGCTAAAAAGATTTCTCTATAAAACAATGGCATAGGCAGTTTTGTATCTTTGGTAAAATGTGTTTTTATAAAATCATCAATTTTTAAACCACACTATTTGATATAATATTTTGGAATATCAATCCATGATGTGTCATCATCTTGTATTCTTTTCACCCAACTTGCTTTTAATGACATTATCTTTGTTTCAACATCTATTAAGCCCAAACCACCATTTTTAATTTTTAATATTGTAGTTTTTCTTTTAATTCTATCTTTCTTCCAAATAAAATCGCTATCATGAAAGGGCCGGTGTTAAAGGTAATTTGCTTTGAATGACACAAAACTTAGAAATGACTCTAGAATATGATATGCAGAATATTTGGTAAGGTTGCCTATACATGAAAATAAGACTTTGTGTAGATTATATTTGCTCTACCATTTGATCTAAAACTGGAATTATTTGTTCTACATTGTACCTAAGTCCGTCTGCTAGGGGATGAACATATCTCTAATAGATATGCATTTTTAAGGTACATTGAAAAATAAACTTACGTGAAGTGCCCCACATGAAGGTCAGTGTCGCTACTTCCACTGTAGCAATCAACAGAAGCTGTAGGGAACATGAGTCTATCATCATCAAATGTCACATATACCTAAAAACATGTACATAAAAATAAAGCATTAATCAACATAATATTTAAAACCTAACATGAGCTTGCCAAAATTATGCTGTAAGGATATACACACCTGTTGGTTGTCTGGCACTTTCAACAAGTAGTACCAGGTATCATTTAAAATATCAATGATCTTAGGTGCAGAGGTTGTGCTCTTCCACATCCAGGATATAGTTCCACTGTCAGTGAACACACCACCATAAGGCTGTGTCCGAACTGTGATACTGAAACCTCTAGCTGTTCTCATACTGTCAGACTGGAAGTTGATCAGTAAACTGTTGTCTGTGCTCACCAGACCAGATCCTGAAGATTGAAATCATAAATACTCAGCACTACTTTTACAATTTTTCATTATTTAAATCCCATTGGATTAATCTAATCCTATCACTTTTAAAAAAAATTCTTATAACCATCTGCGTGAGAGGCAACGTCCTATGAGAAACACACAAAACTTTTTTATTTCATTTCAAACATCAAAGCTAAATGCGAGTTATCACTAAATGACACAAAATGTAGACTTTAAAATCTCTAACCTTTGTTTGATATTCCTGTGTCGTAAAAATAACTTCCTAATATGGGAGAAAGTTTGGATAAGCCATCATATAATGTTAATCTATCAGCGTTTGGCCCGATGTCAAAGTTGTCAATTGTGATACCCAATGATTGGTTGGCAGGCCCTGTGATTAGCCAATTACAATTGAGATTGTTTGTATAGTTGGCGTTAAATTCATAACCTGGGCTGGTAACTGTGATGGTATCTACAAGTTTTACAACTTTGGAACAACCTAGAAATATGCAAATATTCAAGTATAAACAGCAAAGTGAAATATACATTCAACTGGTAATATTTTGTTTCATTTATTTATTAACATATGAATGCAAATGACCACCTAAATTGTACCTTCAGTGCTTGGAGTGTAGGACATCACAAAGCTGTTATTTGGTTGTCCCATGGAGAGAGTTGTCTCAACCATTATGATCTGTGTAGATGATATGACATCAGCTGGACCTGACTTCTCTGTAATAAATGCAAAATATCACCACCTTGGTAAGTTGCAAATCATTGCAAAACCGTGACAATTTGTTAAAGGTACTAAACAAGGCATTACAAATAACATTTCTCAAGTGAGATTAAACTAATAACATTTTCATGTAATATGCCCTTCTGTGTGGGCTCTTGCATGAATTTAAAGGAACATGAAGGAAAGAGAGGGTAAAAAGGGTGCATCTTCAAAAGAACTTCTAAATACAGACCTGTAAAATTTCTTAAGAGTGGAGATTCAGTTGTCGGACCATCACGCACATCAACAAAGCCTTTCTTTAGTGAAAAGTCAGTGAATGACAGGACATTTAATGTATCAGGTAGTCCTAGTATTGTATATGTACATTGTAATGTCCCTGCATTTGAGTGGTACGGTGATCTAAATGAACCTGACCCTTCAACCAAGTTCTGCTTACATTCTGCAATAAGAAACAAACTAGTTTTAAATACCAGTTAATTTCTAGAACTACTTTAAGGTTTAACTCATGTTATTGTTAAAAATTCATGTAAGTAATTTTTGGAATGGATGAAATGGTAACAAAAAGTCAAAGGATAAAAAATTGTACACCATGCGTAGATAAAAATGATATCCACTAGAAGTGATGGGATATCCTGTTAATATGCATACTGCACATAGCATCCTGATTGTACTCAAATTTCAATATCCTGGGATGAGTGGTTAGGTTTAATCCTATTCTATTAACATGCATACATATCCATGACTACATACCATCCTGATTGTATTCAAATGCCAATGTCCTAGGATGAGTGGTTAGTGTTAATCCTATTCTATTAACATGCATACATATCCATGACTACATACCATCCTGATTGTATTCAAATGCCAATGTCCTAGGATGAGTGGTTAGTGTTAATCCTATTCTATTAACATGCATACATATCCATGACTACATACCATCCTGATTGTATTCAAATGCCAATGTCCTAGGATGAGTGGTTAGTGTTAATCCTATTCTATTAACATGCATACATATCCATGACTACATACCATCCTGATTGTATTCAAATGCCAATGTCCTATGATGAGTGGTTAGTGTTAATCCTATTCTATTAACATGCATACATATCCATGACTACATACCATCCTGATTGTATTCAAATGCCAATGTCCTATGATGAGTGGTTAGTGTTAATCCTATTCTATTAATATGCACACATATCCATGACTACATACCATCCTGATTGTATTCAAATGCCAATGTCCTATGATGAGTGGTTAGTGTTAATCCTATTCTATTGATATGCACACATATCATTGACTACATACCATCCTGATTGTACTCAAATTTCAATATCCTGGGATGAGTGGTTAGGTTTAATCCTATTCTATTAATATGCATAAATATCATTGACTACATACCATCCTGATTGTATTCAAATGCCAATGTCCTAGGATGAGTGGTAATGTTGTTGCTGCCAATCTTTAGAGAAATCACAGTCTGACTTGATGTCCCCACATACAAAAATGTATCTGAAATAATAGAAAAGTATCTGAAAATAATAGAAAAGTATCAGAAAAGGATAATATGTATCTGAAAAAAGGAATGTCCCAAAGCCAATACGATTCACACATAGATATCTGCAAAGATGGCAGTAGTAGCACAAGAATATCTGTAAAGATGGCAGTAGTAGCACAAGAATATCTGCAAAGATGGCAGTAGTAGCACAAGAATATCTGCAAAGATGGCAGTAGTAGCACAAGAATATCTGTAAAGATGGCAGTAGAAGCACAAGAATATCTGTAAAGATGGCAGTAGTAGCACAAGAATATCTGCAAAGATGGCAGTAGTAGCACAAGAATATCTGTAAAGATGGCAGTAGTAGCACAAGAATATCTGTAAAGATGGTAGTAGTAGCACAAGAATATATGTAAAGATGGCAGTAGTAGCACAAGAATATCTGTAAAGATGGTAGTAGTAGCACAAGAATATCTGTAAAGATGGCAGTAGTAGCACAAGAATATCTGTAAAGATGGCAGTAGTAGCACAAGAATATATGTTAAGATGGCAGTAGAAGCACAAGAATCCTCTTTAGCCTGTGGGTTAACATGTACAACTTGTACATAATCGTTGTACAAAGGATGACACATACTGTTTTCTTTTTTCTGTCACCATTAACAAATGATTTACATAAAAAACCTCCGATTATCAATTTGCCTCAGATATTCAAATAAAATATTGATTCAAAGTATAGATGGAGTTTATACATGTTTATCACAGCCTATTCAATTAAACATTAATTAATTGTTATGAAGCCATCCATAATACAAAGTGTACCTTGATCCCCAGTGAGATTCACATTCCCAGTGTTGTCCAGTATAACGAGGAAATCTTGTCCATGAATTAGGCTGACGTCTTTAAATGTAATATATACTTGGCCTTTCTTCAGCTTGCCCAAATCAAGGGTCCATGTGCATGTTGTATTAGGGGGGACATCAGAAATGCTTGCAGAGCCCTCTGTTTTGTTGAGGATGCCACCACATGATGGCGCTGTATTTAAGCATAAGAAATAGTACAGTATCATTAGAAACCCCCCCTTCATCATTCACAAAATATAGATACTCATAAACTGGACTGGCAATGTTTGTTTTCTCCAATCTTACATGTAAATGTAAGTCCAAGCAATAAAGTTTTTCTTCCATTCCTCTTCTGCAAACTAAATTGTAGGCCAAACAATGGATCCAACCTTTTTACAAGAGTTTGAGATCTACATTTACACATATACACTGTAGATGACTTTTCCATGAATAAGAGCAATTCAGAATACAAGATTTACTCCAGTTACAGAACAACAGAATAACATAAATGTTAACCTTGAAATGCAACAGAATACAAGATGTACAGTTACAGTAAAATAGAATAACATAAATGTTTACCTTGAAATGCAACAGAATACAAGATTTACAGTTACAGTAAAATAGAATAACATAAATGTTTACTTTGAAATGCAACAGAATACAAGATTTACAGTTACAGAGTAAAATAGAATAACATAAATGTTTACCTTGAAATGCAACAGAATACAAGATTTACAGTTACAGTAAAATAGAATAACATAAATGTTTACCTTGAAATGCAACAGCAAGATGTGTCAGGAATACTGAAATGAGAAACAATGTGCAAAATGTAAAATAGCTAAACATTTTAAGGATGACCAAGTGTAAAATTAGGACCATCCTAAGAGGACCATAACATTACTACAAGTACATATTATTAATGACCCATGCCAACCCAGAAGTGTAGCAATGCTGACAACTTAGTTACAGGCCTTAGTATTTCCCCTAATGCACCTTCTGGTCATTACATTGGTGGCAGATGTGGAATCAAAGCAATGGTTATATCTTTTGCACCACCCATGTGTGTGGTAAGTCACTGCTAGGGAAAGAAGGGTTCATCACAAGAGCATGGTCTTTTCAAGGGGGGGAGACATAGTGTAAGGACCCTTAATAGCAAGTTGCTACAAAGTACAGCCCAGTTCAAGTGGCTTAATAAGCCTTGATAGCCTTGTTGCTCAGTTGATAGAGCATCAGTCTTTGGATCCAAGTGTCTTAAGTTAAATTCCCACACTGAGCATTGGATTTAGCACAATTTCTTTCATTTCTGTAAGCTCGTTAGTTAGTCTTACCCCCAAGGCGCCCTCTATCGGGTCATTACAAGGTTAATATTTTTTGGCATGAGCATATAGCTTCTTAAATGTACCTCAAACTATTCTAACATTCATTTTTGCTAAGTTCTCCTTTGAGGACAAGTTTTGGCAATCTCAAATTGCGGAAATGAAAATTCAATATAATTCAAGGACCTCTGCCAGATACCTCTTCTTGGTGTCTAGGCTCAATGAATATTCTCCAGGACAAGACACAAATCTTTGGAAAATTTTTATTTCCTTGATTTTGGTTATCAATAAATTATAACATGTCATGCCTCAAACGATGCATACTGTTGTTAGCTCCATCTCCAATCACTAAAGCCACACATATATGAAAGTGTTTGTTGATAAAAGCACAAAATAGGTGAGCGTAATTTTAATATGGAGTGTTTCAGCTACATGTATTCCAGTGTTCAAATGTTATGTTTATTCCCAAAGTCGAATGTCTTTTCTGAGAGTGTAAAGCCACTCCAGATGACGTCACATCAGAGACATCGACATCGATTAAGATGGGGATATGAGCTGACACTCTGCAAATGTATGCAGTGTTTCATATAATTATACTGTAACAAATGCGCAACGTGTGTCACCATGATCATTGATTTACAAATATTGAATTACCAGGTCAGCTGTTACAATCACTCAAAGCCGGAATATAGAAAAGGCTTTGGACCTAAGTAACTTGAGAGATGGTAGAGATAAAGGTCAGTATGCAGGGCCGTCAGATGGGGGGGGGGGTGCGATGGGTGCAACCGCACCCCCCTTTGTTACCCCCCAAAATAAATTTGAAAAAAATTTGACTCAATCATTGACTCATACACTTTGAAAGTACCCAGAAAGCACCAAATAGCATCTTAAAATTGTAAAATTTTCTAGGGGTATTTGCCACCCCTCACACCCCCCACAAAACAATGGAAAAGTTCTAAATTTATTTTAGTGTTTTGTCCCAGACACTTTTAAAGTGCCCAGACATCATCAAATAGCTCTTTGATATAGTTGGTGTTTCTGGGGGACTTGCTCCCCCTCTTGCATCTTGCACTTGCATAACCCCCCCCTCTGGCGCCCCCCTTGACCCCCCCCCCCCTCTGGCGCCCCCCCTCTTGACCCCCCCCAAAAAAAAATTTTTGATTTTCTCAAATTCTTTAATTGACTCATACAATTTGAAAATGCCCAGAAAGCACCAAATAGCGTCGTAAAATTGTAAAATTTTCTAGGGGGAGTGGGCCACCCCTCACACCCCAAACAAAACAATGGAAAAGTTCTGAATTTGTTTTATGTATTGTCTCAGACACTTTTAAATTGCCCAGACATCATCAAATAGCTCCTTGATAAAGTTAATGATTCTGGAAGACTAACACTTACTCGCCCTCTGGCATCCCCACTCCCCCTCCCCATCTGGCAGCCCCCCCCCCCCTTAACACCCCCCCCCCCAAAAAAAAATTTGGGATGAGATTTTTCAAATTTTTTTATTGACTCATACATTTTGAAAGTGCCCAGAAAGCACCAAATAGCATCTTAAAATTGTAAAATTTTCTTGTGAAATATGCGCTTTTAGGCACAATCACTTTTAAAGTGCCCAAACTTCTAATGGAATAGCACCTTGGTATTGTAAGTTTTGATATGGGGGACAAACACTTGCTCCCCCTCTGACACCCCAGCCCCACCTCCCCCTCTGGCACCCCTCTCCCCCCTCTTTGACACCCCCAAAATTTGAAAAAATTGTGATTGTTTTTCAATGTTTTTATTAACTAATACCTTTAAAAGTGCCCAGAAGCACCAAAAATCATCTTTAAATTGTAAAATTTTCTAGGAGAGTTAGCTACCCCTTACATCCCCCACAAAACAAAATAAATATTCTGAATTTCATGTATTGTTTCAGACATTTTTTAAGTGCCCAGACATCATCAAATAGCACCTTGATATGGTCAATGTTTCTGGGGGACATCCCTTGCTCCCCTACTGGCACCCCAACCAACTTCACCCTCTCATCTTCTCTGACACCCCAAAAGAATTTGAAAAAAAATTCACATTTTTCTTATTGACTCATAACGCACAGGCATACCAGATGGTTCCAAATTCGCTCCAAATACAAGCAAATTTCAAAATTTTCCTGGGGGACAACCCCCAGACCCCCCTGAATGCTCGGTTTTTTATTCACACAACTCTTAATCTTGTGGTGGTGGCGTACTACTAACTTAGAAACTTACACTTTGAAAGTGCCCAGGAAGCACCAAATAGCATCTCAAAACTGTAAAATTTTCTAGGGGGAGTGGACCACTCCTCATACCCCCCACAAAACAATTGGAACGTTTGGATGTTGCATTTGTCAATTCCAAACCAATATAGGGAGTAACTGACCCCCCCCCCTCTGTCTTACGCGATTTGATTTACGCGGTAAAAAATTGACAATTTTATATTCTCTTTAGTAAGCTAAAAACCGCACCCCCCTTGGAGAAAAGTGTCTTACGGGCCTGGTATGGGGGTCATATTTTGGGATAGTCAAATAAATCCGACCGTCGAATGGTGGTTTTCTCATTTGGATATTTATTTTTTCTTGCATACTTTGGTCGTTTACACCCCCAAAATGCAATCTGATTTTCGACACCATTTCGGTGCCAAATTTCGGTGCCGTTTCGGCACCAAATGGACTGACTAGTCCGGTAGTAAATTTTGGTGTCGAAAGGTTTCGGTGCCGGAACCAGTGCCGTAACTAGGATTTTGATAGCAGGTACGCGAGGCCGAAGGCAGAGCAAAACAAGGGGGTCCGGGGACATCCACCTCTGAAAATTTTTGATTTTAGACCTTAAATGGTGCGTTCTGAGCGATATCAGATTGTGTAATTGGGAACTTCTACATCATTTAGGGTACGCAACTGCGTACCCTCGCGTATGCCTGGTTAAGGGCCTGGGAACGGTGCCGAAATGGTGTTGGAACAGCGCTGAATTTTTCCGATGCTGAACAACGCCGAATTATATTGGCTGTGTATGCCCAGAAAATGATAAAAAATAAATATCCATATGGATCTGGCTCCGGATCTGTGAAATAATTCATCAATTGATTTTCAAGAAATAGATCTAGGCTCGATATTTCCATAGATCCCGGCCAGATTCTTTTGTAGTAGGATCAGTAGCCTAGCTCAATGAATATTCCTCAAGATGAGACACCTCAGAAAATTTCAAATTTTAAAATGACGATTGTGTAGCCATTTCTAAAAAATATGAGACAAATCATACCTCATTCGAAGTGTCTTGGTTATTTTTAACTTTTTTATCACCAATGACCGTTATTCAAGCAATACTACGTTGATAAGAGGCCAAAACAGTGATAATTTATCGCCGGACTCTTGTCTGTCCAAATCTGAATGGTGCTCCCGTGATTCCAGAAATATGACGTCATCAGTACAATGATATTTGGACACACAAGAGTCTGGATCTCGTGAAAAATATTCGCCGTATTAAAAGTCAAATAACTGCATCCATAGGTTATTTACTCGAACCAAACAAGTATAAATAGAAAGATGAAGAACTCAGCTCTAAAATAAGTGCAAAATCTGTCACAGGGAAGCAGGTACCATTTTGTATAAGGAACGTTTTGAAAGGTGGTAACTTTTTTTTGAAATTTTCCAATTTAGTGACGCATGTTCTGTATTATTCTTTGAGTCTATGAGATCCTACTAAAAAACGATCTGGCCAATATCTGTGGTTATTTCAATTTTTTGAAAAATGAAATGAAACTGAAAATCTTACCGGAGATTAAAATAGAAAGCGTAGTCCCCTTCCCATCAAAATCCATAGCAATGGAATGTTTTCTAGGTCGAGCAGATGTTATATTTTATTCCGTTTACTATGTCTATTATTCAACATCAGTGTAAAAGGCAAAGCTCAAATCTGTGTATTTATGTAGAATTTGGGAAATTTTGACATGCCTCCAATTTGTTTGACCTTGAGATGGGCAGTGAATATGCGCAATGGGTTTTGATATTCAGATCAGGTTTTCTACATCAAATATCGACATCTAATACACAGAATTACATTTCAAAGCTACAATTGTATATAATTTATCTGCCAAAGAAAAATTGTATGATATTTAACATTGGTTACCTTCTAAAAAACAATCCAAACTTTTAGCTGAGGTCAACAAAGGTCAACCAATCAAATCAAAGTTGCGGCAGGTTCGAATTTTTTTGGAGAAAATAATTTTAGGTAAGGTTCGTTTTATATATTTTAGTCAGGTTCATGTGATATTGATACAAATAAAGATTAAATAATTTGTTATGACACAAATTTCTTCACATTTAGCTGTAATTGTGAACACAAAATCAACAGAATAGTGAAATCGAAGCAAATTGAAATTGAATCTATCTTTTCAATCCAAAAGGCAAAGACACACAAAAAGTCAAGAAATACAAGCTTGCTAAAGCTAAACTAAAGGCTACCGACTGAGCCTTGTATCCACGTACCCACGTACATCTTTGAAGGGTTCAATTTTTAAACGGACTGTCTCCCGTACCGACACATATCGGTACTGGAGACTGCCCAGTGAGTATTTGCTTGGGTACAATTGTCGTCACTCTATTGTCACCTAAACTTAGTTGGGCCAGATAGCACGGTGCGGTAGCCAAACTGCTTGCCTACTATGCACGCAGTTTGAAAGACTAACAAACTGCGCGCCTATCAACATTGCATCATAAAAGTTGGAGTCTGTGTTTTCAAACGTCATTTTAAGACATTTATTATGAATTTGTTTTTAATTCAACACGTCCATTCGGTGGCGATTATATGATTCAACCATGTGATAGCGAAATGCATGTCCAGATGAATGTAGGTTTAAAAATATAAGCAGATTAATACAAAAAATTGACATCGATTTTTCGATCACCGATACATAAGTTGATATCGCACGTTTCACAGAAATATAAAACACTTGGGTTTTGATTCACAGGTAAAGCTCAACCCAGTTTTCCCGTACAATACAAAATATTTCGTATTAAAACAGATGAACATGACAGAAAGAAGTAATAAAACACAAACTGCGCGCCTATTTTAGCCAGAAATCACAAACTGCGTGCCTACTCTTCCAAACTGCGTGCATATTATCGATGACTTCTCAGTAATGCAGGCCCATGTGATTTCATGGGAGTACGTAAGTAAGTTGAAAAGGTAGAGATTGAAAAGGTTCAAATAAATCAAAAACTAAAATTGGGTTGATGGTTGACAACCAGTGGAAATGTACATATTTATATTTTATTTTGTTCTTCTCTATATGATTTAATAAAAAATTGATGCAATAATTCGACTTCATCATATAGAGTTGAGTTCAAAAATCTCATGAAAATGGTTTTGTTCTATTGGGGTCCTACTAAAAGACACCCAGGTGGCCCCCGCCTAGTCCCCATCGAAGTGCCGAAGTGCCTATTTTACTACTTTATTTCAAACTAACATGGTGCATGATGCATGGTGCAACATAAATACAATTCGTTCATAAAAATTGTCTAAATATATTTTGAATCCTTTTTTATTTATATTTTTGATTGATGCAGTCCAAAAAGCCATTTCTTAGAATTCAATGAATTCCTCATTATAAAATGCTATAAAATTCACAGTTTTAGCAACATAAGTAAGAAAAAGATATTTACAACAATCTCACTCTTTCGACTTGAAACTTATTACCCATGTTACCATAAATAAGTGACCATGCATGCATGACGAGCAAAAATTCAGAAATTCAAAACTTTTTCACTTAAATCTTTGAATTTTTGGGGATACAATAGTTCCGAGTCTATTTTATAGCATACCAAAGGAAGTAATACTTGAATGTCCCGACTGCAGTACATGTATAGTATACTAGCCTGATAAATCCAAAGAAGGAAGGGTTGACACAATATACTATTTCTTTTAAGGTTTGAGAGGACATCGGGCAAGAGGTTTTCACAGTCTTTTAATGTTTTTGGTACCTTTAAATAATCGCCTCTTTGGTTTCTTGATTGGTTTCCTTTTCTTCATTGGTGCGTTTTAAAATAACATCTTGTTTAATTCTGAAGGGGGTGTCATGGTTTTTGAAGATGCGCCCTTGTTATCTACATTTTTGTTAGGGTCAGACTTTGGTTTCTTTTTATATAGGGACAGGTTTAGTGAGTGGCGTTTACGTTTTCTGAAAATACACAACAAACTTGCACACAGCTTGCAAATTAGGCGCCCAGTTTGTAAATATAGGCGCGCAGTTTGTAAATATTAGGCACGCAGTTTGTGAAATCCACGTGAAAGTATGCACGCAGTTTGACAGCGAAAAAAATAAAATCACGTTAATGGCTTGTCACTGTTTAACAAACAAACTATATTACTTAAACCATGTGCAGCAATCCTATATCTTTCAGAATATGCAAACACAAGGGCTGAATAAACGTCAAACTACGAAAAACAGACATTATATGACGCAACACTGTATAATTTTAACACGAAAGCTCCTTGGGAACCTTATTTTGAGATAACTAGATATGCATCGGGAAAAAAATCGAGTGCTACGTATGAATTAAGTTAGTCTCCACATCTTGGTACTGTCTGAAAACCAAAACTAGCCTAGTATTTCCAGTAATTTCCATCCTCTTGGGAGTCGTGTCCTCCCTGTCTGTCATTTTGTGAATAGGCGCGCAGTTTGTCAGTGTTCCAAACTGCGTGCATAGTAGGCGCGCAGTTTGCCTACCGCTCCGTGGATAGAGGACCGAGAAAATGTCGGTACGTAGTTACTGAACACAGCTGGCTCAAAAGCCAGCTGACACACCGTTAGAATATACCGGCGTGTGAAGCGTTTTTCCCCAACGAAGATAATTGAATATTACTTGCCCTTTTTTTAGCGCGTGGTGTCAACAAGTTCTATTTGTTGTGTAATTTGCAGTTAAATTGGAGAAATTCTGTTCCGGCGCGCACCATTCTTAATTTTTTGCGCATGCGCTCAATTTATTCTCTTCATTGCAATGCCAACGGAAGTTCCCAGAGCTGACTTCTGTCAGCTCGGAAGAGTAAGTACGTAGAGTCCATTTCACTGCTTCATTTCGTCAGTAGAACGGCAAAAATAAGAAATTGGGAGACCATTGTGCAATTATGGAAAAGTATATTCATAATGTACATGAATGACATTTGTATATTTCAGATTTTTTAGTTTTTTGTGCAATAAGCCTGTGCCGTCTTGTAATTTGAAGAATTTCAGCCATGTTAATCTTATTGAAAATAACATGGCAGAGAAGCATCCAAATATAAAAGGCCACACACTTTATAAGCCAAACTAGAAGCAATCCAAGATATACAAATGTCATTCATGTACAATAGGAATACAGTTTTCCATATATAATTGCAGAATGGTCTCCCAATTTCTTATTTTTGCCGTTCTACTGACGAAGTGAAGCAGTGAAATGGACTTTAAGTGGCCCCTATGTGGATTTTCTAGAGTGCCGACATTTTCAAAAATAAATCCACTACTTTCACTGTTATTTAATCGTTCACTGTTAGTCTAGTGGTTAGCGTCCCAAGCTGCTACGCACATGGTACTGAGTTCGAATCCCCCTAAGGATGTAATTCTTTATTTCTGTGTCTAGATTATACTTTTTGCTTCTTTCGCTGACCCAGTTTTTATTTCTTTTTATATCAGTAGTAGCTCAATAAATATTTTGAGCCATTGACGCAACAATGATCTGGCTTACCCTCAAAGGTTGGCTGGCTTACTAATTCATGTTTTCCCAATGTTTTTGCTATTTACCACCACAATACACGGATACTAATATTAAATCCATTCTCTAATAAAACTGCACTGAACGATGAATAACTGTGGATGATGATTTGCTATCTGGTTCCCATAGTTGAATGCTTGGGAGAGCGGTACACACAATAAGACAAAATTGTAATGCAATCTAAATGTGGCAATATAGTGACACCTTTAGACGACTTCCTCAGCAAATAAAAACTGATTTTAGTGTAGATTGCTTCTAGCTAACGAGCATTTCAGTTGCGCAATTTTGATGAAGGATCGCAATGAAAAAAAATTTGGCAATTCTGGGCTTATTTTATGACTAGACAAATGTTGGATCTATAAGACATACGTAAGCATACGAGTGCATTATAATGCATCTACAATTCAGCATAGATGGAAATCGAATAATTTTAATATTTTAAAATTGAACCCTTCAAAGACTATATTATGCCCTATGTATGTGGGTACGAGGTTTTTTATACAAAGAAAATAAGGGTAGGGAGTGCCATCGCACCCTCATTCGGAGACCTGTGAACTCCCCTTCTTTCATCTACAGATGAGGCTTCTCAAGTGGTATGTGACAAGGTGACCTGGCCTCTAAAACTGTGACTAAATGTGACTTTTGGGTATTTAAAAACGAACAAATGTGACAAATAAATTTTTTGCAAGTGACAATTTTGTACATTGATCTGACTGACAATGACGAGGGTTTTGAAAGTGACAAAAACAGACAATTCATTCTAAATGTAAATGGATTCAAGTAAAGGTGACTTATTCTGACCAGAAATCTTCAAGTTGAGAAATGGTGGTTAATGTTCCGTTGATTGTTAATAAAAAAAAGGTATGGTCAAGGTCTTTTGATCTCATCCCAGGAACTTTAATCAAATTGCAATGTTCAGTCATTGCTATAGTTCAATATTCCTTTTAAGCCCTGGAATAATTGCAGATGGAAATTGTTCACTTTTTCATTTTGTCTACATAATTTGTAAGCATACAGTCCAAGGCAATAGGAATGCACACTGTACAATTACCAGACTTTAAAAATAAGAAATACATACCAGTAACTTACCTCCCAATTATTTAGTATGCTTTCATACATTTAATAGTGTCATTTGTGTTTTTTCTCAAACATGATAAAAATCATTGACAAACTAGAATATCTTTCATGACAGACACAACAGGGAATGATATGATTGACATCCTGAATTAAATATTTTCAGAATCGTCATACTTCAAACAGTGATGCACAATATCTACAATGTCTAGCGCAATAAGAAAGAACAAGAGAATTCTCCCAGGAGTTCCTGGCAAGACAAACTTAGAAAATATTCACTCCCCGTCAGTGAATAAACCACGTGTCAAGTTCAATGAGGAGGTAATTGAGACGTCATTTGGGGGCACCCAGACCCCAACAAGAATCAAACCAGGGGCTCCTTTACAACAAAAATTACAGGATATCTCGGAAAATATACCAGATAACGACAATGAAGATATCGAAGACAGACGAAGTGTCTCAGAAATTGTGTCCATATTTGGCCAAACAAAACTGAATAAAGAGAGAAATGAAAGAGATGTAACATTAGTTAAAAAGCTGAACTCAGATATTACAAATGACTCTTCGACTCCAAAAACCAAAACAGCATCCAGGCACTCTATACCAGCTACAATGAAAACTCCAAGTAAAACTCCAACCAAGAGGTTAACTTGGGAGAAAATGGGCACTGGTACACCCGAATGTTTCAACCAAGTACAATTTGAGACACCACTTGCATTGGGTAAGTAAAATAGGTTAACTTGGGAGAAAATGAGCACTGGTACACCCGAATGTTTCAACCAAGTACAATTTGAGACACCACTTGCATTGGGTAAGTAAAATAGGTTAACTTGGGAGAAAATGAGCACTGGTACACCCGAATGTTTCAACCAAGTACAATTTGAGACACCACTTGCATTGGGTAAGTAAAATAGGTTAACTTGGGAGAAAATGAGCACTGGTACACCCGAATGTTTCAACCAAGTACAATTTGAGACACCACTTGCATTGGGTAAGTAAAATAGGTTAACTTGGGAGAAAATGAGCACTGGTACACCCGAATGTTTCAACCAAGTACAATTTGAGACACCACTTGCATTGAGTAAGTAAAATAAACTCAAGTTTTTTGAAACTGTACATTCATGAATAAGAGATTTGTATCAGTTGTAGGGTGTCCAGAAATTAGTTTTTTTCCCCGATCATTAAAGCACATTTGGGGTTTTATTCCTATGATTGATATGAGCTAATCTGCAAAATATTAGCCTCCAACTCTAATGGCTTCCTTTTTGGAATTGGACCTCAAAATTAAGAGTCAAAATCACATTTAGCAGGTTGTTTCATAATTTCCCTTGAGTCTATCGGAATGAGTTTCCCATGTGCTCAGTGGTGACACAGGTTGGTACAAGTCACCTGGTGCAATTTCACTCATACTCATTCCAACAAAGCTAGAAGCCTGATATTGCACATATCTAACAACCATATTACCACCGCATGTTGTGTGAAATAACTGGATATTGAGCTATATACTTTTGAATAATCGGGGACACAGAGTGGCCATTCTGTACCAGTGACAGGGGTTTGACTGAAAACAAATCATGGTAGGGGCCGGGGGAGGTCTAAACCTTGATCAATTTTAGTAAAATTACATCAGGAGACTTGTACCAACCTGTGTCACCACTGGGCACAGGGGCAACTCATTTTGATAGACTTGAGCAATCATGCAACACCCTGCTAAAATGTGATTTTGACCCATAATTTCAGATTTTGAGGTCCGATTCCAAAAAGGAAGCCATTGGAGTTGGAAGCTAATATTTTGCTGATGAGGTCATATCAATGAAAGGAATGAAACCCCAAATGTTCTGAATGATTAGAAAAAAAATCCTCATTTCTGGACACCCTTAATCAGTTGATTGTCTAATATGAAATGAATATGAAATGTTGATGGTGTTCAAAAAGTTTTTGGTAACTAAAACATATTTGTGTACATCAATAAATTGAATAAATACTGTGTGTTTGCCATTAAGTGTAGATTATCAGAATGTTGATTGGATTTAAATTTTGAAAAAAATTGGTTCAGTAAATATATTATTGATTCAACTGAGGATCTGAATTACACTTTTACTTCTATCTATAATTCACCATCGTGAGATATCACAGCCTTCTATCTATAATTCACCCCAATTCCCTGAAGCATGTTTTACTTCTATCTATAATTCACCCCAATTCCCTGAAGCATGTTTTACTTCTATTTATAATTCACCCCAATTCCCCGAAGTGTGTTTTACTTCTATCTATAATTCACCCCAATTCCCCGAGGCTTGTTTTACTTCTATCTATAATTCACCCCAATTCCCTGAAGTGTGTTTTACTTCTATCTATAATTCACCCCAATTCCCCAAAGTGTGTTTTACTTCTATCTATAATTCACCCCAATTCCCTGAAGTGTGTTTTACTTCTATCTATAATTCACCCCAATTCCCCAAAGTGTGTTTTACTTCTATCTATAATTCACTCCAATTCCCCGAAGTGTGTTTTACTTCTATCTATAATTCACCCCAATTCCCTGAAGCATGTTTTACTTCTATCTATAATTCACCCCAATTCCCCAAAGTGTGTTTTACTTCTATCTATAGTTCACCCCAATTCCCTGAAGCGTGCTTTACTTCTATCTATAATTCACCCCAATTCCCCGAAGTGTGTTTTACTTCTATCTATAGTTTACCCCAATTCCCCGAGGCTTGTTTTACTTCTATCTATAATTCACCCCAATTCCCCGAAGTGTGTTTTACTTCTATCTATAGTTCACCCCAATTCCCTGAAGCATGTTTTACTTCTATCTATAGTTCACCCCAATTTTCCGAAGTGTGTTTTACTTCTATCTATAATTCACCCAAATTCCCTGAAGCATGTTTTACTTCTATCTATAGTTCACCCCTATTCCCTGAAGCATGTTTTACTTCTATCTATAATTCACCCCAATTCCCTGAAGCGTGCTTTACTTCTACCTATAATTCACCCCAATACCCTGAAGCATGTTTTACTTCTATCTATAGTTCACCCCAATTCCCCGAAGCATGTTTTACTTCTATCTATAATTCACCCCAATTCCCTGAAGTGTGTTTTACTTCTATCTATAATTCACCCCAATTCCCCAAAGTGTGTTTTACTTCTATCTATAATTCACCCCAATTCCCTGAAGTGTGTTTTACTTCTATCTATAATTCACCCCAATTCCCCGAAGTGTGTTTTACTTCTATCTATAATTCACTCCAATTCCCCGAAGTGTGTTTTACTTCTATCTATAATTCACCCAAATTCTCTGAAGTGTGTTTTACTTCTATCTATAATTCACCCCAATTCCCCGAAGTGTGTTTTACTTCTATCTATAATTCACCCTAATTTTTTGAAGCATGTTTTACTTCTATCTATAGTTCACCCCAATTCCCTGAAGCGTGTTTTACTTCTATCTATTCTATAGTTCACCCCAATTCCCTGAAGCATGCTTTACTTCTATCTATAATTCATCCCAATTCCCCGAAGTGTGTTTTACTTCTATCTATAGTTCACCCCAATTCCCCAAAGTGTGTTTTACTTCTATCTATTCTATAGTTCACCCCAATTCCCTGAAGCATGCTTTACTTCTATCTATAATTCACCCCAATTCCCTGAAGCATGTTTTACTTCTATCTATAGTTCACCCCAATTCCCCAAAGTGTGTTTTACTTCTATCTATAATTCACTCCAATTCCCCGAAGTGTGTTTTACTTCTATCTATAATTCACCCCAATTCTCTGAAGTGTGTTTTACTTCTATCTATAATTCACCCCAATTCCCTGAAGTGTGTTTTACTTCTATCTATAATTCACCCCAATTCCCCGAAGTGTGTTTTACTTCTATCTATAATTCACCCCAATTCCCCAAAGTGTGTTTTACTTCTATCTATAATTCACTCCAATTCCCTGAAGTGTGTTTTACTTAAATTCACCCCAATTACCTGAAGCATGTTTTACTTCTATCTATAGTTCACCTCAATTCCCTGAAGCATGTTTTACTTCTATCTATAATTCACCCCAATTCCCCAAAATGTGTTTTACTTCTATCTATAATTCACTCCAATTCCCCGAAGTGTGTTTTACTTCTATCTATAATTCACCCCAATTCTCTGAAGCATGCTTTACTTCTATCTATACAGGGTGTCCGGAAAGTAAAGATACAAATGCTCTTATTTTAAGAAATTTGGGTTTTTTGAAATGAAATTGCTACAGATTGTAGAGAAACAATATTACAATATATCTACTAATTTTCATTACATATAGTCTAAATGTGTTTAAGTTACGGTTGTTATAGTTACAGATGTGAGGGGTATGCGGAGCAGTTCCAGAACAACGCTAAAAAGTGAAAAATTGCCAAAAGACAACCATTGAAACAGTGTTTTTTGTTGTATTTTCTATCTATGTTTTGTTTTGTTCATTATTATATTATTGCTGCCATAGTGTTTTCTTTCATATAATGATGTGATTACTACATATCAGAACTATGTTATGTCACTAACCAGTATAATGAAAGAAATATTATGCAAGTGCCTAGAAGAATGGTCCTTGGCCATTAGTAGGAAAGTCAATATTGCATCTCCACAATGCACCAATTCATTAAGCAAAAAACAAATCTTACAATGGAGTCTTGACATTAAACCCATATTCCCCTGATAAAGCCTCTTTAGACTTCTACCTTTAATGACCATTTGAAAGCAATATTTGTAAAAAATTCAAGATACAAATGAGACTCAGCTGGAAGCCAATGTTATCAGCAATCTGAGAGGTGGACAGCAGCGGTTTTGTCAAGTCTGAATAGCCTGTCAAGATGCATCAAGAATGTTTAGATAATGGGGAAAATACTGAATATTCAATGATAGTAGAAATATAAAATGATCAAATAATGTTACATTACTACTCCCTATGCTGTTGTGGTACATAATTTGATATAATATAGGAATAGAGAGTGGAGTGCCAAGATCATATGAGAAGGAAAGAGATTTGTAGAGCACAGTTGTGACGTTGCTCCACTTACCCTCGACTCTCGTTACCATAACAACCATAACTTTTTCATTTTCAAACTAAAAGTCATGATAGTTGTAGGATATATTCTTATAATGTTATTTTACAATCTGTAGCAATTTAATCTTATAACAAGTAAATCTCTTGAAATGAGAGCATTTGTATCTTTACTTTCCGGACACCCTGTAATTCACCCTAATTCTCTGAAGTGTGTTTTACTTCTATCTATAATTCACCCCAATTCCCTGAAGCGTGCTTTACTTCTATCTATAATTCACCCCAATTCTCTGAAGTGTGTTTTACTTCTATCTATAATTCACACCAATTCCCTGAAGCATGTTTTACTTCTATCTATAATTCACCCCAATTCCCCGAAGTGTGTTTTACTCTACTGAGCATAATCATTGTTACTAAACAAGTGTCTGCTTGTATTTTAGGTGGCTCTGTTAAATCGAAGCGTGGCAGTTCATGCATGGTAGATGACTATGACGGAGAAGATAGCTGCAGCATCACTGTTGCAGTTAGAGTGAGACCATTCAATGCCAGGTAGACTATTGTATCCTGTTGTTTTTCTTAAATTGAATTTGGTAGATAGTTACCATAATCAACAAAATAAATGTATTAATATATTGGAATCTCTGCAGAACTGAAATACTCTCTTTTAACCCTTTCCCGACGTGAATATAAGAGGAAAATGTTGGCCCTGGTGACGGATAAGTAAGAGCAGTTTTTAGGGGAAAACTGAAAATTACCTATGCCCAGGGACCTATACCTTAAATTTTATCACTGAAATACATTTTTTAGTAAGGACTATCGTATTAGAACAACTTGTCAAAATTTGGTGTAAAAATACTGAGTAGAATTGGAGAATTATCATTTCATTGATGTATATAAATAAAAATAATGGTGCCAAAAGGAGCCTATCGTCCTGAAAGGTATTACGTAATAGGGCTCCATATGGAGCCCATCGTTGTGAAAGGGTTAAGGTTAAAATTCCTCAGATAAATATTGCTTGTTCTAGGCAAATTTCCCAAAAAAGATCCCTTATGATTTACCTAGACCCTAGGCAGATGGATCCTGCAATTAAGTGTGTTGTTTCAATGGATGGCAACCAAACAACAGTAACAGCTGAGAATGGCTCTCACCATCACTTTGCATATGACTACTCTTTCTGGTCCTTTAAGCCTATTAATGGGGACTTTATATTGTTATTGTAGGGAACAGATGGACCCTTCAGTTAAATGTGTTGTTTCAATGGATGGCAACCAAACAACAGTAACAGCTGAGAATGGCTCTCACCATCACTTTGCATATGACTACTCTTTCTGGTCCTTTAAGCCTATTAATGGGGACTTTATATTGTTATTGTAGGGAACAGATGGACCCTTCAGTTAAATGTGTTGTTTCAATGGATGGCAACCAAACAACAGTAACAGCTGAGAATGGCTCTCACCATCACTTTGCATATGACTACTCTTTCTGGTCCTTTAAGCCTATTAATGGGGACTTTATATTGTTATTGTAGGGAACAGATGGACCCTTCAGTTAAATGTGTTGTTTCAATGGATGGCAACCAAACAACAGTAACAGCTGAGAATGGCTCTCACCATCACTTTGCATATGACTACTCTTTCTGGTCCTTTAAGCAGTATTAATGGGGACTTTATATTGTTATTATAGGGAACAGATGGACCCTGCAGTTAAGTGTGTTGTTTCAATGGATGGCAACCAAACAACAGTAACAGCTGAGAATGGCTCTCACCATCACTTTGCATATGACTACTCTTTCTGGTCCTTTAAGCCTATTAATGGGGACTTTATATTGTTATTGTAGGGAACAGATGGACCCTGCAGTTAAGTGTGTTGTTTCAATGGATGGCAACCAAACAACAGCAACAGCTGAGAATGGCTCTCACCATCACTTTGCATATAATGGATGGCAACCAAACAACAGTAACAGCTGAGAATGGCTCTAACCATCACTTTGCATATGACTACTCTTTCTGGTCCTTTAACCCTATTAATGGGGACTTTATATTGTTATTGTAGGGAACAGATGGATCCTGCAATTAAGTGTGTTGTTTCAATGGATGGCAACCAAACAACAGTAACAGCTGAGAATGGCTCTCACCATCACTTTGCATATGACTACTCTTTCTGGTCCTTTAAGCCTATTAATGGGGACTTTATATTGTTATTGTAGGGAACAGATGGATCCTGCAATTAAGTGTGTTGTTTCAATGGATGGCAACCAAACAACAGTAACAGCTGAGAGTGGCTCTAACCATCACTTTGCATATGACTACTCTTTCTGGTCCTTTAACCCTATAGTGGGGACTTTATATTGTTATTGTAGGGAACAGATGGATCCTGCAATTAAGTGTGTTGTTTCAATGGATGGCAACCAAACAACAGTAACAGCTGAGAATGGCTCTAACCATCACTTTGCATATGACTACTCTTTCTGGTCCTTTAACCCTATAGTGGGGACTTTATATTGTTATTGTAGGGAACAGATGGATCCTGCAATTAAGTGTGTTGTTTCAATGGATGGCAACCAAACAACAGTAACAGCTGAGAGTGGCTCTAACCATCACTTTGCATATGACTACTCTTTCTGGTCCTTTAAGCCTATTAATGGGGACTTTATATTGTTATTGTAGGGAACAGATGGATCCTGCAATTAAGTGTGTTGTTTCAATGGATGGCAACCAAACAACAGTAACAGCTGAGAATGGCTCTAACCATCACTTTGCATATGACTACTCTTTCTGGTCCTTTAACCCTATTAATGGGGACTTTATATTGTTATTGTAGGGAACAGATGGATCCTGCAATTAAGTGTGTTGTTTCAATGGATGGCAACCAAACAACAGTAACAGCTGAGAATGGCTCTAACCATCACTTTGCATATGACTACTCTTTCTGGTCCTTTAACCCTATTAATGGGGACTTTATATTGTTATTGTAGGGAACAGATGGATCCTGCAATTAAGTGTGTTGTTTCAATGGATGGCAACCAAACAACAGTAACAGCTGAGAATGGCTCTAACCATCACTTTGCATATGACTACTCCTTCTGGTCCTTTAACCCTATTAATGGGGACTTTGCCTCCCAAGATCATGTGTACTCCTCCTTGGCTGAGCCACTTCTGGGAAAGGTCTATGAGGGCTACAACACCTGCTTGTTTGCATATGGCCAGACTGGTAGTGGGAAATCATATACGTAAGTACATGGTACATTTCAATTTCATTTTAAAGAGCTGCTCTCAGATCCTGATAGCTGGTCCATACTTCCAATTACCAGCTCTATTTAATCTTCAGGAGATTTGTTTCCAATATGAAAATATTATTTAAAATACTAGAACTGTATCTACTATGAAAGTTTACTTGATCACAATAATCCAAAATTAAGAACAGCATAAGTCTGACTTAATCCAAATTGGCTTTTCTGCTTTCTTCAATAGATTTGCAATTGCGCTAAATTGAATTATGTATGATCTTTTAAACTTTCAACGTATATGTATATTGTAGAAATAAATATAAAAAGCAGAAGCGGAAGAAGTCTTACCATAGCCTAGTTGATCCATATTATCTCACAAAAAATTCCATTATTTCTAGCTTTGTTTTTACAACTCACTCATGAATCATATCAGTAAAATTTTGTTTTCCTATGGGTCTACTAAAGTAGCCATGAATAGAAATATGTTTTATTATCCCAACGAACGAAGTTCGGTAGGGATATAGTGAAGCCCTCCGTCCGTCCGTCCGTCTGTCCGTCCGGAAGATAACTCAAATATTAGTTGACGGATTTTCTTCATATTTGGTGGAAAGATGTATATTGATGAATAGTTTTACTCAAAAAAAAAAAATTTCAAGATGGCTGCTGCTTTAAAAATGACGGGACTTTTTCGCAAAAATCATAAATTTTTCATTCTAAACCAAAGTAATTAATATTATTGTTTGAAATTTTGGTAGTATATTCGCAACATCTATCTATTTCACATATATTCCGTGTTTTTCATCCTGACCCCCAGGGGCCGTGTATGGGGGGTCAGGAAAACAGAAATTTTCGCTAATTTTTAGATCTTTCTGAAGTATAGCTTTATTATACTCAAATGAAAGGCAATTAAGAATAGATTGCAAATATTGTATCTTTTTTCTGATTCGAGCCTCGTAAAATTCAAAATGGCCGTCTAATGTTAGATTTCGCAATAATTTTTCGATCCCTTCAAAGTATGGCTATATAATACTCAAATTGAAGGAATTTTGGAGTAGATCACAATTATGGTAATATTTTTCAGATTTTTACCTCAGAAAATTCAAAATGGATTTTTTCAAGATGGCCACTGCTTTAAAAATGACGGGACTTTTTCGCAAAAATCATAAATTTTTCATTCTAAACCAAAGTAATTAATATTATTGTTTGAAATTTTGGTAGTATATTCGCAACATCTATCTATTTCACATATATTCAGTGTTTTTCATCCTGACCCCCAGGGGCCATGTATGGGGGGTCAGTAAAACAGAAATTTTCGCTAATTTTTAGATCTTTCTGAAGTATAGCTTTATTATACTCAAATGAAAGGCAATTAAGAGTAGATTGCAAATATTGTATCTTTTTTCTGATTCGAGCCTCGTAAAATTCAAAATGGCCGTCTAATGTACGATTTCGCAATAATTTTTCGATCCCTTCAACGTATGGCTATATAATACTCAAATTGAAGGAATTTTGGAGTAGATCACAATTATGGTATTATTTTTCAGATTTGTACCTCAGAAAATTCAAAATGGCTGCTTTGCAGGAATTCGCAATTCTAAAATCTAAATTTTTCAATTTTAACCAAAGTAATGAGTATAATTGATTGGAATTCGGTTATTGATATTTTGTTCGTTGGGATTTGCTACTCCGCAGAGTTGCCATCATCTAGTTTTAGATGAAACCTTTTGTATGTTTAACTATTATCTGTTGTTAGTTAGCCCTTTACTTTAAGGAAAAACATGCCACAATTCCAAATTTTTTAACAGTTGCCCTTTGGTATTTTATCAAGATAAGGTGCAGTTTACGTATTTGTTTGTTCCTTTGCAGCATAATATTGGAATCATTCCTCAATGAATAGTATTGTATAAATATGTTGTTCCTTTGCAGTATAATGGGACATGGCAAAGAGGTTGGAATCATTCCTCAATGAATAGTATTGTATAAATATGTTGTTCCTTTGCAGTATAATGGGACATGGCGAAGAGGTTGGAATCATTCCTCAATGAATAGTATTGTATAAATATGTTGTTCCTTTGCAGTATAATGGGACATGGCGAAGAGGTTGGAATCATTCCTCAATGAATAGTATTGTATAAATATGTTGTTCCTTTGCAGTATAATGGGACATGGCGAAGAGGTTGGAATCATTCCTCGCTTCAGTGAGGATCTCTTTATTAGAAAAGAATCCATGGAAGATGAAAATGTAAGTTTTTTTTATATTGAGGTAGTCCACAAATTGATATACAGTCAACAGTTTGAAAGGGATGTATGAAATTGTCCATCTCCCAGTCAGGTGGGATGTGGGGGGAGTTAATGATAATCAATGTTCTTGAAATATATGCCTTATCTGTTTTTGTGACATCTTGTCTATATAATAATCAGATATTAATTGGTTTTAAGTTTCCATGATGAACTCTGTGTAAATATTTATAAATTGATGAACAAGGGAGGAGGGTATATGACTAGTGTAGGGAAATTAGATATTTTTTTTGTAAAACTGTTATATGTTTAAATTGGAGATATGTTTGTAAGTAGAACACCACATCAATACATAGAACACCACATCAATACATGTGACGAGTATTTGCATGCTTTTAATATATTCAGCATTTGTTTTCAGTTGAAGATTAATGTTGAAATCAGCTTCTTTGAGATCTACAATGAGAAGATACATGACCTCCTGGGCTCATCTAAAGACAAGACTGGAAGGAAAACAAATGTGAGTATTATTTCATATGGTAGATTACAGGGTGTTTCATATGTATGCACACCCTCCTCCCTTTAACTCATATCATGTCCTTATGGAAAGTTATATAAGATTGCAACATTTCAGAATCCAGAGGTGTCCCAGAAAAAGATACAATGTATTAAAGTATGTTGATACAGGTTTTTTCAAGGGGAATTTTTGGTCATTTCGAGGGCAATTTAAAGGAAAAATTTAGTTTCTGTATTACACATTTCTAACAGTTGTTGTCATGGCAAAGTTCAGTCCACACGTCTGTGACAGTTATGCACAAAGATATATAGATAGGAGTCTTGCTGTAGTTGTTTATAGGGAGGCCAGGGACCCTGGTGTGACTTTTTTCACTGAAAATGGGTACGAGACAAAGTGAACAGATCACCGGACTGAGCCCAAAAATAACCAGAAATAGCCCTCCCCCTATCTGGAAACTTTGATACATTATGTTGCATTATGGATTCTGAAACTTTGCAATCTAGTTTAACTTTCCATAACGAACAAAATGATGTAAAACATGATAGGGTAGCAATGTTACATGCATGAGTTTATGGGGGTGCATACATATGAAGCACCCTGTATGTCACATTTTATTTAATAATGCGCTCTCATTTTTATTAATGGTGCAGCTTAAGCACTGGCCCATGGGACAATGTCATTTGTCATTTTAAAATGTGAACAAAGTCAATATTTCACCCAGTGTATATTTGGCGACACTGAACCTGGTAATATGAGTAATGTGTGACGTCATAATGGCAGGTCAAAATGAAGATTCGAAAAATTTTGGTGAGTTCATTTGCGTATCTTAATATAGACCTCAGAACAGGTGTTATCGACGTATAGAGACCTTAGGGTTAGGCACAAAAGCTTTCGATTAGAAAACGTATACAATTCAGGGATCCTTTTACATTTTTATGTCATTGTTTCTATTCTTTGTAGCTGAAGGTACGTGAGCACCCTGCCCTAGGACCATATGTAGAAGGTCTCTCAACCTACGTTGTGGACTCCTTTGAAGACATACAGAGCTGGATCAGCCTTGGGAACAGACAGAGGGCCACTGCTTCCACTGGGATGAATGACAAGAGCAGCAGATCTCACTCTGTATTCACCATTGTCATGACTCAAACACGGGTAGGTCACGGTTATATATCTCACTCTGTATTTACCATTGTCATGACTCAAACACGGGTAGGTCATGGTTATATATCTCACTCTGTATTTACCATTGTCATGACTCAAACACGGGTAGGTCATGGTTATATATCTCACTCTGTATTTACCATTGTCATGACTCAAACACGGGTAGGTTACAGTTATATATCTCACTCTGTATTTACCATTGTCATGACTCAAACACGGGTAGGTTACATTAATATATCTCACTCTGTATTTACCATTGTCATGACTCAAACACGGGTAGGTTTTATATATCTCACTCTGTATTTACCATTGTCATGACTCAAACACGGGTAGGTTACATTAATATATCTCACTCTGTACTTACCATTGTCATGACTCAAACACGGGTAGGTTTTATATATCTCACTCTGTATTTACCATTGTCATGACTCAAACACGGGTAGGTTACATTAATATATCTCACTCTGTATTTACCATTGTCATGACTCAAACACGGGTAGGTTTTATATATCTCACTCTGTATTTACCATTGTCATGACTCAAACACGGGTAGGTTTTATATATCTCACTCTGTATTTACCATTGTCATGACTCAAACACGGGTAGGTTACATTGATATATCTCACTCTGTATTTACCATTGTCATGACTCAAACACGGGTAGGTTTTATATATCTCACTCTGTATTTACCATTGTCATGACTCAAACACGGGTAGGTTTTATATATCTCACTCTGTATTTACCATTGTCATGACTCAAACACGGGTAGGTTTTATATATCTCAATCTGTATTTACCATTGTCAAGACTCAAACACGGGTAGGTTACATTAATATGTCTCACTCTGTATTTACCATATTGTCATGACTCAAACACGGGTAGGTTACATAAAATTATCTCTTTGCTTTTAGACTGAGACTTTAGAAGGAGATGAACATGAACATTCAATTACAAGTAAAGTGAATCTGGTTGATTTGGCTGGGAGTGAGAGACAGGCCTCTGCTGGAACAACAGGGGACAGGCTCAGGGTAGGTGCAACTTTTACAAGGCCAGGGTGAGAAATTAAATGCGAAGCATAACCTTCACTAGTTATCAAGCTTGAATTAAGTCAATATTTCAACAGTTTCATCAGGAATGAAGTGCAACTTTACCTTAATATCAATATGTTCAAAAAACTAAATAACTAAGTGATAACTTCATCATTGTTTTTTATTTAACTTAAAAAACGCTAAGGGAAATTTTGGACCGAAGAATAGTAAGAAGTCACAGTGATTGAACTGCCCTTCTTATCCATTTTTGAAATTTCTAACATTCATGCATTGTACTATATGTTTTGCTAAAATAGGGTGTACATACACATTTTCAGGAAGGTGCAAGTATAAACAAATCTCTGATGACATTGGGTAAAGTGATCTCTCTCCTTGCTGAAAGATCTACAATGAGCAACAAGAAAAAGAAAATATTCATTCCTTACAGGGACTCTGTCTTAACATGGTATGTGCTGTTTTACTACTTTAACTAATGACTTTCCAAGCTGTATCCTCTTTAAAGCTGTAGATTTGGGTAAAATATATATTTGAGAAGGGGTGACCTACTCCAATATATGACTTATAACACAAACTATGAGTACAGAGCTGTCTAAACAATTAAAGCAGGCAGTTATGAAGTTAGGCATGAAGTTGTGTATGAAGGTGACATCAATGTTTTCATATTGTACTGTATTGCAGGCTGTTGAAAGAAAGTCTAGGTGGCAACTCCAAGACTGCTATGATTGCTACAATTAGTCCCTCTAATACCCACATGGAGGAGTCACTAAGCACATTACGTTATGCAAAGCAAGCGAGAACCATCGTTAACCAAGTACATGTGAATGAAGACCCTAAAGCAAGGATTATCAGAGGTAAGGACTGTATGATGAATGATGCATGTTAACTGTAAGGACTGTATGATGAATGATGATATGCATGTTAACTGTAAGGACTGTATGATGAATGATGATATGCATGTTAACTGTAAGGACTGTATGATGAATGATGATATGCATGTTAACTGTAAGGACTGTATGATGAATGATGATATGCATGTTAACTGTAAGGACTGTATGATGAATGATGATATGCATGTTAACTGTAAGGACTGTATGATGAATGATGATATGCATGTTAACTGTAAGGACTGTATGATGAATGATGATATGCATGTTAACTGTAAGGACTGTATGATGAATGATGATATGCATGTTGACTGTAAGGACTGTAGGATGAATGATGATATGCATGTTGACTGTAAGGACTGTAGGATGAATGATGATATGCATGTTAACTATAAGGACTGTATGATGAATGATGATATGCATGTTAACTGTGAGGACTGTATGATGAATGATGATATGCATGTTAACTATAAGGACTGTATGATGAATGATGATATGCATGTTAACTGTAAGGACTGTATGATGAATGATGACATGCATGTTAACTGTGAGGACTGTATGATGAATGATGATATGCATGTTAACTGTAAGGACTGTATGATGAATGATGATATGCATGTTAACTGTAAGGACTGTATGATGAATGATGATATGCATGTTAACTATAAGGACTGTATGATGAATGATGATATGCATGTTAACTGTGAGGACTGTATGATGAATGATGATATGCATGTTAACTGTAAGGACTGTATGATGAATGATGATATGCATGTTAACTTTAAGGACTGTATGATGAATGATGATATGCATGTTAACTGTAAGGACTGTATGATGAATGATGATATGCATGTTAACTGTAAGGACTGTATGATGAATGATGATATGCATGTTAACTGTAAGGACTGTATGATGAATGATGATATGCATGTTAACTGTAAGGACTGTATGATGAATGATGATATGCATGTTAACTGTAAGGACTGTATGATGAATGATGATATGCATGTTAACTGTAAGGACTGTATGATGAATGATGATATGCATGTTAACTTTAAGGACTGTATGATGAATGATGATATGCATGTTAACTGTAAGGACTGTATGATGAATGATGATATGCATGTTAACTGTAAGGACTGTATGATGAATGATGATATGCATGTTAACTGTAAGGACTTTATGATGAATGATGATATGCATGTTAACTATAAGGACTGTATGATGAATGACGATATGCATGTTAACTGTAAGGACTGAATGATGAATGATGATATGCATGTTAACTACTAGAACAGTGGGAGATGATGACCTCCACATGACCAGTCTAGCAGATAACAGACTTGGGCATGTGTACACCCATTGCATTGTATTTGAAACATTGTTCATGTCTTATAGAGCTTAGAGCAGAGATAGATAAGCTAAGGGGAATGACTTGAACAGTGGGAGATGATGACCTCCACATGGCCAGTCTAGCAGATAACAGACTTGGGCATGCGTACACCCATTGCATTGTATTTGAAACATTGTTCATGTCTTATAGAGCTTAGAGCAGAGATAGATAAGCTAAGGGGAATGACGGGGACAGTGGGAGATGATGACCTCCACATGACCAGTCTAGCAGATAACAGACTTGGGCATGCGTACACCTAGTGAATTGTATTTGAAACATTGTTCATGTCTTGTAGAGCTTAGAGCAGAGATAGATAAGCTAAGGGGAATGACTGGAACAGTGGGAGATGACGACCTCCACATGGCCAGTCTAGCAGATAACAGACTTGGGCATGTGTACACCTAGTAAATTGTATTTGAAACATTGTTCATGTCTTGTAGAGCTTAGAGCAGAGATAGATAAGCTAAGGGGAATGACTTGAACAGTGGGAGATGATGACCTCCACATGGCCAGTCTAGCAGATAACAGACTTGGGCATGCGTACACCCATTGCATTGTATTTGAAACATTGTTCATGTCTTATAGAGCTTAGAGCAGAGATAGATAAGCTAAGGGGAATGACTGGAACAGTGGGAGATGATGACCTCCACATGGCTAGTTTAGCAGAGATTAACACACTAAAAGACAAGTTAGCACTGAAAGAACACGAGATGCTAGAAGCAACAAGGACTTGGCAGGAGAGGATAAAACAAGCAGAAAATAGAAAGAAAGAAGAAGTTCAACATTTGGAGGTAAGGAAATGCATATAAATCAATTGAAAAGGTTCAACATTAGGAGGTAAGGAAATGCATATAAATCAATTGATAAGGTTCAATATAAGGAGTTGAGAGTCAGGGTTCATGACTAATGTCAAAAACGTGATTGCACAATTTAACATATTTTTGAATTCAGTCCATTCAATTGACATTCAGTCCATACAATGTCCAATAGTCAAACTTGTTTCTCCAAGTTCATTACTAAGTGTATTATAAAAAGTGATTGCCATTAGCAGTCAGGCAGATTGTGCGGAACCCTTGAAGTGATTGCTAATAGAATATTAAATTGATATGGTAAGCTTTATCTTAAAATATCTTTGCTTAGTTGGTGTATGATGCAAAACACATAAGAATTGATTCAAGGATTGGTGGGGAACTGAACTTTAAAAAGTGTTCAACTTATGAGGATGTTTCACTTTATAGAGGTGTTCCACCTAAGAGGGTGTTCCACTTTAAAGAGGTGTTCCACTCAAGAGGGTGTGAAACAGTTTTTTTAAGTTCGAATAAAGTAACATAAAATTCTTAAAGTTAAAGTCCTAAACGTTTATTATTTCATTATCAAAATCCAATCTTTACATTGAGTTTAGTTTAATCAGTATGTTGTGCCGTAGTAAAAACTGTTCTGATCATGATATTCTGAGATGATAATCAAGAAAAGTCCGAAAGTATGGAAAGTTCCACAGGGAAGGTTCCAAAAAGGAGGCGAATAATAATTTCCCATAATTACCAAATAAATGAACCAATAATGAACAAATTAAAGATAATATCAAATCAAAATCTACTGGACTTCCTAAACCTCCTTTAAATGGAGGCAAATGTTGGTTCCCCTAAGGAACCAACATTTGAACCAATAGAAAAGCAAGTAGATTATGTTATAAAGTAGAATATACTGGACTTAAAAATCCTCCTTTATGGGAATTGGAACTTTCATGATAGAAAAGACATAACAATATGAAAAGAGCCAAGATTTTAATGTTATTTATGAATGATATCACGTATTGAGTGCAAGTGAACTAAAGAAGAATAAAGAATAGAAATGATGTACATCAAATGTATAGAACAATAACATATATCTTAAAACCTAAATCAATGTGATATAAAAATGAAGTTGTACCAAAATTTAATGTATATGAAAACCTAAACCCTGTTTCAGGTGTTCCACTTTATAGAGGTGTTCCACCTAAGAGGGTGTTCCACTCAAGAGGGTGTTCCACTTTATAGAGGTGTTTCACCTAAGAGGGTGTTCCACTTTATAGAGGTGTTCCACCTAAGAGGATGTTCCACTTTAAAGAGGTGTTTCACCTAAGAGGGTGTTCCACTTTATAGAGGTGTTCCACTAAAGAGGGTGTTCCACTTTATAGAGGTGTTTCATCTAAGAGGGTGTTCCACTTTATAGAGGTGTTCCACTAAAGAGGGTGTTCCACTTTATAGAGATGTTCCACCTAAGAGGGTGTTCCACTTTATAGAGATGTTCCACCTAAGAGGGTGTTCCACTTTATAGAGGTGTTCCACTTTATAGATGTGTTCCACTAAAGAGGGTGTTCCACTTTATAGAGATGTTCCACCTAAGAGGGTGTTCCACTTTATAGAGGTGTTCCACCTAAGAGGGTGTTCCACCTAAGAGGGTGTTCCACCTAAGAGGGTGTTCCACTGGTAGAGGTGTTCCACCTAAGAGGGTGTTCCACTTTATAGAGGTGTTCCACCTAAGAGGGTGTTCCACTAAAGAGGGTGTTCCACTAAAGAGGGTGTTCCACTTTATAGAGGTGTTCCACCTAAGAGGGTGTTCCACCTAAGAGGGTGTTCCACTTTATAGAGGTGTTCCACCTAAGAGGGTGTTCCACTTTATAGAGGTGTTCCACCTAAGAGGGTGTTCCACTAAAGAGGGTGTTCCACTTTATAGAGGTGTTCCACCTAAGAGGGTGTTCCACTTTATAGAGGTGTTCCACCTAAGAGGGTGTTCCACTTTATAGAGGTGTTCCACCTAAGAGGGTGTTCCACCTAAGAGGGTGTTCCACTTTATAGAGATGTTCCACCTAAGAGGGTGTTCCACTTTATAGAGGTGTTCCACTAAAGAGGGTGTTCCACTTTATAGAGCTGTTCCACCTAAGAGGGTGTTCCACTTTATAGAGGTGTTCCACTTAAGTTGGTGTTCCACTTTATAGAGGTGTTCCACCTAAGAGGGTGTTCCACCTAAGAGGGTGTTCCACTTTATAGAGGTGTTCCACCTAAGAGGGTGTTTCACTTTATAGAGGTGTTCCACCTAAGAGGGTGTTCCACTAAAGAGGGTGTTCCACCTAAGAGGGTGTTCCACCTAAGAGGGTGTTCCACTTTATAGAGGTGTTCCACCTAAGAGGGTGTTTCACTTTATAGAGGTGTTCCACTTAAGAGGTTTTACTGTCCTTAACATTCAAGGAGACGACTGTTGACATCGTTTAGTGTTGAATTTAATAACACATGTAAGATAATGGAAAGCATATTTATCTATTTATTTAGAGATTCTATAAAATATTCTGAACCAGGAACTTAAATATTAATCTCATTTTCATTTAACCATATCTCTGTTTCGTTTAGCCACATTCCAGTTTCGTTTAGCCATATTCCAGTTTTATTTAGCAATACCTGAGTTTCTTTTAGCCATATATCACTTTCAATTTCATTTAGGCTTGCCTGTTTTACATTTTGACATTTTGGGTGTTTTCTGTTTATGATCCTACAAATACTCTTCTCTCTTGTTACACAAACACACCACTGACATCTATCTGATGTCATATAGCTCTTTCCAGGCTTATATTCCTTTCCATCATGAATACACGTGTCACATTGCGGTCGTTTGGGACAAGACACTTTCTTATTATTACAATAACATATTGTACAGCCGTCAAAATCAGTCACACTTTCTCCGTGAGCTAATATGTTGCCATCGTGGCGACACCTGCATTTTTTATGAGGCTCACACGTCACATTTCCAAAGGCACATGTACAATCCTCGCATATATCATTTGAATTCACTTTTGAGCCATGATTGTACTTTTTGCCATTATCATTACATTCACAAGCTGGATCGTTGGTACATGAAAGGCGTCCATTAGTGCAATTGCAGGATTCGCATGTTGTGTTAACGTAAATGGACTGAAGGTGGGATATCGTGCCATAGCCTTTAATATCACAGGAATCACATCTATTCTCAATGCAAGTCACCTGAAATAATTCATAAACCAGTATTTTCTATATTGTGCCAAATGAAATGATTATTCAGAATTTTATCAGCATTTCACAATTTTCCTTGACTTCTGCAATTGTAGAATTTTGATTTCATCAATTTTGAAAAAAACATTTCAAAACTGGCAAAAAATATTTTTCATGATTTCCAAAGTTAAGATGAACTTAGTCTAAAGGAACCATTCGAAAAAATCACACAATTTGTATTCTTACCAAAACTGTGTAAAACTGGGGAAGATAGTTAAAAGAAGTTAACTAATACTGTTCTGTACAGTGAAACTAGTACAGTGTGTACAGTGAACACATATTGAGCCACAAAAATGTGTTCATTATTAAGGTATATGTTCACTACAGAGAGGCAATGTTACACAGAACTCAATGGAATATGTGCTTAGAAGGGATGTTCACTAGAGAAGTGTTCACTAAAGCAGGTTTTACTATTTGTCACCTATTATGTATGTGATCTGCTTTGAAACTCCATTGAGATTTTCTTAATTAGCTTTATAATGTCAGATGTGACACTTTTAATATTGAGTTGTTTGTTAAATAAACAACCAGCTAATACATTTTAGTCTGAAATACACGTATCGAGCCATTTTAAGCCAAGACAAAGTATATGTAATAGTTTATGTTTGATTTATGTTTCCTCTTATCATTTGTTTTCATAGTTTATATTGATCAACTTTCTGACTCATTAAATCTATAAATATATTATAAATGCTATGTTGTAACAATTTTCTTCATATTTTCTTGAATAAATGATAAACATTAATTTAATTGTATTAAATATGTACACATATTTGACAATTTGAGTTATAGTTTCAATATTTAAACTCTCTCAGTTTTCTAAACAAATTCAACCACAAAGATCACCCATATATAATACCTTGCCTCTATATTTCTGATTCTATGGGTGCTCTTAATTAAATGGTCCTTATTTAAAAATCCTATATTTACCGTTCCTTTCATGCATGTGCATGTTGAACAGTCCCCATCCAGGAATTGGTCCATGTTGGCATATGTGATGTTATTATATTCACACGCACAGTCAGGATGAGACGTACACACCATCTCTTGTGCTTTACATTCACATGTCGTACATATGGCCTCTGATATAGACTTGTACCCGGCCTCTACCATACTACCATTTACTATACATCCTGAAACTGTAGGGGCAGAGGATAAGTCTCTGTAAATATGTAAATATTAAATCAGTTTTCAAACACTAAACTTGCCATTTCCTGTCATATTTTCCTGTCAATCTTTCATTGTTATTAATTAAAATACAAGTGCAAACTGCTGTATTAGATGTATAGATGTAAATTATATGACTCTGCCTTATCTCCATTTGAATGGGGATGGGCTTCAACATGTCTTTCAACAATGGGACTATTCTGAACAGAGGCTTTTAGGTTGACCCATATCTCATTTCATGTGTACTTAAACAGGTCTTTCCAACCTCAAAGCACATTTACTTTTACCAGGCCTATTTCCTTTCACCTTTAAATGTAGGAATTTTAAGCAGATCTTATTTTCCTTTATATTGGTCTATTTCAGGCCTCATTTGCTGTCATATTGGCCTAAATCAGGCCTCATTTCCTGTTATATTGGCCTAAATCAGGCCTCATTTCCTGTTATATTGGTCTTTAGTAGGCCTTAAGTGTCCCTTCAAAGCATTCCAACATTGTTACTTGACCCCATCTTCCTGTATCCTTTATGATTAAAAATTGCTAAAGCAACCATTACCTCCTTCCATGAAGACCTCTGAGCCTGGCATGGGGCAACATAGGGAGTAATCCTTATTAATATGGCACATGTAATCCTCAGGGCAGTTGCTATTATTGGCACATGCCACATACTCTCTGGAGCTATGTGGAATAATGTTCTTGGCTGGATATCTGCACAAGTGGTTGGTAAACCTGGAACAGAGGTGTCCATTATTTCATATAGCAAGAATACATCAATGGTTTATAAAAAGAAGGCCAGTAATGGTAGGGCTACCCAGAATATATAAACAAATCAAATGATAAAATGTTTTTGAAAACCTTTCTTGAAATATTGGTATTTTATCTGCATTTTTCATTTTAAAAACTTTTGATTCACAATCAGTCATATGAAATACAAGATTGAATACAAGATCTCAAAATGAAACAGTTTTTTAAATCTCCTCTCTCTGACTCATTATTACTGAATAAAATTGGGTTTTGTTTTGAAAAATTCATGACTTAGATGAAAGAAATATAATTATTTTAAACTAAATGACCTGCAGCAAACACTGTAACCAATTTTCTGTGTCATATTTAACGGATTCACGACTTTCTGGCAAAAGAAAGCATTTGGACAATCTGCATTCTCCTCGCATTTGACTGGTCGCTTATTCCGCACAAATGCTCGTTTCCAAGGGCATGCCATCAGGACAGCATATTGCTCCAAATCTGCTACTTGTGGCCTTTTAATTCCCTTTGACTTTTCTCTTCTGTATTGCTTTTCCTTCCATACAGCTTTCTTCTCTTTGTTTTTCTTTTCTTTCATTGCATTCGAGATTTGAATCAATGTCAGAATTAGTAATAATGCTGTCAAATTAATTCTCATTTTAACCTTTTTGGGTTTTGTCCTAAGCTTATGTATTATTGACAATACAAATGAAATAAAGTTAACAGTTAGTTGGGGTGATTTATGCGAATGCATGGGTAATTTGCAATAATTATATGATTTATCATTATTCATATGTATTGATTTGCATGATCATGAGGAAATGTTTAACATTGTATAATTAATTTTGCGACTTCAGATTTGTGTATACTGTGCAAACAATCAAATCTGTACATCTGAACACCTCTCAATGTGAACACTTTTTTGACTTGACACTTTTTCTGCTATAGGCATCCTTTGTTAATGTTAACACCTGCCAATCCAACACTTTTTGCCAGTCCCTGAGTTCATTTTGCCTTGCAATTGCATTGCATTTGCCTTGCATTTGCATTGCATTTCAGTATTAATTTCTGACACTAAGTTTAAATATGATTTAACCCCATTACTAAGTTGAAGCCTATTTGATTGGCTTGATATATTTTATCTTAATTTTCAGACAAAACAAATGTGTTTTTGTTTTACTTTATAAATTAGCACACTTTCTGTATGATTTCAAGGCCGAACAGATATTGATCTAATATTAACCTCTTGAATACCCAGAGTGACGGATATATCCGTCACAAATGAAATAAGACTGGTGCCCAGAGGGACGAGAAAATCCGTCACAAAACTTTTCACAAAAATTGCTCTCATTTGAACAATTTTCATCCAATTTACACAAAAATTGTTTTAAAACGTGTAGAAATGATCTCTGCCGTCCAATTTTACTAAGCTGAGCATCTAAAGTTGTATAGGTATGTAATAAAATGTCAAAAGGTGGCAAAAAATGAAAAATTCTCTGGTTTCATGCCAATTTTAGAGCCTGGGATTCAAGAGGTTAACAAATACTTAATTGTAAATGCCTGTGTTACTGTTAATTTGACATTGACCATGCAGGGGGCAGTCATTATTTTACATTTGTACATCTATTTAATAAATTTTTGTCACCAAGGCATTGTTCCTCTTGTATTCAGAAATCTACAGGACCTAGAATTTGTTTTACCAATAAATCCATTAGAACCCAGCATTTGAATTATATGGCAATAAATACTACAACACACCATCCAATTGTTCTAATTTCATTTAATAAAACAACAAAGCCTATTTATTTTTATAAGGAAAACATATTCTTTTTTCAGAAATCTGGAATCTCGTTCAAGATCGACAACAGACTACCAAGCCTTGTGAATCTCAATGAGGACCCGCAGTTGTCTGAGATGTTACTTTATATCCTAAAAGAGGGCACCACTAGGGTGGGCAGACTAGCGGATATGTCCAGTCATGATATACAGTTGAATGGTGCACTTATTGCAAATGATCATTGGTTAGCTACTTTGGACCTTTTATTCTATATTTCATTTCTGTCATTCACATTGAAACAGAAATGACAAAATTCATTGACTATTTCTTAATTTTACTCTAAAAATGTAAAAGGTCATCTGAAATAATAGAAACAATGCTAAAGTTACAATTAAATTGTGTAAAGAGTCTTATAATAGAACCTATTTATATTCCAGCAAGTTTGATTACACAGAAAAGGTGGTCATGATCAGTCCCATTAAAGATGCCCCATGTTATGTTAATGGGGACAGCATATTCAAGAAGACCACTCTACATCATGTAAGTATCTCACTATAAGTCCCATTAAAGATGCCTCATGTTATGTTAATGGGGACAGCATATTCAAGAAGACCACTCTACACCATGCAAGTATCTCACTATAAGTCCCATTAAAGATGCCTCATGTTATGTTAATGGGGACAACATATTCAAGAAGACCACTCTACATCATGTAAGTATCTCACTATAAGTTCCATTAAAGATGCCACATGTTATGTTAATGGGGACAGCATATTCAAGAAGACGACTCTACATCATGTAAGTATCTCACTATAAGTCCCATTAAAGATGCCTCATGTTATGTTAATGGGGACAACATATTCAAGAAGACCACTCTACATCATGTAAGTATCTCACTATAAGTTCCATTAAAGATGCCACATGTTATGTTAATGGGGACAGCATATTCAAGAAGACCACTCTACACCATGCAAGTATCTCACTATAAGTCCCATTAAAGATGCCTCGTGTTATGTTAATGGGGACAACATATTCAAGAAGACCACTCTACATCATGTAAGTATCTCACTACAAGTTCCATTAAAGATGCCACATGTTATGTTAATGGGGACAGCATATTCAAGAAGACCACTCTACATCATGTAAGTATCTCACTATAAGTTCCATTAAAGATGCCACATGTTATGTTAATGGGGACAGCATATTCAAGAAGACGACTCTACATCATGTGAGTATCTCACTATAAGTTCCATTAAAGATGCCCCATGTTATGTTAATGGGGACAACATATTCAAGAAGACGACTCTACATCATGTGAATATCTCACTATAAGTTCCATTAAAGATGCCCCATGTTATGTTAATGGGGACAGCATATTCAAGAAGACCACTCTACACCATGTAAGTATCTCACTATTATTAAAGTCCCATTAAAGATGCCCCATGTTATGTTAATGGGGACAGCATATTCAAGAAGACCACTCTACACCATGTAAGTATCTCACTTGCATTGAAGTTCAATTAAAGATGCCCCATGTTATGTTAATGGGGACAACATATTCAAGAAGACGACTCTACGTCATGTAAGTATTAGGGGTCCCGCGATTCATCGATATATCGATGCATCGGCTCGTTTGGTGACGATACGAGCGTATCGATACGAAGACTCAAATATCGATACACCAAAAATATTATTAACATACCTGAAATCCATCATATTTTGCCGAAATTTACTGAATATTTGACTTTTTTGAGAAATTGTTCTTATATTTTCTGTTTGGTTTCTCGCTGGACATGACACCCCCAAGATGGTGTATAAATGCGAACAGAATGCTTAGCGGATTGACAGTCAAAATGCGAACAAATAAATCGTGTCTTGAAGACACTGTCTTCTATGTCATCGTATATCAACGTACTTTGTTTTATAATTATTCTATATACTTTTTGACAATTTAGTATGAATAAATATAATCTTTTTATTCGATAGAACGCCGCGTTAAAAATTGCCTACTAATATTGATAACTCTAATAAAAAAACGAACAATATTTACGTTCGGAGTATTAATGTTGACCGGAGTTTAGAAATTGAAAATTTTTGAAATTTTTGAAAACAATTGATAGAATTATGGCTGTGTAAATATCAAACATGGGTAGAAAATAGAATAGAAATATAATAGATAATAATATAATAGAAAATCTACTGTACTTGTACTTGTAACATTCCTCAGTAAAGGGAAAGCACAGCCGGACTTCAAAAAATATTGCAAAATATGCATAGCTGGCTACTATACAGCAGGTAGGCTTGATACTTGACAATAGTTTTTATGCTGCATCTTAATCAAATGTCACAGCTAGTGATAGACTTTCAACTCGACCTCAGCTACGTCAGTTTTTCACCCCCCACCCCCCCCCCCCCCCCTCCCCCGGTTCAACTACACTATTATGTATCGTATCGTTGCTCGTATCGTGACCTGAGTATCGAGATACGTATCGTATCGTTTCATAATGTATCGTGGGACCCTTAGTAAGTATCTCACTATAAGTCCCATTAAAGATGCCCCATGTTATGTTAATGGGGACAGCATATTCAAGAAGACCACTCTGCACCATGCAAGTATCTCACTATAAGTCCCATTAAAGATGCCCCATGTTATGTTAATGTTGACAGCATATTCAAGAAGACCACTCTACACCATGTAAGTATCTCACTATAAGTCCCATTAAAGATGCCCCATGTTATGTTAATGGGGACAGCATATTCAAGAAGACCACTCTGCACCATGCAAGTATCTCACTATAAGTCCCATTAAAGATGCCCCATGTTATGTTAATGTTGACAGCATATTCAAGAAGACCACTCTACACCATGTAAGTATCTCACTATAAGTCCCATTAAAGATGCCCGATGTTATGTTAATGGGGACAGCATATTCAAGAAGACCACTCTACACCATGTAAGTATCTCACTATAAGTCCCATTAAAGATGCCCCATGTTATGTTAATGGGGACAGCATATTCAAAAAGACCACTCTACACCATGTAAGTATCTCACTATAAGTCCCATTAAAGATGCCCCATGTTATGTTAATGGGGACAGCATATTCAAGAAGATCACTCTACACCATGTTAGTATCATACAAGTGTTTACACAACACATAATCTAATATTAACATCACTAGAGTGTTCATATTGAGAGGTGTTCCCATTTCAGAGTGGTCCAATTAAGCAGGTTTTACTGCTACTTTGTTATAGGCCCAATTGTAGAAAATAAGTAATATTTTATTTAATTAATTATAACAGAATATAGTAAGAAGTATGATACTCCATGACAATTATTTCAGCTCTATACACACCTTACATGTACTTTGAAAACCTAGAAAGAGAGCAACCAATTTCCCTTGTGTTTTCTGGTCACACAATGATCAAAGCTATCTCCTCAGTCAAAAACTCACCTCAAACAACTGATAAGCAATTATCCAATTAACATTCATTGATTAGTTGCTAGGAATTAAGAACAAAGTGATTCGCAACAGTTTAACATTTATTTATTTCCAATAAGTAATTTTATGTCTGTAATGATAAATAAGTAATATTTTGTTTGTCATTATGTAGCCTTGAGTCAGCCAATTCATGCAGAACAAAATGTTATTAAGTACAATTACTGTAATTTCAAGTTTGATTATTTATGTACATTTCATATTTAATTCATGTCGCAATTGACAGGTTTTAATTTGAAGTTAAGGTCCGCCATTTTTAAGACATTTTGGCAGACACTACAGAAATTTTGTGAGTACCTTGAAGAAATGTTATTCATGAGCCAAAATAAATTAATTTTTTCTCAATTTTAGGGAGACAGAGTTATATTAGGAGGAGACCATTACTTCAGGTGAGTATACTTTCATATGATATATTACTTCAGGTGAGTATACTTTCATATGATATATTACTATTACTTCAGTTAATTTTAATTTCCTATGATATATTAAGCCAATTAGCAAAACTTTTGAGAAAACATATTCACTTTGGACAGGGACAGGTGTTCAATCAAGAGAGGTGTTCGCTGGTACATAAACATTGCTTTTGGGACAAGATGAAATGACTTTGACTTATTTTTTACCACCCTATGCAGACGAAGCCTGTGAGGAATATTTGGTGCAGCATGAATTTAATGCTTACTGCGTCTCTATAGAATGAATTGGTCTACTATTTTCACAATTTGATTGATATTAGGTGTCAACTACACACATGGATATATTTGAAGACCCAAAATGGGTTAGTTTCAGAAATATCACATATCTAAATTCAAAAATGACCATTCATTCAGCACCCTCAGCTCATTCATGCTGCACCCAATATTTCTCACAGGCTCCGTCTGCATAGGGTGTTTACCCTACCTATTTTGTAATTTAATAATCAACATAAATATACACACCATATCTTAGCAGATATCGGACAAATTCATAACATATTTTTGATCAATAAAATCATGGATTATAAGATAGATTCACCAGAGAAGGTTTAAGACCAGGCAATCACATTTATAGCCAGAACAATGTTATTTTCAACCATTTTATCCTCCATAAATCGCAGTGTGCCTTAAATCATATAGGCACTTAGCTACTCACTCAGAAGTGAATATTATTCTGAAATAACATGTTAGAAAAGCAAAAGTGAACATTATTTTGGAATAACATGTTAATAAAGCAAAAGTGAACATTATTTTGAAATAACATGTTAATAAAGCAAAAGTGAACATTATTTTGGAATAACATGTTAGAAAAGCAAAAGTGAACATTAATTTGGAATAACTTGTTAATAAAGCAAAAGTGAACATTATTTTGAAATAACATGTTAGAAAAGCAAAAGTGAACATTATTTTGAAATAACATGTTAGAAAAGCAAAAGTGAACATTATTTTGGAATAACATGTTAATAAAGCAAAAGTGAACATTATTTTGAAATAACATGTTAGAAAAGCAAAAGTGAACATTATTTTGGAATAACATGTTAATAAAGCAAAAGTGAACATTAATTTGAAATAACATGTTAGAAAAGCAAAAGTGAACATTATTTTGAAATAACATGTTAATAAAGCAAAAGTGAACATTATTTTGAAATAATATGTTGTAATTCATTCTGAGTTGGGAATTGAATGTTCACTGCACTTTCAGGTTCATCCACCCATTAGAAGTACAAAATATAATTGATAATGTGTGAGAATATATAACTTGTTTCATTCTGTTCCATTTGTTTAGTTTAATGTTATTAATGTTTAGAGTTATTTTACAGGGTGGTCAAAAAATGGAAACCCTGCATGCTTTCGTCATTTCAAGAAATTATTTCCTGGTATTTGACACATTGGTACATCATTCATGGTATTTGATACATTTGTCCATCATTCATGGTATTTGACACATTTGTACATCATTCATGGTATTTGACACATTTGTACACCATTCATGGTATTTGACACATTTGTACATCATTCATGGTATTTGACACATTTGTACACCATTCATTGTATTTGACACATTTGTACACCATTCATGGTATTTGACACATTTGTCCATCATTCATGGTATTTGACACAATTTGTACATCATTCATGGTATTTGACATATTGTACATCATTCATGGTACTTGACACATTGTACATCATTTATGGTATTTGACACATGTGTACATCATTCATGGCATTTGACACATTTGTACATCATTCATGGTATTTGACACATTTGTACATCATCCATGGTATTTGCTACATTTATACACCATTCATGGTATTTGACACATTTGTCCATCATTCATAGTATTTGACACATTTGTACATCATTCATGGTATTTGACACATTTGTACACCATTCATGGTATTTGACATATTTGTACATCATTCATGGTATTTGACACAATTTGTACATCATTCATGGTATTTGACACATTTGTACATCATTCATTGTATTTGACACATTTGTACATCATTCATGGTATTTGACACATTTGTACATCATTCATGGTATTTGACACATGTGTACATCATTCATGGTATTTGACACATTGTACATCATTCATGGTACTTGACACAGTGTACATCATTTATGGTATTTGACACATGTGTACATCATTCATGGCATTTGACACATTTGTACATCATTCATGGTATTTGACACATTTGTACATCATTCATTGTATTTGCAACATTTATACACCATTCATGGTATTTGACACAGTTGTACATCATTCATGGTATTTGACACATTTGTACATCATTCATGGTATTTGACACATTTGTACACCAGTCATGGTATTTGACATATTTGTACATCATTCATGGTATTTGTCACAATTTGTACATCATTCATGGTATTTGACACATTTGTACATCATTCATTGTATTTGACACATTTGTACATCATTCATGGTATTTGACACATTGTACATCATTCATGGTACTTGACACATTGTACATCATTTATGGTATTTGACACATGTGTACATCATTCATGGTATTTGCTACATTTATACACCATTCATGGTATTTGACACATTTGTACATTATTCATGGTATTTGACACATCTGTACATCATTCATGGTATTTGCTACATTTATACACCATTCATGGTATTTGACACATCTGTACATCATTCATGGTATTTGACACATTTGTCCATCATTCATGGTATTTGACACAATTTGTACATCATTCATTGTATTTGACACATTTGTACATCATTCATGGTATTTGACACATTGTACATCATTCATGGTACTTGACACATTGTACATCATTTATGGTATTTGACACATGTGTACATCATTCATGGTATTTGCTACATTTATACACCATTCATGGTAATTGACACATTTGTACATTATTCATGGTATTTGACACATCTGTACATCATTCATGGTATTTGCTACATTTATACACCATTCATGGTATTTGACACATCTGTACATCATTCATGGTATTTGACACATTTGTCCATCATTCATGGTATTTGACACAATTTGTACATCATTCATGGTATTTGACACATTTGTACATCATTCATTGTATTTGCAACATTTATACACCATTCATGGTATTTGACACATTTGTACATCATTCATGGTATTTGACACATTGTACATCATTTATGGTATTTGACACATGTGTACATCATTCATGGCATTTGCTACATTTATACACCATTCATGGTATTTGACACATTTGTACATCATTCATGGTATTTGACACATCTGTACATCATTCATGGTATTTGCTACATTTATACACCATTCATGGTATTTGACACATCTGTACACCATTCATGGTATTTGCTACATTTATACACCATTCATGGTATTTGACACATTTGTACATCATTCATGGTATTTGACACATTTGTCCATCATTCATGGTATTTGACACAATTTGTACATCATTCATGGTATTTGACATATTGTACATCATTCATGGTACTTGACACATTGTACATCATTTATAGTATTTGACACATGTGTACATCATTCATGGTATTTGACACATGTGTACATCATTCATGGTATTTGACACATTTGTACATCATTCATGGTATTTGACACATTTGTACATCATTCATGGTATTTGACACATGTGTACATCATTCATGGTATTTGACACATTGTACATCATTCATGGTACTTGACACATTGTACATCATATATGGTATTTGACACATGTGTACATCATTCATGGCATTTGACACATTTGTACATCATTCATGGTATTTGACACATTTGTACATCATCCATGGTATTTGCTACATTTATACACCATTCATGGTATTTGACACATTTGTCCATCATTCATGGTATTTGACACATTTGTACATCATTCATGGTATTTGACACATTTGTACACCATTCATGGTATTTGACATATTTGTACATCATTCATGGTATTTGACACAATTTGTACATCATTCATGGTATTTGACACATTTGTACATCATTCATTGTATTTGACACATTTGTACATCATTCATGGTATTTGACACATTGTACATCATTCATGGTACTTGACACATTGTACATCATTTATGGTATTTGACACATGTGTACATCATTCATGGTATTTGCTACATTTATACACCATTCATGGTATTTGACACATTTGTACATCATTCATGGTATTTGACACATCTGTACATCATTCATGGTATTTGCTACATTTATACACCATTCATGGTATTTGACACATCTGTACATCATTCATGGTATTTGCTACATTTATACACCATTCATGGTATTTGACACATTTGTACATCATTCATGGTATTTGACACATTTGTACATCATTCATGGTATTTGACACATCTGTACATCATTCATGGTATTTGCTACATTTATACACCATTCATGGTATTTGACACATTTGTACATCATTCATGGTATTTGACACATTGTACATCATTCATGGTATTTGACACATTGTACATCATTTATGGTATTTGACACATGTGTACATCATTCAATTTCGTATCAGCCTACCATATTTGATTACCATCAGACTGATGATCACAATATCACAGCACTTTGAACAACATGCTTCAAGTTTGTGCATTATCAAGCTGTAGGCAAACCTGCACAGTTGTCAATGATCCGACTGCATTCCACAGCAGGTATGGCCTGAATGACACGGGTGGTCTCACTTCTGAGATCTGCAATTGTCCTGAAGTCATTCTCATACACTGTTTCTTTGCCGAATCCCCACAGGTAGGGACATTTTTGAAGATGGGTGCAGGTTTGCCTACAGTGCAATAGTGGCCATTAGAGCATGTTCTTCAAGTGCTGTAACATTGTAACTATCAAAAATATATTAAAGCTGGAAGAAAATAGAATGATGTACAAATGTGTAGAATGTCAGGGAGTTATTTCTTAAAATGCCAAACATATGAAGAAAAAGCGTAAAGGTTTCCATTGTTTTTTACCACCTTGTATTGTATTGAATTGCTGTATAGTAAACCCTGTCTAATTCCAACACAATGGAGCCAAAATACATGGATCAGTAGTGTAAATATTAACATTTAAGTTTGGGAAATGAAAAAATGGGACAAGAAAACTTGTTTAGATGATAGTAGTATTTAGATATAGAGGTTTTAATGTGCATAACTTAAGTAATTACTTATTTAATTCAGTCAAAGATTTAGACAGTTGTCCTCATGAAAATAAATGAGGATGTCTGTATTATCTTTTCACTGATTTAACTCTTATTCTAGCATTAAAGGATGTTGGAATGTTTAAATGTTTCTTCAAATGCTTACTTAGTTAATTGCAAAATTATGATATATTAGTATAGATGTGTTCATGCTAATTTGCCTTTAAGGTTGATGTAACATGATATTAAAGATGATGCAGTTTGCAATGACAGCCTTGAGAAATTGCAATTAGCTAATTGAGAGAAATGGATGAGTAGGATTATTTAGAAAAACCATTGAACATTCATTAGAAAACAGTAGCAATTGTTCATGTAAACAACATGCATCCCTATCAAGAGCACAGTACAGGGTGTTCAGGATTTAAAGATACACATGCCCTTATTTATATCACAATAAAAACACATGCGGCGTTACTTCTTGCCCACCCTGTACATGAATTCCTTGAATTGTTTCAGACTAAACCATCCATCTGAAGTTGATAAAGGTCGCAAATCAAGCACCCAGTTGCAAGTGAAAGACTTTGAATTCGCCAGACAGGAGCTCCTCAGAGTCCAGAATGCAAAGTGAGTGCAGAGAATTGTTTTACAGGCACAAAAAACTGTATTACTTGGAGAGATGAAATCTTTATTATGTCCAAAAGCGAGTCTCTCAGTATTAGTATATTGCAGATTGAAGTTTTTGCAAATGTCCTTCTGTTATTATTTCATGCAGTATTTTCATGGTCATATCTTTATTGTTTCGCGATACTCTCCATTCTCCATATGCAACAATGTCTTATATATATTAAGCAATTTCATATATATTGAGCATGTTTGGGGAATGTTACCTTTGGGGATTGCCTGAGACCTTCTCCAGTTACTATTATATCCCAGGTTTTTAATTATTTACACCCTGCAATGATATTTATTATTTATAAACCCTGATTTTCATTAACCCTCTGTGGATGCCAAGAGATCATGAATATTTAATACAAAAAAGAAGAGAAAATCTCAGGGAGAGAGTGTTAATAAGATAGTAATTAACTCTACAAGTGATATGAAGACCTAATTGGAATATTTAATGACACTACACAAATTCCTATAGAGATATTCCCAATCATATATATAATGCAATACAATACAGGTGGATTCTCAGATTTCTTGCTTAACAAACAGTCAGACTTAATATACAATTCATTAGGAGGCACCTGTTATGTATAAGTAGGATTTAATACTAGGCCTTCATTCCAATCAACACACTGAATTCAAATGAAGAAATGTGAGAGATTTACACAGGCTTGAAAGCCAAGAAAAGAACATCATACTTTATCTACGAACTTCAAAATATCTCTATGGGCATCATAATATTGCTATGGAGATCATAGTATTGCTATGACATTACAAACATTCTTGCCAGCGTTCTGCTTGTATCAACTGATTTGAAACATTTGCCAGTAAAATACTTGCAATTGCTGCCAAAGGAACTTAATCATTATCATATTTATATATAAATTAATCATTAAATGCAAATTATTTGAAAAAGTGTCAAAGTGTAAATTGATATGGCAGAAGGGGGCGAGAAACATGATGATATTAATGAATCTAGAAATGTTGAATGCATTGAACCAACACAAGAACCATCTCCAGAAAATGACCTTGAACTCAGTGACATATCAAGAGATAGCTATATTGAATCAGGCAATGTTAAGGATGCTCATAGAGATGAACATGATGAAGATGACAGTGCAACAACTTCAATAAAGGCGAATAAATGGACTGCTATTCAGAAGGCATTTCAGAGAGTCCGGGCACATACCACACAAGCATATGGCAAAGTAAAACGTTATCCCTCATCAAAATCAAAACGAGAAAGAAATGTCTCAATAGGGAAGAATGTCAAAACATCTAGGAGTAAATCGAAAAGAAGAACGTTGAAAAGTAATGTTGACACTGATGAAATCCTAGCCGCAATAGGATTACATGAACAGAGGGAATTGTCACAATCAAAGGATAAATCAAATATACCAGATAATATTGCATCTGACAAACAACATGTTAGGAATGGCGCTAAAGTGTATGGCTCAAGTGAAACAATCGATGAGATAAGTAGTATAGCAACTGATTCTATCAGGACACATCAGAAACCAAGAATTTCACATCAAGCCAAATTCACAAAATTATTCATCAGGAATGCATTCAGATCCCTGTTGAAATCAACTAAGAAAGAAAACCAGTTAACATCTGTTGATTTTGAGAAGAACAACTCTTCAACTGATGAAATTGTTAGTCTTGGCATTAAGTATAACCCTGGTGATGAGGTACCAACTAGAATGGAGTCTATTGACAATGATGAAGTTGACAGTATTGATAATATTCCACATAGAAAAACTAAGCTTACTTGTTTAGATGAAATAGTCTTTGAACCAAGACCAAGTAAAGGTGATAACATGCCTGCTAAAGATAAAAACAGGGATTTCAAAGAATCTAAACCTAAACTTCTACGTTCAAAATCTTTGGCAGTTTTATATGGCAACCCTGATACTGATATTGGATTGTATGATACCAGTGAAAAGACTCAAAAATATGACAATGGATTTAGGACCATCTTTAGAAAAAGAAGTGAGTCTGTCAGTGAAATCATTTCTACAAAACTCAAAAAAGGAACACAAGATGCTTGGGGTTCTTGTTTTGTGGATGATGAAAATAAACAGGCAAAAAGTCCTGTTCATAAAACAAATGGCAAATTAAGAAAAAGAAGCAGTTCTCTTTCTGATGCATTTTCAAGAATTGGCAAAAAGAGCCAGCAAAAAACATTGAACACAAAGCAAGAGATATCACCTAGTAAATCACCAATTAAAGAAGATCGTCTTTTTACTAAAATTGCTAAGACAGAACCGGACCTGTTGAACATTACACTGGAAACATTGTCAAATGGCATAAGAGAATATAACAAGTTAACTGGTACTGATAAACCTTTAAAAGACTCGAGTTTTAGACATACTGCATCAGTTGTTGCCATGGCAACAAAATGGAAAAGGAAAATAAACCAAAACAAATCAGAAGTAACCGTCATAGTTGATGATTTGAACAAAGTGATTCCTAAAATTAAACAAGAAAGGTTGTTTACTAAAAGGATGAAGCCAGAAATAAACTTGGCAGGAAAAGTAAAAAATAAAAAAGTGGATGAAGCCGAAACAAAAATGAAGCCATTTTCATTTGCTGAGACTCATATTAAAGCACAAAGTGATGATGCAAATAATGGATTAGGAATCCCACAAACTCCTTTTTCACGTAGTCTTAATAGTTTGAATTCCATAGCTGAGAGCTCTGAAGAGGAAGAGGATGAGCCTTGTATACTGAACAAATCCTTGCCCAATCTCAGGATGAGATCTCCTTTATCATCTCCCAGGAGACCCATATCTCCCTTATCATCTCCAAGGCAATCAATTGTGAAGCCCATGCTCGATGAGGAGATGCTTCCAACATTATCTGAAGAGTTGGAAACGAACAGAATGCGTCATGTTGCGAGTATGGCAATCCTTGCAAAACGCTGGAAGGCCTTTGTTGGGAAAATACGGGATAATGATATGACATCGCAGATAAATAAAAGAAAGAAGGTTTTGCCAATTTTACAGCAAACAAAGCCTGATGATGCATCCCAGCACCATTCAGTCCCAGAAGATGAATCATATGTAGATGCTGAGGAGAATTCTGGGTAATACAGTGATATTTCCAATCAAAATTGGAATTGAGTAGAGTTCCATTATAATTCCTGAGAACAGGCAAAACAAATTAAAAGAACATACTAGAGCCAACAAAAAGTTTTAAAAAGTAAGCCCAATGTCCTGTTTAAGAACCCTCTTTCTTACGATTGATAATGAACTCTAGTAATACTATCCAACATGAATCTAGTAGAGTTCTTCTGAGAAAATGAGGATTTCAGCAAGGGTGTATTGCCTTGACATATAATTGGATACTTGGATACAGTTGGCCTAACTCAGATCGCCGTGTATGCTTGTACTATGATATAAGAGGTATAGATACAAAATCTTCATTATCTCAGAAGAACTCAAGTTTACCGAGTCTCAACAAGTGGATTCATGTGGGAGAGAATTGGTAGAATCCATTTTCAATGAGAATAGGGGCTCTTAAACAGGACATTAAAAGTAGGGCCTTTTTGAAATTTTTGGTAAGCTCTTATAGTCATAATTATAATTTTGACATGTACTCAGTTTCAAAATTGAAAATTGACGGCTGCATATTGCTAATAATTAAACCCCAGAATTCTAGTGGGAGTTTACATTTTCTTAATTTGTTTCGCTTAACACTTTCTAACATTTGTTTCCTGTGATACTCTGCAACAGGAAGAATTCCACAATTCAGACTTAGGAGCATGAGTTCAACGCTCCATGTTAATTAATCACAATATAGTCAAACTACGAGTAGCTTATTATCACATCAAGTTATACATTGAATTCTATTGTAATTATGTACAGGTGTATGCACAAGCGTAGGCACTGAGGTTCAATGCCCATTGCTTTCTCGAATATGTCTACATGTAATTGAATAATTGCAGAAAACATGGATATAGGGAAAGAACACAAATAACAATACATACAGGGTGGGCCAAAAAAACACCCCCCTAGCCATTATTCCTGATAAATATTTATTTTTTAACATGTACACCAACAATGATATACCATTTTAAAGATAATTTAATTTGCAACAAAATGATATATAATAGCACCATTTTCAACGACCCTATATAGAAATATAACTAATTATGTGACATGGGGGTCAAAAAACACTTTTCAATTTTAAATCGATTTTGCGAACAATAGCCTATTTCTACCATATTTTACTGTTCAGTTAAAAATTGCAACATTGTCATGAGTCTTTCATAATTGGATATTATATATTGTTTTCATTCAGTTTTTGAACCATGCATCCTCAATGCTGTATGATGTAGGCTAGGTGGGTGGTTTTTTTGGCCCACCCAGTATATTATTTTCATGATAGTTGTTATATTTTTCTGTAATTATGTTATTTGTGTTTTCCCATCATATCCATTCTTTCTGCATTACTTTTTCTAAAATTGAACTAATCTTTTCTTTACTTCAGAAAGATTAAGGGAATCTAATCAGAGGTTTGCCTGCTTTAATTTATTATTTAATTTTGACATTTCCATATTTTTATGGATCATTCTAGGGTGAAATAAAGAGGAACTTAAAAGAGCTTGATTTATTAGTTACTTAAACATGTCAATATCTGACTTATACAACAAAAAAAGTAATATTTCAATTTGCTTTTCAGTTTAAACCCAATGATGACATTGTCTTTTACATCTTCATCTTTAATGTCAGTTGGGCAATTGAAAGGGTCTCCATCATGATATGTAATACAATAAATATCTCATGATAAAACTACTTTTAGGCTTCAAGAAGAGCTTGATCATGATATGTATTACAATAAATATCTCATGATAAAAATACTTTTAGGCTTCAAGAAGAGCTTGATCATGATATGTATTACAATAAATATCTCATGATAAAAATACTTTTAGGCTTCAAGAAGAGCTTGATCATGATATGTATTACAATAAATATCTCATGATAAAAATACTTTTAGGCTTCAAGAAGAGCTTGATCATGATATGTATTACAATAAATATCTCATGATAAAAATACTTTTAGGCTTCAAGAAGAGCTTGATCATGATATGTATTACAATAAATATCTCATGATAAAAATACTTTAAGGCTTCAAGAAGAGCTTGATCATGATATGTATTACATTAAATATCTCATGATAAAAATACTTTTAGGCTTCAAGAAGAGCTTGATCATGATATGTATTACAATAAATATCTCATGATAAAAATACTTTTAGGCTTCAAGAAGAGCTTGATCATGATATGTATTACAATAAATATCTCATGATAAAACTACTTTTAGGCTTCAAGAAGAGCTTGATCATGATATGTATTACATTAAATATCTCATGATAAAAATACTTTTAGGCTTCAAGAAGAGCTTGATCATGATATGTATTACAATAAATATCTCATGATAAAAATACTTTTAGGCTTCAAGAAGAGCTTGATCATGATATGTATTACAATAAATATCTCATGATAAAAATACTTTTAGGCTTCAAGAAGAGCTTGATCATGATATGTATTACAATAAATATCTCATGATAAAAATACTTTAAGGCTTCAAGAAGAGCTTGATCATGATATGTATTACAATAAATATCTCATGATAAAAATACTTTAAGGCTTCAAGAAGAGCTTGATCAAGCAAGGAAGGAAGCTGAAGAGGAACTTAATAAAGAACTGGAGAAGTCTCGTCAAAAGGCAGCTCTTGAGTTGAGTATGCAGAGACATACATATGAGGATAGGCTCTCTGAATTACAGCAGATGTTGGTAGGTTAATTATGTTTCAGTAATAGATTAACTGTAAATGGTTGAAAACATTATATTGAGCATATATGCCCCCAACCTTTTGTGGGTTGTACTAGTACTTTTATTTTGTAATGACAGTAAAAACCTATAAAGTGGAATGCCTCCATTAGTGGAAAGCTTAGAGGAAAGTCCAGTTATCAAATTACTTAATGAAAAATGATCCTCCATAAGAGGAACTCAGGTAGAACACTATTTTGAGGAACCAAATGCATTCCACTTATATTTGTAAAATGAGATGGAATAATTCTGTACAATTCCAGCAAAAGAAAAGTAGTGATGAAGAGAGACTGATAGAAGATATAAAGAAAGAGGCAGAAGACAAAGCAAGCAAGCTTACTCAGCAAAACCAAGTATGATTTTCATATGTAATTTAACTTAATATTATTGACAAATGACGAGTTGGAATAAAACTGATCAAAATATCAGTGAACCTATATTTAAAGGTCTGTATATCAAATTGAGAAGTTTCTTTGCATATTAAGAAGTTTCACTATGTAAGCTTCTTTTAGATTTTACAAAATAGTTAAAGATTCATTATAATAGCATTGCAAAATGTATAATACATTCCATCATGTATTATTTCTAGATGCTTGAACAGGAAGTGGAGGCAAACAGAAAGAGGTTGGAGTTGGAAGCTAAAGCAATGAGCAGAATGGTAAACACTCTATCTACTCTTAGTATCTTCAACATAAATGTAGTCAAACCCTCTAGCTGGTCTATGTATTGTAGTGTGTAACTTACATTGCCATCAAAGGTTCTTTGTTTCAGAGTCGGCATCGCTTTCTGACTGTGGAGACTATATGTAATATGTATATAATATATACCTTTAAGTTAATGCCACAACAACTTGAAATTTACAATATGTTTTACACATGGAATTTCTTGCACAATAAGAACAACTGTAAATATTAACATTGCAGGCCCAGAAGACTCCACAGATTGATCATTCTAAGATAGTAGAACAACTGAGGAAGGAGAAGGAGAAGATGGATATGGAGGTAAAACGTCAAAAGGAATATCGCCAAAAGCTGAGTGGAACTGTTGCCTCCCCCTCGGTTGTCACTCCCAGGAAAACTGACCCAGGGAAGACACAGCTCTATAGGATGATGCTTTATCTGAGAGAGGCAAACAAGATTAGCCAGATTATGGAAAAAGATGTGGTACGTAAAAACTGTTGACCAAATATTTCTGAGGTGTTAGAACTGTCTCTGGGGACAGATCTGCCCCCCTAATGAATTTTTTGATAACTTTTTTCGTAGTTTGTCTTTTGGCATGTTTTAGTGAAAAAATTGTGACCCTAACCCCCATTGGTAAAAAGTTAACAGATTGTCAGTAGTTTGACTTGAAATGATAAACCCTATGTTCTTAGAATAATGAATTTCTTCATCAATAATGGTTCAATATATTCTTAAACATCTTCTTTAGGTTGGTTATTCTAAAAATCTTCTATACACAATTTTATATGGTGATGCCTAGGAACACAGTTGCTCTGTCGACAAAGAATTTTCAAGAGGCCAATTTTGTTAGAAAAATGTGGTTCAAATTTTAATGCTAGTTCCTAGGGACACAGTAGCTCTGTTCAAGAAATAATTTTTAAAATGATGGCTGAATTTCCAAATTGTTGCCATTTATTGTAAAAGAACATAATCTTTGATAACTCCAATGCTAATTGATGGATATGGTTATCATTTTATATGTTGATGCCCTGGGACACAGGAGATCTGCTCAAGAAGGAATTTTCAAGATGGCCACTAATAATCAAAACATGTTTTGTTTGGTGGGATTTGCTACTCTGTGGAGTTGCTGTTTTTGTTTTAGTTTGTTTCTTATTTTCTGTAGGTTTTCAGTAGAGAGGATTTGAAAGATGGAGAACTGTGAGGCTTATATTAAAGTGAATTCAATGGGAATATAATTGTTTCTTGTTCTCTGTAGGTTTTCAGCAGAGAGGATTTGAAAGATGGAGAACAGGCTTATATTAAAGTGACAAACTCTAAGTTGGGAATTTCAACATACTGGAGCATTGAGAAGTTTGAAGATAGATTGGTGCAGATGAGGGAATTCTTTCAGGTATAAGGATAACGAAGTTTAACTACTTCATACTTCTTAAATGTAAATGCAGTTACATTCGTCACCAAGAAACGATAACACTAATTAAACAAGGAGTGAAAATCACTTTATTAAACATGCATCTTGTATATTTTGAACCATCACAACAATATAGTGTGGTAACATGTACATGAATTTTAATTTTTCAAAAATTGAAATGTCCCATACTTGATTATCTGGAGTGATTTCAATTTATTTTTAATTAGATTATTAAAACCCTAATTTATAAACCAATAATCATATTATTATGCTATAATTGGAATTAAATTGGTTAATGTTTGACAAATGAAGAATCCCAGATGAAAGTCCTTGACCAATTTGGCAGTTTACAGTAGGCTATTAAAAATATATGATATGATTAGAGATATCAGATACATGTTATCAGCAAGATTGTTCAATCTTTAATCATTTATAATTAGCTACTTAGAAGTGGCTATCAACTATAATATGATTACAGCCAAAATTCCAAATCCACTCAACCCATTGGTTGTCAAAATCATTTAGAATTCAAATACATGTACAAAGCTTTTAAAATGAATTCACTTGTTAGATATCAAACAAGAAAATCTATGAAATAATTTCAGGATGAAAGTGACGCTGCACATGAGAATATCTTCTATGATCCCAATGATGTCTGGGAGCAAGAGGATCGCATAAAATCACCAGAGAAATCTCCACGGATGTAAGTGCTTATTATTATAAAGTTGTTTTGCCATAACAGCCTCAAAATATGTATTTAGAAATATGTAATGAATGTTAATGGCATGTACAGAAAAAATTCTCTCTGCTGAGTGGCCATCATTACGAGTATGTGAACCAATTTTATTAACTGAACCAACCTTCCATTCAGGCCAATAATGAACCACAATAATTTTCCATTCAGGCCAATAATGAACCAAAATAATAATTTTGTTACCACTAACTATTTTTTATTTTGGTTTGAGATTTCAGTGTATGATGAATGTCATTTTTAGTGTATTTAGGGCATATTAAAATATAAATGGGCTATAATTTGGTGTTATCAATTAACGCTGATCTAAACTCTGGATGATGAATTGAAATATGTACGAGTTGTATATGTATAATGTACTGTACTTGTTAGCTTGGAGAGTGCTAATGGTAAATACAGAAGGAGATCTGCCTTGGACACTGTTCGCCAGAATATGACATCTATATCTTCAACCTCCTCCACACCCAGAATTAAATCAGGTACATTTCTGTTAACACGACATTTATTTATGTTAACATGACATCTATATCCTCAACCTCCTCCACACCCAGAATTAAATCAGGTACATTTCTGTTAACATGACATCTATTTCTGTTAATATTCCATCTATATCTTCAACCTCCTCCACACCCAGAATTAAATCAGGTACATTTCTGTTAACATGACATCTATATCCTCAACCTCCTCCACACCCAGAATTAAATCAGGTACATTTTTGTTAACATGACATCTAAATGTATTTCTGTTAATATTCCATCTATATCTTCAACCTCCTCCACACCCAGAATTAAATCAGGTACATTTCTGTTAATATGACATCTATTTCTGTGAATATGACATCTATATCCTCAACCTCCCCCACAACTAGAATTAAATCAGGTACATTTCTGTTAATATGACATCTATTTCTGTGAATATGACATCTATATCCTCAACCTCCTCCACAACTAGAATTAAATCAGGTACATTTCTGTTAATATGACATCTATTTCTGTGAATATGACATCTATATCCTCAACCTCCTCCACACCCAGAATTAAATCAGGTACATTTCTGTTAATATGACATCTATTTCTGTGAATATGACAACTATATCCTCAACCTCCTCCACACCCAGAATTAAATCAGGTACATTTCTGTTAATATGACATCTATTTCTGTGAATATGACATCTATATCCTCAACCTCCTCCACACCCAGAATTAAATCAGGTACATTTCTGTTAATATGACATCTATATCCTCAACCTCCTCCACAACTAGAATTAAATCAGGTACATTTCTGTTAATATGACATCTATTTCTGTGAATATGACATCTATATCCTCAACCTCCTCCACACCCAGAATTAAATCAGGTACATTTCTGTTAATATGACATCTATTTCTGTGAATATGACATCTATATCCTTAACCTCCTCCATACCCAGAATTAAATCAGGTACATTTCTGTTAATATGACATCTATTTCTGTGAATATGACATCTATATCCTCAACCTCCTCCACAACTAGAATTAAATCAGGTACCTTTCTTATTAAGGTAGTCCCATGGCAGGGCAGCAGTACTATACTATATATATTGAATTTGCCTAAAAACATGAAAATATGCAAAGTGGGCCTTTAAGGTGATCTCGGGTCTATTTCTCGAAAACTATACTATAACTAACTAAACTATAACTATACTTATTTAGTAAGTTTCAAAAAGTAACTAAAAAGTAAAAGTTACAGAATCGCAAATTGTATTTACAAATGATAAGCTATGTGAATAACAACTTTCTTTGATAGAATTGTTCTAGATCTTTATTAGTAGTCCCAGATCAATTTAAGGTGCTCCTAGACCCAATTTTCTACTCTAAATTGTACATTGAAGAGCGACCATTGTCTTGATTTATGATTAGCATTTAAGACTAGAATTGTATACTATACTGTACGAGAATAAGATTAAGATATCTTATATAGCTCCTGATTTTGTCTGTATTTCTTATTCCAGTTACCAGTATATCAAGTCTATGTAGTAATGGCAGTTTGAACCTCACAGGAGATATCATCCAGTCTTCAGTCCCTACATTCAGTCTATGCAAAGACTTCATCTGTATTGCCTTGGACAGGTTCAAAGGTTTGTATTTTTCTCCTCAATCTTAATCATGTCTAATTTTTCAGGAATTGCAATGGAAATTATGAAACTGAACCAGGGATATTCAAATGCTATATTGTTTGATCTTTGAAAATTATGAAACTGAACCTGGGACATTCAAATGTTATATTGTTTGATCTTTGTAAATTATGAAACTGAACCTGGGACATTCAAATGTTATATTGTTTGATCTTTGAAAATTATGAAACTGAACCTGGGACATTCAAATGTTATATTGTTTGATCTTTGTAAATTATGAAACTGAACCTGGGACATTCAAATGTTATATTGTTTGATCTTTGAAAATTATGAAACTGAACCTGGGACATTCAAATGTTATATTGTTTGATCTTTGTAAATTATGAAACTGAACCTGGGACATTCAAATGTTATATTGTTTGATCTTTGAAAATTATGAAACTGAACCTGGGACATTCAAATGTTATATTGCTTGATCTTTGAAAAATGTCTTTGGCGAGAAAATGTGATAATTTTACTTTTGCTTTATACTTGTACATAATCAATGGTGAGAACAATGATTTTGTCTAATGTGTTATGGATGGCTTATGATTTGAAATAATCCTCCCTTAATATTTTGTTTCAGATGAAACATGCAGTGAGAGTTTGGCAGACAAGATGCTATATGACTGTGAGTGTATGAGGATGGGCGCAGCATCAATACTTGCGGGTTTCAAACAAGTTAACAATAAAACAATGGATAAAAGTAAGTGTGGGGAATATTTCTTGAAAATACTCAATAGGTCTCAATAATAAATTTAAACATATTTTCAAAAAAAATGAGAAATAATATTTTGTTTTTCTGAAATTAAATGCAGATTTGTATATTCCTGAAAATAAAAAATATACTGATTTGTTTTATCTCATAATATAAATTAATGAAAAAACAGATTAAGTTTTGTAAATTAAAATGTTAGCTTCCCTATTGGGTCATGACTACAAGCTTGGCTGCTATTAATATTGAAAGTGAATATATAACTATGTAATAATTTGTTTCAGATAAGTTCATGGAGAGTGAGATTGTTCAAGTGAGTTGTGTTCAGATCTCCACATCTCTAGAACTGCTCATCTCGCATGCCTCCCTCTGGGCAAACATGTATGAGAATGTCACCTCCAGCCTCATCAGGGAGCTTGTGAAGGCTGTCATCATGGGCGTCAAGAAACTGGGCAACCATCTGATGCTCTTCTTACAGGTACAAGAATAACAAACATTTCACCTTACAGTTATAAACACACCACGGGGCATTATGTGCCTTATAAAGTTATACAGAAAAACCTAATGGAAATAAATGGTCATACATGAATTAAAATGTTTTTTGATTAATTAGAAATATTTGTTTCCAAAAGCATTGATATTGAGTCAGTTTTGGACTAATTAACTAATTAATTAACCAGCCCTGCATTGTATGTGTATAAGTGCATTTCCCACTTCAAATTTCTTTTCTATGTTTAGGGCTGCGAGAATGACATTGATGCCATGGTAACAGAGTCAGGTACACGTGTACTTGAAACCATTCATGCTATATGCAAGCACTGTGGAGAACTTGCCCTGGCCACTGATAGCAACATGACCACATTGAAAGATATTGGACACATTGATGCTGAAGGAAATGAAGATAAAGTCATCCCAAAGGTTAGTGAATTCATGAGGATGTAGTACAGCTTAACCTGTGGACATTTCTAATTTGAACACCTCTCTCTATGTGAATGTTTTTTTCAGTCCCATTGCCACAGATTACTATGTAAAATCTCAACTGTGAACACCTGCCAATCGAAACACTTTGCCAGTCCCAGTGGCGTTCAGATTAGAGAGAATTTAGTGTAAATTTGAAGTATTTAATTACAAATCACAAAAGTAAATTCATTGAAGTGTACACATGAAATACCCGAATCAATCAATGAATTAATGCAACCTCTATATTTCCAGATTGGTCATGACATCAGACAAGCCTTCCTCACAGGGGTCGATATTTATGTTGATAAGACCCTGCAAGGAGGGAGGAAGAACTTGGAGGAATGTGAGAGTAAAGTAGAAGGATTCTCAGAAAACCTCCAGTCAGAATCTACTGTAAGTATATAAAACTAAGATGAAATCACAATGAAATATTAAACAATGGCTAAATAGATTTATTGTTAAATCTCTAATTGTTAAATCTTTTCAGATTGATCATGAAAAAGAATAGTTGTTCAATATTTTTTCAAGTAGAATATATGTAAAATTGAAATGGCTGATAACAATTAATGATTTTTGATATCACACAACTGAAAATTGCAAAAGTGATATTCAAATGATTTATGCAAAAATATATGCACACACCGACACCCACCTAGAGGATGTGTGTAAGTGATCATTTGCATGCATATTCCAGGTTCATAAATCCATTGACTCATGCATATTCCAGGTTCATAAATCTATTGACTCATGCATATTCCAGGTTCATAAATCGATTGTAAAGCATGCTGAAATCATCGTCTTGACAACCAAGATACTCGTGATCAAATGTCAGAGCGTACAAACGGAACTAGATGAAACATTGAATGATTCGCTGACTTATTGCACTGAGAATTTCTACCAGATCAACTACCAGAGATCGCAGGGAATCATCAAATACGTCAGTGATCTGGCTGACGGAGTTGCGCTACTATTACAAGCAGCTGAACCAGTCATCCGAGGTTAGTGTTTTCAGCAGATATAATTACAATATAGGCTTTGTTCAAAGGAAAAGACAACATTATAATTACAATATAGGTTTTGTTTAAAGGAAAAGACAACATTATAATTACAATATAGGTTTTGTTCAAAGGAAAAGACAACATTATAATTACAATATAGGTTTTGTTTAAAGGAAAAGACAACATTATAATTACAATATAGGTTTTGTTTAAAGGAAAAGACAACATTATAATTACAATATAGGTTTTGTTTAAAGGAAAAGACAACATTATAATTACAATATAGGTTTTGTTTAAAGGAAAAGACAACATTATAATTACAATATAGGTTTTGTTCAAAGGAAGAGACAACATTATAATTACAATATAGGCTTTGTTCAAAGGAAAAGACAACATTATAATTACAATATAGGTTTTGTTCAAAGGAAGAGACAACATTATAATTACAATATAGGCTTTGTTCAAAGGAAGAGACAACATTCAAAGAATGCAATAGAAGACCACCAACATTATTTTAGAGCAATAAAGGCCCATGATAATTCTCACATAATTTTAATTGTTACTTCATTTTTACCCCTCCCCAAAAATAAAGAAACTTATTTTAAATTTTTCATAGTTTCATGAAATAATTGATCTTAATCACACATTGATCACTGACTTGTTCTCTCTCTATATTGAATTTCACACATCTTACATCTCTTCATAACAGGTGAAGAAACAGACTTGAGGAGGATTTGTCGCTGCTCAGAACTCATTCACAAATCAACCTCTAAATTAATGGCAATATCCAACCCCAAAGTGACATCACATGGCAGTCCAGACAGCCAATCAGATCCTTCAGATTCTTCAATCCTGAGAGAAGCCCAATCACGTCAGTTGGATGCAGCCGCACAAGATGTGAAACTTGCGACAAAAACATTGAACAGTGTCATGAAGAAACATGGAGGTGGCGATGCAACATCTAGCAATACCCAGAATTCCAAAAGTAAAAGACTACTTCCTGCATCGCCAGAAAAATCGCTGAAAGCTCTGCCGAAATTGGCGGTGAATAAAACTGTAACTAAACACGTCACATTACAACAGAATGGGGAAACAACTTAAGTGGCTGGTCCACTATGAATGAATTCTCACAAAAGGAAACAATGAACTATGTTATTTAATAAATGTTAGTTCTTTAATGTTATACTAGTTAATGCTTGTGCATATACCATGAACTGCAATGGGTGATATGGGATGTAATATACACTATATGGTACTATATATATACTATATGGTACTATATATACTATATGGTACTATATATATACTATATGGTACTATATATACTATATATACACTGTATATACGTACTACTCACTATAATATGAAGGCCAGTTTGGTTTGAAGGAAGAAAATACATTTGATAATGCATTCTGAACAAACTACTCAACAAATGTATTTATTTTGTTATTCTCTGTGATAAGCTGTTTCATAAAATACAACATTGAAACAAATATCAAATGAAATGGCCACTGAAATCAGTATGAGTGCCGAATTCTCCTCTTTGATGTATTTTCTGTTGTACCTATAACTCAGCTGATTTGAGCCAAATTGAGACTATAATTGGACAATTCTGAATTGATTGATGCATAAAGATAAACCACTGATGATCATGTTATCAGAGGATACAATAACGAAACTTTATAAACTGAACAATTTTTAAACCTGTCTTTGTATTAACATAAGTTATCATATACTATTGGTTCAAGACAAATTTTTCAAGTATTGTATACTGGGGTTAACTTGTACTTACAGAATTATAACACTAAAAGCAAATCATGACAATGCAAGATTAATATTATTCAATACCTTATTCAAGCAATACAGTGTTGCAAAGTAGGGAAAAATGTTTTTGTGAAGAGTAATAATTTATTTAATGTTATGCACTTTTTATCATGTCTGATAGCATTGCCAACAATAATGAATTTAAAAAGGCATTACGGTTTTTCACTTAAAAAAAACGCTCAATTCTGCTCCTGTGCTTCTATTGCTCATTTTGCTCATTATTAGGTGTATTTCATTGTAGTGAAAATAACTGGATGATATACTGAAAGCTCAATTATACTTTTTGGTGCATGATCAAGTTTTGCTGATGCTTTCTCATTGTTCAATATTACTTGTAAGCAAGAGTATGCATAACCATGTTAAACACATATGCAATGTTAAACATATATGCCATGTTAAACATATATGCCATGTTAAACACATATGCCATGTTAAACACATATGCCATGTTAAACACATATGCCATGTTAAACACAGCATATGTCATGTTAAACACATATGCCATGTTAAACACATATGCCTTGTTAAACACAGCATATGCCATTTTAAACACATATGCCATGTTAAACACATCATATGACATGTTAAACACAGCATATGCCGTGTTAAACACAGCATATGACATTTTAAACACATATGCCATGTTAAACACAGCATATGTCATGTTAAACACATATGCCATGTTAAACACATATGCCTTGTTAAACACAGCATATGCCATGTTAAAGACAGCATATGCCATATTAAACACAGCATATGACATGTTAAACACATATGACTTGTTAAACACAGCATATGACATGTTAAACACAGCATATGACATGTTAAACACAGCATATGCCATGTTAAACACAGCATATGACATGTTAAACACACATACCATGTTAAACACATATGCCTTGTTAAACACAGCATATGCCATGTTAAAGACAGCATATGCCATATTAAACACAGCATATGACATGTTAAACACATATGCCATGTTAAACACACATGTCATGTTTAACACATGCCATGTTAAATACATATTTGTTTATTACCTTTGTTTATTAAAGCAATTCATCAAAACTTTTAAAGATATCACATAATGTATATAACACACAGTGAGCACTATCAATCTTCAGATATTCAGATATTTACTCTTTGACTTCCGGTTTGGACTCCCGTTTTTGTTTGGTCATAATCACTGAGTTGGTGTATATTTTACCTTATTTTTTAACTTCAGTTGAGTCTCAATACTCTGAGCATTATTTTGATACTTAAAACATGGTCAGAATCGCTTGCAAATCGCAGATATTGCGCTTGAAGCACAAATTTCTTACTTTTTTGGGCCAAAACTCTGCTCATGGACATGACCTCATATCCATTTATAGATCGTCAAGAAATCGTTAAAAAAATTTCTGACAAGTTACAAAAATATGAAAGTTGGATAAACATAAAATATCACTGAGCAAAACCACTGGCATGAGAAAACAATAATATAGAATTTTCTTTTTTTAAGTTACCGGACTTCATTCTATTATATAAGATATTAGATGGTGCTGACTGTGATATAACACCGTGTCCTCGTGTATTATTATGTGTTCAACATTTTGTCATTAAACATGTGCTCAGTGGTTGTTCAATGATCTATAACTGATAACTGCTTCTTTATTTATATACCTCATTATGAACGAAAATACAAGGAAAATGAATTGAAGACTTATTAGCTTTTAATGTTCAGTTGATCCCAAAATAATGTAACTAAGGAGTATTATTATAAAACGTTGATTTGATTAAAAGATAAGTTAGTGATGGATGTATCAACAAGCAAAAATCTTACAACAAGGAGGAAATGTTGGCCATGTTGTACAAGAAGAATGCAAGTAAGGATGAAATATTGGCCATGTTGTACAAGAAGAATCCAAGTAAACGTGTCCCCATTTTCAGTTTTCTCACTAAATACGTATGCTACATGTATTGTAGTTTTTTCAGTGAATTAAAGTAATCGAATTCACTCAAGAAACTTATAAATTGTCTCGGTGAATTCTAATGGTAATAAATAGATGGTGAGACAGTTTAGGGACGTAAGAATTTCTAATCTAAACTGCGATGCCTCATACCAGTCTCGGAGGCCAGGAAAACTAATGTTAGAAATGTTCATATTAAAAGATATATTGTATTTTCGAAGTTGGAACTCCGAATAGAGAGACAGAGAATGTTTTGGGACGATGTGTCCTCCTCACATCAGGTTTGGTAACTTGAGATACCACGTGGCGATGCGCGCCAGATGTCAAGCGCAAGGCATGAGACATCTCAGTTTAGATTCGAAATTCAATATGGAAGGTTATAGAACCAAAGACTCGAAGAAATAAAATCTGTTGGATTCACAATTCGGTTAAAATGTATAACAATAGTACATCACAGTAAATTAAACTAATAATTAACGAAATAATTTTCTATTCGCTCTTACGTGGTAGAGTCACTCAGAAAAATCGAGCAGTGCCAGGGAATCTGTTATCATGATTAGAAAATTGAAAGTAACTTTAAGACCTTTTCCCACATAATTCTGTTTTTATTACATATGAAATCGTATATTTTTCCCCCTGATTATTTTTAAACCCACATCGTAGTTTTAATTTTAATCAGTTACTTCTACAAACATACAGAAAATTGTTTAACATCTACTTTGGTTACAACCTTGGTGTTAAATTTATTTTCCTTTTTAAATGCATGAAAAGTTTTACGACAACACATCCTTCAAGTCCTTTATATATCTAGAAACCAAAGGGTGAATTTCAAACGAAGCAATCTTGTGATATGAACGACATGCTGAACTGGCCGTATCGATATGTCATCGCACTATTCCAAATGTCTGCAGATGTTACCCCTTCAAATCTTTTTGATAGTAGCTTTTGCAACTTTTCCAAGAGGGGCAAAGTTATGATAGTCGGAAGTTGATGCCATTACAAATGAAATTAATAAAATATTGATACTTCCAGTCCCTTGTTTCTAGTACTGTATATAAAATGCAAAGTAATGACTGTAATGATTATTGCTCTCTTTGATAAATTACCATTTACCATATTGAACCCCCTTCCAAAAATCGAGCCACTATAGAGTATCTAATAAATATTAAAGGTAAAATACAGTTAATCGCCAAGTACTCGCAATCGCGTTCTCTTCACGAACTTGAGAAAACGAATGAATACCTTTGAATTTTTTACATGTTTAACGAAAACATTTGAAGTTTTAATGGTAACAGAATTTGATTTCGCATTCACTAGTCTAGTGTCACGGCCTTTCAATTTATGTCGTTAAAAGCCAATTACATGTTTGTACGAGAGTGCAATTTGTCGTTCTTTATTAGTTACAAAATGCAAGTACGTGTAATTGAGAAAATAGGATTACTCATGTTCAATCAAGCAAAATATCATATCAAGTATTACATTTTGAGCAGTTTTGACACCTAAGCGGAGTAGCCTCGTGGCGTGGAGAGACTACTTCGCGGTCTAACGTAGTGGGATACGGAGGTCCCGCGTTCGAGCCCCAGGTACGGAGTTGTTGATCATTGTCACTACGGACACCCGGTCCGAAGGTCCAACCGTTTACCGGCCCTTGGCATGGGTTGGTTCTCTGGCCGCTCTTGCCGGAGACAGATTGTGAGACTGTGGTTGGTTCCTCCACTAACGTGCTTTAGTAAACTCCGGGAGTCATATAGTATGGTAGCGGGCCCCCACCAAGGGCAGTAGTGGAACGACGCGATTCGGTCCCAGTATGGTTGCCTTGCAACTGAAGAGACTCGAGGAAATCATGCCATTCGCTGTGACCCAGAAAAGACTTTTGCTCCTTGATACATTATTTATTGATTAACAAATCAACCTTTTTATAATTTCTGTAACCTAAACTGTAATTATACCAGTAAATATTTTTCTTTATATGAACAATGTTTTTATATTTCATTGCAGTTATTACTAGACAGTCCAACTATTCACCAAACTTCTCACAAGCCAGAAGGTCCTATGTGATATCTAAATTTGTGATCAGCTTCACCAACATAAAAGGGAACAGGGATATTCCACTGCATTAATTGGCAAAAGTGCTATACCTCTAAGGGACGGTTTTGGTCTAATCTTTTAGAGGGAGGGGTGGATTAGTCTTTTATTAGTTTTGCTCAGGAAATTAGTTCTTGATTTGTTTGATAGATATTGAACAATTTGTTTAATTATTAAGGAACAATTAAATATAATTGAATGATTACATGATTGAAACATGCCTTGCCATTTACTTCCTTGGCTGCAAGTTAAGAACCCAACATAATTCTTATAATTACTTTACATGATAATTATTGAAAGTTAATATGTACAACATTTACACTTTGTATAATACAGTAACGCCAGGACATAGCAAATACCATCCCATCGAACAAACATTCATAATAATGGATGTTTGAAATAATGGCCACCTATTAGCCAAATTGTCATTAGTGTCATATTGTCATAGTGTCATATTCTAAGTATTCACATATGAAATATCAACAAAATCGCTCTACTTCATTTATAGTAACAGCGCAAATATAAACAAGTGTAATAAGTATTCACACATAAGATTTTGAAACCGACAGCCATTTTTAATATAAGAGCTTGTTCTCACATGAAGTATGGAGTATAAAATATAATCAATTTTGGGCAATTGATATTTGAGTTATTACCTGGACAACAGACTGACAGAGGCGTTATCAGTATATCCCTTCAAACTTCGTTCGATGGGATTATAATATATACCATGGGCCTTCAATTAGATGGGGTTGTAATAAATCAAATTGCGTAGATTATTACAGTATAATGCACAGACAAGCCAAGTATTTTTCATACTATTTTTCTACTGTGAATTGGACTGGTATAATACATAAGACTTGATACAAAAATTACATTTCTCAACCAAAAGCATTATGGTTGACTTCCTTTGTACACCTGGATTTCAATCTGATTTCATAAGAAGAAATAACCCAGAATTCTTTGATATTTTAATTTCTATGAAAAGATGAACCTCCCTTGCGATGAGATGTGCACTTCTGAATTCTGGGATATTCCCTGTTTTTCTTCTCAAGTAATTCTCATTGAAATATAAGGAAATCTTTTTCCCATCCATGGCCATTATGTCCATGTAGCTGTTTATCGTGAAAGAATTACAAAACCAGGACCTAATGACACAATCATGCGATTGGTTATTTTGCCTAATGATTGTAAATGTATCATTTAAATGATATTTGAGCAAAATCATATTTAAGAAGAACAAACATAAACAAAATCATGTTGAACTGAGAGGCGTGATTCAATATAAAGGGTTATCCAAATTCAGCCAATCATTTCAATATTTTTGGATAATGAGGTGAACCAGGACATGCATGCCATCACAAACACATATACTTTCATACAGAAATATAGGATGTCCATAGAATATCTTTACACTTTATATTGACTTTGTATTGAAATTCCAAAAAGACTTTGTTGAAACAGTGCAGGTCATCTTACTCCGCTGCTCATCAGCACTTTTAGTAAAATCTCTATATGTATGCGATCCCCTAGGACTAGCTAATTTTTAAAACCAGTCTACGTGATATCAAGAAATTAAATATGTTTTACTATGTCATGCATAGCTATAATTTAGATGTATATATGAAAGACCTGGACGAGTTGAAGCATGTCAAGAATTTTCAAAATTGTATTAAGGTAATCCAAACAGAATGAGTTACTGGCTAAAATCTTAAACTTGCCATTCTGGCCATCTTAAAATATAGTATCTCGACCCGAATGTAGTAAATTCTCTTCCAACAGCAGTCCGAATTAGTTCACAGCTCAGAACAAATAAAATGTGAAAATTGACTGCAGTTTTGCTAAGTGACTTCATACTATACACTTGCTCAACATCATGTCACTCATCCACTGTGGATCTATAAATAATACCCAATCTAATGTAATTTGACATCTTAAAGTTGTTAGTCATATTCGTGGCTACTCTCTCGCTGTTTCATCTTAAAATCAGTTTCCATCTTGCTAGCTGTCTTTGTCACCTTGGTAACAGATTCCAAAGCACCAGACTGAGTTAATCTGGAATACAACCATAAACAATGCCTTAAATATGGATATCATGACCAAGAACAAATACTGTAAACCTAGACATATTCTTAAAAGTTCATGAAATTTCTTCAATCTGACATTTTCTAGGGAATGTTGATTTTTTGAAAAATTCACACAACATTTGAAAAGGATGAGTCTGGATATATGCCCTTTTGGTCCCTCAGTCAAATGTATGTGAAATATGGTTTTTATTACTGTCCTAGTTATATTTGATAAGTATATTTACTTTTTCACGAGTTTTGATGCATAATTAACCCCCTGCTGAGAGTCAGAATAAGTATCTCAACAAAACAAAAATAGTCATTATCATAGAAAAAACACCAATGGCAACATGTATGACATGCAAAGAAGAAATAACTTAAGACCCATGAAGAATTAAAAATAAAATCATATTTTTGAAATATATTTAAGGATTAAATTTTTTTTCAAATTTTTGAATTTCCCGCCAGTTTAATTTGAAGGGGGAAAAACAAGATGGCTGCCATTTGATGTAAGAAATATCAGAAAAAAAGTTGTTTCACTTTTAGTTTTCACAATGAGCACAGTTTTCCGGTTTAGGTTTTTTAACTAATTCTGACTCTTCATCATGTATAGAGATTATAAAATTGAAACCAAAATGTTGTGCTCGGCATGAATTTGACTGAAATATGTGTAACTTCACCAACACAATTGAAGTGCCAAAACTTGATGCTCAGTAACTTTGAGTGACTATAATCCCTTGATTACCCAGATAAACACCAATTCACTTATCCAGAAATACCATTCAATGTCTATACAAAGAAAGTAAGCAAGGTTTTGGAGGATATGTTTCAAACTTTTTGTATGAATAATTCATTTAATATTTGCCATTGATTTTTTTTCAATTCTGACAAAGTGATATGCACTGTCTTTGATGCCAATATTCTTCATCAATTGTGATACAAATTGATATTTTTGTAATCTCAGAGGAAGGATAAGATATTGAAGTTTAATAATATGTGTGATTGAGTTGGTTCTTCAGACATTACAATTTTCTATATTTTCTAAGTCGATACCCAGACTCATTCCATGACTCAACCTTTCTTTATATAACTAATTCCTTAAAACCATGAACTTTGTTTTTCAAAAGTAATATAAAATTTTAGACAAATTCCCCAATTTTAGTTAATCTTTCATTTCTGTAGTGCTTGTTGGCAGGGTTGTACATAAACCCCATCCCACCCTACCCTCTTAGCACTATTTTCCCCAAAGCATGTATCTATTCTTGGACCCAATGGTTTAACTTACACTTCATCCATTTCTAGATCCTCATCCTCCTGTGGGACTTGTAGGTAGGGATTGTTACTGGCGGGGCGGAACTTGTATCCCGTGGTGAAGAAGAAAATAAATGTTGCCAGTTCCTTGAACAACTCATCCAACCATTCATATTGGAATGGAACAGTTATCTGAAAAATGTATTCAAAACATGTTTACAATTACACAGTATATAAGAATGTACTGTTATTATAAAAACCACAGTTAATTGCATTATATCTTTATACATTACCATTCATCCTTTAATAAGCTAGTGATTGACTAAAGATGATATTATATTCCAATTCTTAAAGATCATTTAATAACATGAAAATGCACTGCACAAACCCCTTACCTTTAAAAGGTAAACTATGATCCTAGTGAAGTAAATATAACACACCACCTACAAAAATAAGTTAACAATTAAATTTGCTGACCTGTCACAAATGATTAAATCTTTTAATGAGTAATAAAACACAAAATTATAAATGGCTTATCAGCATCTCATATTTTTAAAATGTTTTTATATAAAACAATCAATTACTCGAAATTACTTTCATATCTCATATTTTTAATACTTAAAGGCTAACTGAGGCATAAAACTATATTCTCCTCGTAAAATGAAAATATTAACATCATTTAGAAAATGAAGCACATAAAATGCATGAAATCAATCAAACATGAGCATAGTCTCCTCATTTTCTGCACAAAGTGAACCCCATTTTTATAAACTGCTGATTTTCTCTTCCAAACCCCTAAAAAAATCCCAAATTCTCATGTTTCAAAAACACCAATAACTTACCATATAAAAGAATGTTCTATAACTACTGAGAATATGGAGGGTTCGTTGTAGGGCTTTATTCTGATAGGCCACTTTCCTCAAATGATGAATTGACCTGATAAAATATACACATGAAAACACTGCCCCATAATGATGAGATCAAGAGACCAAAGGGATCGACATCTTACTTGGACCCATTACCAATGGACAAGCAAGGATTTGTTAGAAATGAACCACTTGTAAGCGCCACCACCAGTGCTTCATTTTTCAAAGATTGGTTTATCCATTAATAAGCACACCAGCTTTAAACAATTTACCTCAAAGGAATATTCCTTGCCAAACCATCTCTCACCTCATATGGTAGCTATAACCATATATATGCTTGCCATGTTTAGCAAAACACGCAAAAATGTTTTGATATGGTCAAATTTGATCACTTAGAAATGTGATGCTCAATTCCAGTAAGCTGCCATCTTTTAAAATTTCACACAGGAAGTGATGTCATCGACTCTCAACTTTGCATATAGCATTAGGTGAGGAGCTATTAAGAATTACAAAACCAACTAAATATTCTTTTTCAACTTTGTATCTTATTTAATCCTTCTGAAAATCTCTTCTTTTATTCTAAGTTGACAAGCCCTGAAAATATTTTTGCACAGACAGTAATGATCACTTGTCTAGAAGTGATTTTGTGCTACTTTCCTATACTGTTATGGGCAAGGTTATAGAAGTTGAGAGTTGATGACATCACTTCCTGCAAGAAATCTTAAAAGATGGCAGCTCACTGGAAATAAGCACTAGATTTTTAAATGATCAATATTGACCATATTAAAACATTTTCCCATGTTTTGCTAAATATGGAAACTATATATATGATTATGGCTACCATATCAAGAGAGAAAGGGTCTGGCAAGGAATATTCCTTTAAGTTGACTTGCAACACTTAATGACAACCCATGAAATATAGATATACAGTAGAACACCTCCTAATCTGAACACTTTTTTTCGGTCCCATTTTTTCCTCCCATTGGCTCCCATGTTAAAAAAACCTTGAAATGTGAACACCTCTCAATTTGAACAATGAACAGTCATATTTGAAAAATTCATCTGTCTAATCTGAACACTTTTCATAAAATTTCACATGTTTCATACAAAATTGCTCAAATATTGTCATGATATCAAAGCTTTGGAAAAAAATCTTGAATGGTCTCAATAATAATGGGGCTTTCCAGCATGATTAGATTCATTTGAATCAAATTTTCAAATTTCTGGAATGCCATAAAGTTATGTGGTCAAAAGAACTATAAATATTTACCGAGAATGTGTTCACATTTCTTCCAAATCCGGAATATTGCGCTTTTAGCCAGTCCCAATGTTGTTAGGATTAGACAGGTTTTACTGTACTCCCTATATGAAACCTGGTCTAACCCCCCCCCCCTCCCAAAAAAAAAAAAGGAATCCCACATGAGTAACAAGTAGTTTCACTTGACAGCAGACAATGTAAGAATGTGGCACCTGGCCACCCAGACACGGAAGCACACACAAGATGAAGACAATAAAGCAATTTGAGATAAATAAGGGTGCTGCCAAGCCATTAGGTGCAGTAGGGGAAGGAAATGAAAGGTGGACAAACCATAATAAAGAAATGTCTGAATACCTTCAACTTATAAACTTTGAAATACTGTATTTGTCTTTAATTTGGTGCTACTTAATTTGGCGATTTCATATTTTTGGGCCTATTGGTGTCTATTTAATTTGGTGGTCTTTCAAGTGTCCCAGACATCCTCTCTAAACCCAATTCAAGATACTAATTGTCAGTGCTATTGATGATAATTTCTTGTTGTTGATGAACAGTTTCTTCAATAATCATTGTTGTTTCTATAAATTTAAACAGCCCAGCCATCTTGGTATTGTTCTTATTACCAGAAGTGTACCAACTAAAAATATGTCATATTCCCGGGGATTTTGGAGACTATTTCATTTGAATTTGCCAAAATTCGCCAATTTAAAACGCTCGCCAAATTAAAGATTAATACAGTAAATAAGGGTGAGTACCAAGCCTTAAGGTATAGCAGGGGAAGGAAACGAAAGGTGGACTTACCATAATATAAAAATGTCTGAATAGCTTCAACTTAGCGAGATTGATAGCAGCTTTACCATCAGTGTGGGAAGCTTCTTGAAGGTGACGGATAGACCTAAAGGAAGTGAAGATAAATAGCCATAACTAAACTTGGTAATCAGTCACAATCAATGTGTGCAAATTTCATATAAACTATTTTGAGATTTACATATTAAGCAATGAGCATTTAAAATTAATAATTTAAAATTAATAAACACCTACACCTAGAATGGGGTCTACTGTGGGAGAATGTCCAAATGGGGTCTGGGAGAATTGGGACTACTATGGAAGAATTGGGTCTACTATGGGAGAATGGGGTCTACTATGGGAGAATGTCCAAATGGGGTCTACTACAGGAGAATGGGGTCTAATATGGGAGAATGGGGTCTACTCTGGGAGAATGGCATCTATGGGGGAATGTCCAAATGGGGTATACTATGGGAGAATGGGGTCTACTATGGGAGATTGTCCAAATGGGGTATACTATGGAAGAATGGGGTCTACTATGGGAGAAGAGGCAGTGGTCAGAATCAATTATATGATTGTAATACAATAACCTAAATAGTCATAACTATGGGTTCAACATTTTTAAAACACATTTCAACAAATAAAAACATATTTTTAAAGGCCCAGGCTAAGCATCAAAAACTTAAGCCAGGGCTTTTAAAAAGAAAATATCAATGATCGATGCAAATGTATGGTGTAAAAAATTAATTAATTATTTACCATTATTATTATTTTAACCTTTCCATGTATCTTTTATAACAAAGGTTACAAATCATTTATTTATCGGACTATATTCATTCAATCTATTTTGATCTAATTTATTTTAATTGTTAAAAACACAGCAGATTTACATCTGATTTAATTAACAAATTCCGCCATTTCTTACCATACAACTGGGAATAATATAGCACCACAGCAAAGGAGATCCACTAGAATAAGGACTTCCTTCCACGTTGTATATTGAGATTCCCCTTCCTCTGTTTCTTCTATAATGATCTGAGCAACATTCGCCAAGATCTGCAAATATTCACAAAGCTGAGAATGCTTCACAAAATGGCAGTGCAATTAAACATTATAAGATATGTATTGTTTCCTCTATAATGATCTGAGCAACATTCGCCAAGATCTGCAAATATTCACAAAGCTGAGAATGCTTCACAAAATGGCAGTGCAATTAAACATTATAAGATATGTATTGTTTCCTCTATAATGATCTGAGCAACATTCGCCAAGATCTGCAAATATTCACAAAGCTGAGAATGCTTCACAAAATGGCAGTGCAATTAAACATTTTAAGATATGTATTGTTTCCTCTATAATGATCTGAGCAACATTCGCCAAGATCTGCAAATATTCACAAAGCTGAGAATGCTTCACAAAATGGTAGTGCAGTTAAACATTATAAAAATATGTATTGTTTTGGAATATTCTAGGAATAATTCAATTGTAAATGTATGACTAAAACACGTCAAATTCATAACTCTCCCCGCTTTGAGGGTCTCACTCATATATTCTTACTGTTGCAATAATACCTGTAGAGGTATATTTATGAGAAAAATTTTACCTGCAGAGGTATGACAATAAGGAATATCTTCTTGTCTCTGTCAGAGAGGATATGTTTGATGAATGCCCAACCAGCACCTATCAGCACAATAGTGATAAACAATACTGCTCCTTTTAACCTGAAATCAAAATATTTTCACCTATCAACACTATAGTGATAAATAATACTGCTCCTTTTAACCTGAAATCAAAATGTTTTCACCTATCAACACTATAGTGATAAACAATACTGCTCCTTTTAACCTGAAATCAAAATGTTTTCACCTATCAACACTATAGTGATAAATAATACTGCTCCTTTTAACCTGAAATCAAAATGTTTTCACCTATCAACACTATAGTGATAAACAATACTGCTCCTTTTAACCTGAAATCAAAATGTTTTCACCTATCAACACTATAGTGATAAACAATACTGCTCCTTTTAACCTGAAATCAAAATGTTTTCATCTATCATCACTATAGTGATAAACAATACTGCTCCTTTTAACCTGAAATCAAAATGTTTTCACCTATCAACACTATAGTGATAAATAATACTGCTCCTTTTAACCTGAAATCAAAATGTTTTCACCTATCAACACTATAGTGATAAACAATACTGCTCCTTTTAACCTGAAATCAAAATGTTTTCATCTATCAACACTATAGTGATAAATAATACTGCTCCTTTTAACCTGAAATCAAAATGTTTTCATCTATCATCACTATAGTGATAAACAATACTGCTCCTTTTAACCTGAAATCAAAATGTTTTCACCTATCAACACTATAGTGATAAACAATACTGCTCCTTTTAACCTGAAATCAAAATGTTTTCACCTATCAACACTATAGTGATAAACAATACTGCTCCTTTTAACCTGAAATCAAAATGTTTTCATCTATCATCACTATAGTGATAAACAATACTGCTCCTTTTAACCTGAAATCAAAATGTTTTCACCTATCAACACTATAGTGATAAACAATACTGCTCCTTTTAACCTGAAATCAAAATGTTTTCACCTATCAACACTATAGTGATAAACAATACTGCTACTTTTAACCTGAAATCAAAATGTTTTCAACTATCAACACTATAGTGATAAACAATACTGCTCCTTTTAACCTGAAATCAAAATGTTTTCACCTATCATCACTATAGTGATAAACAATACTGCTCCTTTTAACCTGAAATCAAAATGTTTTCAACTATCAGCACTATAGTGATAAACAATATTGCTCCTTTTAACCTGAAATCAAAATGTTTTCAACTATCAGCACTATAGTGATAAACAATATTGCTCCTTTTAACCTGAAATCAAAATGTTTTCAACTATCAGCACTATAGTGATAAACAATATTGCTCCTTTTAACCTGAAATCAAAATGTTTTCATCTATCATCACTATAGTGATAAACAATACTGCTCCTTTTAACCTGAAATCAAAATGTTTTCACCTATCAACACTATAGTGATAAACAATACTGCTCCTTTTAACCTGAAATCAAAATGTTTTCACCTATCAACACTATAGTGATAAACAATACTGCTCCTTTTAACCTGAAATCAAAAGGTTTTCACCTATCAACACTATAGAGATAAACAATACTGCTCCTTTTAACCTGAAATCAAAATGTTTTCAACTATCAGCACTATAGTGATAAACAATACTGCTCCTTTTAACCTGAAATCAAAATGTTTTCACCTATCAACACTATAGTGATAAACAATACTGCTCCTTTTAACCTGAAATCAAAATGTTTTCACCTATCAGCACTATAGTGATAAACAATACTGCTCCTTTTAACCTGAAATCAAAATGTTTTCACCTATCAACACTATAGTGATAAACAATACTGCTCCTTTTAACCTGAAATCAAAATGTTTTCATCTATCATCACTATAGTGATAAACAATACTGCTCCTTTTAACCTGAAATCAAAATGTTTTCAACTATCAGCACTATAGTGATAAACAATATTGCTCCTTTTAACCTGAAATCAAAATGTTTTCAACTATCAGCACTATAGTGATAAACAATACTGCTCCTTTTAACCTGAAATCATATGTTTTCAAATAATTGAAATTTGTTTTATGAATAAATATTAGTAAATTAATGTTCAATATAATTTTATATGAATTTATATCTATTTTGTGCTTTTCCTTTTTGTATTTTTTAAATTGTAATTTTCATATTTTTAACTCTGATTCATTCAGTATAAAATTGCAAATTCTATTTACAAATGTATTTTTGGAGGCAACACCATACTTACAAATGTGTTATGTAGTATATGATTGCAAAATCTATTGACAAAAGTATTTTTGGAGGCAACACCATACTTACAAATGTGTTATGTAGTATATGATTGCAAATGCCTCCTCTCTGTGCCCATTCACTGCTATGAAATGATAATTCAACTGAAATGAAAAATGAAATGAGTCAGCAATATACACATTGCATTTCTAATATTACAGTAGGTCCTGTCTCCTTGCTGCAATTTGACCTTCAAATTGTGTATTGACATTTTGGAGCACTAAATACCATTCCTACCAAAGGATTTTATTAATGATTGACGTAGAAAAGTAAAAATAACATCACACTGTTATTTTGATGTATGATTCAAACTTGTAGGCATGACGATCTTAAATGAGGCCAAACCAAATCATCATATCACATGATATTTGAAAGTGCCTGTATCATCTGATATTGCTATAATTACATTAAAAGCTTGACCATATTTCTTTGGAGACCATATCTATTAAAACCAGGAAAAAAAGTATTTATGAATAATGGGGAGGATACTCACTGAATGGAACAGCAAAGCTACAGCCTTTATAAAGCAGAGAGCAAGCATCAGATAGTGAATCTTAAATACATTCTCCCTGTAAAATATGTTATAAATGAATTCATTATACATACAAACAGATTTCATCTGAGAGAACAAATAACAACTTTTTAGACAACTGGTAGACATTTCATCAATAACTTAACAGCCAATCTGCAACAGTACCCTATGGTACCATTTTGGTTACAGTACTGTACAGTACCATTTTGGTTACGGTACTGTACGGTAACGTGAAATATGGTATCATACGGTACTGTAGACTAAAACACTATTGTATGGTACCATGAACACTGTACTGTACATATTCAAATGGTACCCTATGGTACCATACTCTTAATGAGCCGTACCGTACCATAATATTAGAGTCTGGATTGGGGGTGTATAACTAAATAACAGCACTGCCAAAGTGTAGCAATTTTTGAAAATGGTCACCTATTAGCCAAATGGACATCAGACTTGGGGCAATGTCAATAATAAGTCAATATATAAAATCGAAAATGGCTCACTTTGACTGTCGGAGTACATATAGCCAGAGAAGGCCAGTGGCTGTAAACACCAAACACATGACGAAGTAGAATATTGGCAAAGGAATATGTCCTGCAGAGAGGTAGTTCCCCTCATTGGCTTCTTCAATGTGAATCTAAAATAGAATGGAGTTTCATATTATTTTTTTAATCATTGAATATGTCACTTATAAACATGGCACTGAAATATTTGAATAATTTCCTGGTATTAGAAATCTGATTTGATCTTTGTGCAATTGTGTGCGCTACAATGAGCATAGCAATGTTGATTTGATTTTCAAGATAAATGTACAGAATAAAGTCCAATACATGTTCCTTGTAAAAATTTGAACAACTAAAATTATACTAAATTTTCCATGAAGCTCGGAAGTAATTGTAAATGTAATTGTATAAATATGTCATTGTTGACCCTAATGGGTGACGGTTTCATAAATAAAACTGAAATTGTCAAAATGGAAAAAATGTAATAAAAACTAGTTACTAACCGTAAAGTTGATGAGCTTCTTTCTCTTGTTGTAGTTCTGACAGTTGTGGAAGAACAAGTTGTAAAGACCCTCCTCAGTTGGAGATTTGATCACAACTGTGAACTAAAAATAATCACATTTTGTCACTTTTTGCTCAAACTGCAGAACATTTCATATAGGTATATAAACATCATTTCTCTGTTCTACAAACATCATTTCTTTGTTCTACAAACATCATTTCTTTGTTCTACATGATCTGCGTAGATTAAAGATAGCTTCTGATTGGGAATTGAACAACATAACTAAATATGTCAAAATTTTGTTAAATTTAATTAAAATACAACTGTCAATTCATAACTGACAGATGGGGCTAAAAACCTTAGTTGCCATCAATTTAGAGGGCACAAGTCCTCAAAGCAAAGGAGAGACAATCAACCGGTTGGTACAAATCAGCCAAATTAAAACATTACCAAAAGTGCCAAATAACCCCAGTTAAAGTAATATAATTATTCATGATAAAGACTTACATGGCCACTGTATTTGCCATCCTTTTCAATAAGAGGAATGGGGGAATTAGAGACAGGTCCACTGTTAGTATTCTCATCAGTTTCTAATTTCTTTTCAGCCTCACCATTCTCCGTTTTCTTTTCAGTCTCATTATTCTCTGTTTTCTTGTCATTCTCACTATTGTCTGTTTTCTTTTCAGCCTCACCATTCTCTGTTTTCTTTTCAGTCTCACCATTTTCCGTTTTCTTTTCAGTCTCACCATTTTCCATTTTCTTTTCAGTCTCACCATTTTCTGTTTTCTTTTCAGCCTCACCATTCTCTGTTTTCTTTTCAGTCTCACCATTTTCCGTTTTCTTTTCAGTCTCACCATTTTCCGTTTCCTTTTCAGTCTCACCATTTTCCGTTTTCTTTTCAGTCTCACTATTCTCTGTTTTCTTTTCAGTCTCACTATTCTCTGTTTTCTTTTCAGTCTCACTATTCTCTGTTTTCTTATCAGTCTCACCATTTTCCATTTTCTTATCAGTCTCACCATTCTCCATTTTCTTTTCAGCCTCATCAGTATTTTTTTCATTACCATTTCCAGGCAATTTTTCAGTAACATATTTTATGAGTGAGGGTGAAGTGTTTGATTTATATGAAGCTAATTTCGTCAAATAATTTTCTTTTTTGTTATCTTCTGCATCACTTGTTTCTGTGTCTTCTTCTTTGTCTTTCTCTGCTGTTCCATTTTCTTGAACATCTTCTTTATTTACACCTAGATTAAAATATATGATATCAATCTATATACATACAAATTATAATTCTACCCCTTAATCTAAAATTTATTATGTTTGCTGAAGACACCAATCTACTCAATAGCAACTATAATATAATGAATGAACTTATAACTAGAACGAATGCAACTTTGAATTTAATAGATGACTGGATTAAAGGTAGTTGGTCTAACATCTCAATCACCGAACATATTCGTCAATAATCATTCTAATCAATTAAGAGACTCGTCTTGATCACTTGTGAAAAGTTTTAAATGAAACATAGGCTACATAGTTTTTATTCAGGAAATCTTTCCATTGGCTTTCTAGACAGACTTTTTTCCAAACAGCCGTTTCATATTTTTCTGATTATCATGACGTAACTAGACCATGCAGGTTTATTTCAAATAATTAATTAAAATATCTTCATTTTCAAGTTATATGTTGACTATTGTAATGCCAGTTGATGGAAAATATATTACATTGTATTTACAATTATTTACTAAAGCATTAAAACGGTTTACAACATTAGTGAGGCCGGAAGTCAGCCTTTCCTGAAAGTTTGGTTGCTATGTAACTTATTTCGAATTTTTTCAAAATAACTACATTTAGGTCATGGGTCGACATAAATCGATGGGTATTACTAGATCCTAATTCATAAGAAGGCATCGAGAATAATGCCAAACAGTGAAATATATATAAAAAAGGTCTATAATTTTTCATGACCGCCACCTATTGATCAAATAAACTAAAATGTATTCATATTAATCGGGCTAGCAAGATGTTATTAGCAACTACCTTTAAAGCAAACAAAATTTCACTTTTCATTGGCAAGACTACAATGCTATTCTATATGGACCCTAAAGAAATCAAAAACATCTGAATCTCAAAATACGTAATGAGAACATAAACTTCCAGGAAAATTGACTTTCTTGGAATTATTATTGATAAAAACCTGAAATTTAAACAGCACATAAAATCTGTTGAAACATAGATTTCTTACTTATTGGTTCTCTTTATCACATTAAACATCTACTTCAAATGGACAGTTTCAAAACAATTTACTACTCATTGATACACTCTCAATTAAATTATTGCAACATCATCTAGGGTAACACATTTAAATCATCTCATAACTGTCTACATAAACTGCAGACTCTTTCATGAACATCCCAGTCTTCCAAATAATCTTTTTCACGACATGTTTGATGTAATCATTAATGTTTATTACCATCATACAAGGCAGTTGCATCATTTTCATATTCCTAAATGCTCAAAACTTTCCCTTCCTTATCTAGGCCCTAATCTTTGGAATGCTTATACTACAGGGTGGGCCAAAAAAAACCACCCCCCTAGCCAATATTCCTGATAAATATTCAATTTTTTAACAATCACACCAACAATGATATATCATATTAAAGATAATTTAATTTGCAACAAAATGATATAAAATAGCACCATTTTCAACAACCCCATATAGAAATATGACCATTTATGTGACATGGGGGTCAAAAAACACCTTTTCAATTTTCGTCGATTTTGCGAACAATTGCCTATTTCTACCAAATTTTAGTAAATTACAACATTGTCATGAGTCTTTCATAATTGGATATTATATATTGTTTTCATTCAGTTTTTGAACCACACATGCTCAATTTACATGTGTATGCTTATAAAACTAATTCATTTCTTCTTCAGTCTGTCCAAAAATAGCTCAATAGACCCACCCCCAGACCCATCCTCTGATTGGATTATTCGCTTAAGACGCAGAAGCCATTGGTTGGTGGCATAATTGATGGATGTATGCGGAAGTACCATTCAACTACTAGTTATTCTTTCTTTTAGTTCCTCTACATCCCTGATAGGCTGGGTATATTTAAATACCAACTGTTCTAGATGCCCCCAGGTATGGTAATCAACATTATTGGCAACTGGACTGCCAATAAGCCATTTTTCTGGGCTAGAGATGGTGACATTTCGAATCTCCAAAAACTCCAGGGTAGCATTGGACCTGTGTGATGGAGCACTGTTCTATCAGAAAATGAAATTTCTTTCACATGTTTTTTATATTCTCGGGGAGTCCTTTTTTACCACCTCATGTCATTAACATTCAGAGTATATTTTTGCTCCTGGTTCAAAAAACAGGGCCTGTACGGTCTTTCCTTTTTGGGAAACACCGAGTGGACACCACCTACCTTTCAGAAAAATGTCATCTCGATTTTGAGTAGCCTTTTATCGCAAATGTCACTATTCTTGCTTAGTATAGCCTTTTGATTACATGTATAGTACTTGGGGCATTTAGAACAGTTGGCCTATGCAGATCCCTAGACCATTAGGGGTGTAGACAAACAGAAAGAATGAATAATTAGGTGTTGGATGGTACTTCTGCAGAGGTCAATCAATTATACCAATGGCTTTCGTGTTTTAAGCGAGAAATCAAATCAGAATTTGGGTCCGGGGTGAGTCTTTTGAGCCATATTTGGACAGACTGAATAAGAAATGAATTAGTTTTATAAGCATACACATGTATATTGAGCATGCAAGGTTCAAAAACTGAATGAAAACAATATATAATATCCAATAATGAAAGACTCATGACAATGTTGTAATTTACTAGAATTTGGTAGAAATAGGCAATTGTTCGCAAAATCGACGAAATTTGAAAAGGTGTTTTTTGACCCCCATGTCACATAAATGGTTATATCTCGAGCCAGAGTTGTTGAAAATTGTTCTATTATATATCATTTTGTTTCAAATTAAATTGTCTTTAAAATGATATATCATTGTTGGTGTGCATGTTAAAAATTGAATATTTATCAGAAATATTGGCTAGGGGGGTGGTTTTTTTGGCCCACCCTGTAGATAATATTTAAGAAAAAATGCTCCACTCTAAATATGTTCAAATCTACATAAAACTATCTACCATGGATAATGCATCTTAATACTCTACTGTTTTGATTTTATACTAGATTTTTGTAGCATTTAAGAATTCAAACTGAATAATATTATGTATGTTTTTAATGTATGTTAATTGTAAATACTATTATTATATGACAAAATATACCTAAGTGCTTTCTTTTAAATGTAGTCTAGATTTAGTTTAAAAATCTAATTTCTGTTACACCGCAACATATGTGCATTGGGTGTCTATCATGTTTTATAGTGTATATTGTATAAGAAATTATTGAATAAATTTAATTGAATCAGGAGTGCATCGTATAAAATGATTGAATTTGAAAAAATTAAATAAACTTGAGCGAAAGTATTTATATTTTATTGCAGATTATGAAATAATCAGTAAGAGTGTATTTTGTATGCAAACATGCCAAGAGAAATTATTCTCAAATAGTTTACCTTTATCATCTCTCCTATATCTGTTTAGAATTATACCATTGGAAAGCTCAACTTCCCTCCTGTGTCTGCCTTGTCTAGAATATTCTGTGAAGTTAGACTGTAATATGAGTAGCTCCTCCAAGTCTTTGCCATAATTCTCAACAGTTAACCTAAATGATAAGAAAACAAAGTCAGTTTCATATAAATTCTCATTAAATGTAACACATTAAGCATACTCTATAGTGAATGAAGATGAGTGATAAATTCTCATTAAATGTAACATATTAATTAAGCATACTCTATAGTGAATGAAGATGAGTGATATAATAGATTAGTTTGCCATGTATTACATGTTGCCATTCAATGCACTAAATGTCCATCTTATTTCTTTTAATTCATTATGAGCTACTCCTTCCAGTAATGTCTTACCCCTTGCTCTACTTTTCATATCTACACAGTTCTACACTGATCCATATACATAAATAACTAGCATAGTACAGTCATATATTCTGTTTTATATGAATCACATTGTCAAATTGACATTTTCAGATTTGTGCACATCAAAAGGATAAACTCTCAAATATGTTTTAAACTGGTTCATCATGATTGATGATTTCCAGCATTTTTCTATTATGTAATCCTTTCTTACTCTTTGTTGCTGAAGTTCAACTTGAAGAATTTCACTGACACTGAGCCATCAGACTTCATGTTCTTGTCAAGTAGGATGCATTTCTCATTCTTGTTTTCCTAAACAAGAAAACAAAACAAAACGATAATTACATCATTCTAGTCTAATTCTAAGTTTGGGGTTATCTTGCTTTTGAAGATGAATGAAGAACACCTCATTTGGCTACATGGTTGAACTGTTTATTATATGCTAAAAGCATACATTGAAATAAAGAAAAAAATATTGGATATAAGAAATATAAAAATCTTGCTTTGACCTTATGTGTTGTGTAATATAAAGTAGATAAAGAAATATACTAAAATTTTATTTATTTATCTCAAGATGTATATTTGTATGTATTAATGTTTCAAACTATGTTTTTATAACTTGTATCCTTCTTCCCATTCCATTAAAGAATAAATATTAAATTGTATCCAATACATAACAAAAATTTCCATATAATCAATTTATTTCTGGAGTTTCGCTGAATATTTAAAATCTCCTATTTGAACATAATATGAATAATTATTTAATTGAGCAACTTACCAAATATGGAGATAATCCAGAGTTTTAACTTAACAACTTACCAAATATGGAGATAACCCGGAGTTTTAACTTAACAACTTACCAAATATGGAGATAACCCGGAGTTTGTAGTTTTATCAAGAGTGAAGCCAAACTGAAAACAAACCAGAAGTTGTAAAATAAAACTCATAATCTGAATCAATCTGAGCAAACAATTATTATAATTATACAATATTACAATTATGTTTTAGTAAAATTGACATTTGTTTCATTATGTGTCTTTAACTTTGACATATGTCCTTTTCAACTGGGTCACACTGACCATATGGATTTTGACATGCACATGACAGGTTGTTGCCAAAGCTACAAATGATTATCAGTTTACTCTAATAACCCTTCTGATAACATCATAAGTTTATTTTAAGCCAATACAGTATGCATTTAAATCTCAACATTTTGTTGAATTCTCTTTTTCAAGATAATAAAAAATGGCCACTGAATGAGGAAGTAATGATATGGGAGCTTCCGTCATATACTTAATTTAAAGAGTCTCTCTGCTTTACAGCTCACCATGTTATCCACATTATGATCACTGTCATCTCCAAACTTCTCAAATTGAAAGTCTTTGATTTCTATTGATAAATGCCCTCCAACCAGAAAACCAAATGTCGAAATGTCAAACTCCTTTCTCTGGTCATTCTGAAGAAAACAGATATAATAAGGCATTAACATGCAAAATGTCATCACCTGCCATTTGACACAGGCACTGGCAACTGATATCACCACATATCATACAACGAAAAAGCAGTGTATTTCTTCTGGAATAAATACACCTGTTTTCTATTGGAGATTCTTTGGCCCAGTCTGCGACATCAGGAGTAGATAACTGGGCCAAACAATTGGTTAGCAAGGCACTAGACATGTAAGGGAGTGCGCTAAATTCAATCCCCTGTGTGGGAATTAAGTCCAGGACCTTCCGCTCAAAGTCAGATGCTCTCCTAATGAGCCAAGATATTACGTAAATAAGCTACCTTCCTGTAATGTAATTTTATTTTTTATTTGGCCTAAAAAAATAAAATATTATAATATATCAAAAATATCACGAATCGGAGTCATCTTTCTTCGAAGGATAGTGTATCAACAAGCCTTTAGGATTGGATACAAGATTCAAGTCTATTTCCAGACAACCGACTCTCGTTGGGCTATTTATCACTATTACCTTAGCTATTCATCTAGTTTTACATACCTTAAATGCTTTCTTAATCTCTGTAGATATAAATATTGTTTCCAAAATTGTTGTGATGTGCGATAATTAGGACTAAATGTACTTTGAACGGGTCAACTGAAAAGAATGCAACGGATCGGGCACAAAGTCTTGTGAGATATTCTCGTTCTAAAGTGAGAATTCAATATCTAGTGTTTGTTTGTTGCTCGGATGTTCGCATTTTATTTAGCTGTCGTAAAATGAACGAACAAACATTCCATTTGCACACATGTAATTCGGTAAGATAACGCGTCATAACTTCCGGAAATGACAAGCCAGTAGGAATATTTTTGGGAATTTTTACAGTTCATTTACATTTCTTGTATAACTGTACTAATTGTCGTTCGGACGGAAAGATAAGCTATTGTAGTTAAATTGGAGTACCATTTGGAAAGCATGTGAGTGTCCCATTCATAAGTAACACTCTAACATGTAACAAGGAGTACACAGCTGTGTAAGTTACAGTCACCAAGATAAGCTAATTTCAGGCGAGATTCGGGAAAGAAAAAAAGTAAACTTTATTCTCATTCCTGTTGCTTGTGAAGAATGAATCCGATCCGTGGAAAACTGAAAATATTGATAAAAATATATCGAAAATATATTTATTAATCAATACGGAATGGCAAAGTTAACATATGTAGCTTCTATAATGAGGAATACATACTCACCTTTATGGTAAGTGTGTGGATTCTACCAGATACATTCTTTAAGTGAAGAAAAACAACAAAATATACGCAGATTTTGAGAAATTTAATTTTCTCCATTTTGTCCAGGAAGTGATGTCACGACAATTCACGACGAATATTTAAATGTAATATTTTGTAGTCTAGATTAATAGACACAGTGCTGCGTGATATACAGATTATTTACACAAAAGTATAAAATATGTAAAACAAAGAGCGAAACTATTATTCTCTCAAGATAAAAGGTACAGCTTACAGAGACGAAACAAAAAGATAAAATTTCAAAAAGATTTGTGACATCTCGTCGTTTTCTGTAATTTCGCCACGAAAGCAAAACAAATTTTACATCATCAGTGATAAATAACAAAATCTCAACCCTGCGAGTTGGAAAAATGGTGAGCTTCTTTATTGAGCATTATTTAAGAGTTTAGCAGTACGTCTTCGGGGAGATAACCTTTAAGTGTTAAAGAATATTGATGTTCAATTAAAATGCCCTATTATCGCCCACAGATATTGGCCAGATCGTTTTGTAGTAGGATCTCATAGGCTCAAAGAATAATTCACAAGATACGACACTAAATTGGAAAAATTCAAAAAGAATATGACCACCTTTCAAAATTGTTCCTTATACAAAATGGTACCTGCTTCCCCATGACAGATTTTGCACTCATTTTATAGCTGAGATCTTCATCTTTCTATTTCTACTTGTTAGGTTCGAGTAAATAACTTATGGATGCAGTTACTTGACTTTTAATACGGCGAATATTTTTCACGAGATCCGGACTCTTGTGTGTCCAAATATCATTGAACTGATGACGTCACATTTCTGGAACCACGGGAGCACCATTCAGATTTGGACAGACAAGAGTCCGGCGATAAAATATCACTGTTTTGGCCTCTTATCAACGCATTATTGCTTGAATAACGGTCATTGGTGATAAAAAAGTTAAAGAATAACGAGACGCTTCGAATGAGGTATGATTTGTCTCATATTTTTCAGAAATGGCTGCACAATCGTCATTTTAAAATTTGAAATTTTCAGAGGTGTCTCATCTTGAGGAATTATTTTTGAGCTACTGATCCTACTACAAAAGAATCTGGCCGGGATCTATGTTATCGCCCAGGGAAAAAATTGTAACGAACCTTGGCATGTTGGCAGGCCTGTCAACTGTCCCGCAATTTGCGTATTTGTCACGCATTTGCTGAAGAATTTGAAGTCACGCCAGTTATTTTTGCGTGACAGAAAATGTCACGCAAATACGCATTTTACCTGGTAATTGTCAAGCAAAAATATTTCTGAAGAAAAATTTCTAAAAAAGATCGTCTACACAGCAAAAATACGAACGCCGGAAAAAATGTACGCATTTTGTTCGGACTTTTCACGCGAATTATGTATATGTCTGGCATTCCGTTCGAAATTTTTCGTACCTATAGTATCTTGGGGGCACGTTCGTTAGGGTAGCTGTAGTGTAACGAACCAGATATGAAAGTGAGTGAGGGAATCCAACCTAGGACCTCCTTCAAAGTCTGAAACCACTGTAACGACCCCTGGGCATGTCTGTCTGGGGAGCTGTGGTGTAACGAGCCAGATACTAGACATGAAAGGGAGTACGCTAAATTCAATGCCCCATACGGGAATCGAACGCAGGACCCTTCGCTCGCAAGTCAGACTCTCTTCCGATTCAAGGGCTAGCCACTACAGCAGAGACTGTACATAGGGCTCTGTAGTAGCGACTACCACTGTAAATCAAAATCTACTGCATGAACTACAGTTTTTTTTAAATCTACCCCAAAACTAGAAAATGGCAACTCCACGGAGTAGCAAATCCAAATGAACACTATATAAATCATCAATCTGTACAGTCACAATGTAATATTTACCATCTACTCTTACCTTCAATAAATATTTTAAATCATTGTAGTATCATATAACCATACTTTCAAGATAACTCTAAGTAATGGAGAGAACCCCCTTTTTTAAAAAAAACCTTGCACAAAAACTACCGTTCTATCTATAAAATCTACCACTTAAACTAACATTTTTTCAAAATCTAACGCAAAAACTACCATATTTTTTTTTAAAAATACCAGGAAACTACCGGAATATGAAAAAATCTAACTCAATTTCAATTTAGGTTGGCAGGTCTATAGATATAATTCTGCCAGATCAGAGAGGTTGTTTGGCTCCTGCTGTCATCCAAATTATCTTCTGGCAATCTCAAAACTTCATTTCTGGTGCACATTACCATGTCAAATCACCTGTCATCTCAAATTTAGACTGTCATTTTTTAGTCTCTTGTACCTGTAATTTCATTTTTTTCTTTGTACCTTTACAGTAATTGTCATCTCAAAAAAAGGACCCGCCATCTAAATCTCGGTTTCTACTGTACCTGTCACATACATTTTAAGCAACATCATTTTAGATTAAAAGACTGTCATCTCGGTCTCTGTTAATCTTAATAGTCACCTCAATTTATCCCTGTCATCTCAGTTCCTGGTACCAGGCATGACAGCATGCCACAGGTTTTTTAAGCTTAACCATTTCAGTTTCTCAGATCCCAACTATCAAATCAGATACAAGGGCCATTGCTTCACAAGCCAATCAAATCGCACTCATAAGTAGTTACATAGCTGATGGCCTCAAAACTTATGAGGACCCAATACAATTCTAGTAGTCCTCCTGAATACTTTAAAGTTCTAAAATATCTGATCAAACACCCTCTGTAACGTATGTGATATGTTTATATATATTTGTTAGGTGGCAGGACTAGACCAAACTGTTGGAATGGCCATGATGGGATTTGCTGGTGCAATATTTGCCTACTACACCATCTGGGTCATCGTTCTGGTAAGATCTACATGTCAGTCAATTATAACTGTGTTATGCAATGATTGGATTTGCCAGTGCAATAGTTGCCTACTACACCATCTAGGTCATTATTCTGGCATATTGCATAAATGGTCTATTTGTTCCATTGTTTTGTGAAATGGTCAAAAACGTAATTTCTATACTGGGCAATTTTTCAAAATTGGTAAAGATTAACCTTTTGTATTCAAATGACAAAATATTGTTGGAAAAATTAGGTTAAATCTGAAACAGATTATTTGTTTGATCTATTTTTCTTATTTTCCAGCCATTTGTGGATGCAGATCACATAGTGCATCAATACTTTCTGCCAAGAATGTATGCTGTCACTTTACCACTATTAGCTGGTGTCGCCCTACTTGCATTCATAGGTATTTTATACTTCATTATAATACATCCATATACTCAGTCACTTTACCACTGTTAGCTGGCGTCACCCTACTTGCATTCATAGGTATTTCATACTTCATTTTAATACATCCATATACTCAAGTCACTTTACCACTATTAGTTGGTGTCACCCTACTTGCATTCATAGGTATGTTATACTTCATTTTAATACATCCATATACTCAAGTCACTTTACCACTATTAGCTGGTGTCACCCTACTTGCATTCATAGGTATTTTATACTTCATTTTAATACATCCATATACTCAAGTCACTTTACCACTATTAGCTGGTGTCACCTTACTTGCATTCATGGGTATTTCATACTTCATTATAATACATCCATATACTCAGTCACTTTACCACTATAAGCTGGTGTCACCCTACTTGCATTCATGGGTATTTAATACTTCATTATAATACATCCATATACTCAGTCACTTTACCACTATTAGCTGGTGTCACCCTACTTGCATTCATAGGTATTTAATACTTTATTATAATACATCCATATACTCAGTCACCTTACCACTGTTAGCTGGCGTCACCCTACTTGCATTCATAGGTATTTCATACTTCATTTTAATACATCCATATACTCAAGTCACTTTACCACTATTAGCTGGTGTCACCCTACTTGCATTCATAGGTATTTTATACTTCATAATAATACATCCATGTACTCAAGTCACTTTACCACTATTAGCTGGTGTCACCCTACTTGCATTCATAGGTATTTAATACTTCATTATAATACATCCGTATACTCAAGTCACTTTACCACTATTAGCTGGTGTCACCCTACTTGCATTCATAGGTATTTTATACTTCATTATAATACATCCATATACTCAGTCACTTTACCACTGTTAGCTGGTGTCACCCTACTTGCATTCATAGGTATTTAATACTTCATTATAAAACAATTGGTTTTAGATATAATTTTCAATTTCTCACTAAGCATTTAGCAAAATAATGGCAAGGTGTCAGAATTACTATCATGTTTGCAGCAATGAATAACATTTATTATATTTTCAATACTGAATTAAAAGAGGTCCATATTATTGCAAATTTTTGAAGGCAATTATTGGAAAAGTTTCAAACTGGTGATATATAAAAGCCATCATGTAAATATATTTCATAACACACAATTCAGTGTATATTTTATTTCAATATGTGTTTTAAATGCTTTCACCAAGAGTAGAGCCTGTAACACTCCCTCCTCTATCTCTTCACATGCTATCGCTGGTGTGACATAGGCAATGGGGATACATGCAGGATCACACAAAGGCAATGGGGATACATGCATGATCACACAAAGGCAATCGGGATACATGCAGAATCACACAAAGGCAATGGGGATACATGCAGGATCATGCTGCAAGCCGTGTTTAGTATTTCTGACCAATAGTCCAAGTCAAGAAAGTTCAAGGGCATCACAATCACATAAGTGGGATAGAAGGAAATAATAGCAGGGAATATAGGGCATTGATTTGTTGCGTGGTCCTTAAAGGAGATAAACCCTATATCCATCCCCCAGTGCATAACTAAGTGACTGCTTATTTCTATTTCCAGGTGCGTTTGTGCTATACATGACAAATAAATCAAAGAAACCAAAAGAAAAGAGCAGCTGATATAAACAACAACAATTAGACATTATATACAATTGCTTTATTGTAAATATTATTGTAAATAAAGAATACATAACTGTGTATATACATTCGATAACAAGGAAAAATGTTTGTTTAGGATTATAGTGTAAGTAGATGTGGTAACTGAACTGAGATATTTTGATGTAAAAGACATATGTTCATTGTTCAATACATGATCAAACTATACATTGACAATATGATGTAACTACACTTTCGCTATATAATTTTACAATTGATTTTTTCACCCCCAATCCTAGTTCAACAAGTTAAACCTAGTCTGGGCCTTATTTCTTAACTGACATATCTTGTGGCCCAGCCTAGGTTTAACGTCCGAGCCTATTCGGCCCTTGATGCAAAAAATTTAATGGTGGCCTATGGCAACGCATGGAATTTCATGCGCGTTTAATTGATAACTGATAGTGAGAATTTGCAACCAATAAAAGCATAGCATGGAAGTTAAACCCAATCACGGCAACAATAACATTCAGAATAATAATAAATGAAAGCCGTGGTATCGGGTTTAACTAGGCTCTAGCAATCTTTATTTCAAGATGATCAAATAAACTTACTTTTGTAAAGATGAGTAATAAGTAAACCGTTGATACATTGAGTTGATCAAAGTTACACTCCCCTTCATAAGTTTGGAAACCTAAAGTTCTCATTTGATATCAGAGCTTAATATTGTTCCTTACAATAGTTTGAAAATGTTAATGATTGTTTTAAATCACCAAAAATAAGCAGGCTTACTTGTATATGATAAATAAATGATCCAAAGGGGAACTTCCAGTTGCCAAACTTATAAAGGGGATTGTCTTTACACTCGAGTAGACCCAAAAATTATCCTAGACACAATACCTGGACAATTACATCGCTGCATGTATTAAGAACACATGTTACTCATCAAGAGTCCCATAATGCTTTTGGTCATATATACAATCAGACTTGCCAACCTCCTGTTTTTTTATGGAAATCTGCCGTAAAAATGTTGTTTTTCCGTAAAAAATAACAAATCTCCCGTACTGTTTTCTCCCGTAAACTCCTGCCCTGCATTTCTCTTAAAATCACCCGTAATTTGTAAAATCTTCCATATTTTCTGCTGAAATCTCCCATATCTTAATGATAAAGATTCATGTATAAAACTTCAGTTTTTTCTGAATCAACTGCAAAAGTTACTGGTAATTATAAGAAATCTACTGCAAAAACTAGCGCACTTCTTAAAATAACACCCGTAAAAACTACCAAATTTTGGAAAAATCTCCCGCTAAGTTTTCATTTTAGGTTGGCAAGTCTGAAACATATTTTAATCTGAACACCACTGGGATTGACCAAAAGTGTTTGCAGTGGACGATGTTAACATTTCAAGGTCTTTGAACCACGGTTATGGGAAGTCCTCCATATATATTACTTATATTATTTCTCAGGTTACGCAGCTTCCATCCAAAATAAAAAATATGTATTTTTAAAATAAATTATTTGTCTAGTTTTCGTTAAACAAATACCCTGAGACACATAGGGCCTGTAGAAAACACTAAACAGAAAAAAAAAAATATTCATACCTCCAAATCTGCTTTATTGGTCAGATAATGCACCAAATCATAATGGTTGTTCAAAATAAAAATTTAAGGGAACGGAGCGCCTTATCTCGCGAGAATAAAGCAAATCACGCAAAGGTGCGCATGTGCACAACGGTACCTGGAAACATGGCTCAGTTTGTGAATTTACCACGGGAAAATGTCAAGGATTTAGTTGCCGCTGGTCATAATGTTTGCATTGTAGGTTAAGCAGGAACTGCTAAGACAACTCTTCTTCGAGAATTACTTTATGATGCCAAAAATGCCGGAAAAAAGGTAGAAAGCGCAATAGTGTTCCCAAAAATGTTTGCGGGGTTTTTATGACACATGCGCAGTAGAAATTGTCAATTTACTGAGCGGACCTTTAAATGGCCTGGAGAAATTTTACTCACGAGAATTGATGATTACTGAACACATATAGGCATAAGAGGTGAGGCGACCCAGTTATTTTTGCGTATAAATGTTTCAAGAATAGCATGATATCAAATAATCTGTACATTATGCTACGATTCATTCAAAAATTGAATCTAGAGGACAGGTGACCATATTTTTTCATATCTTTTTAATTTTTAGTAGCATTACCTGGTGTATATATACCTCCTAGATGGAGGACTTCCCACTATCCGTGCTTTGAACATAGAAATCTATGGCAGACTAAATACTGAAAAACTGGACTGAAAAAAGTATTCTCATCGAAAGATGTTCAAATTAGACAGGTGTTCAATTATACATGTTTCAGTCTACAATATGTTAACAATTACAAATGTTGTCCATAAGAAGATATCTACATACAACATAATATACATATTTACTAGATGTTCATCACTTAGACTTTTTATACAGATGTCTACATAAGTCCCACAAGAACACAAAAGTGTACAACATGTCCCCACCAATGGGCAATCCTATATAATTTTTTCATCCTGAATGCCAAACAATAATCAGTTGAAGAACACTTTTTAGATAAAAATTCAAAAATGGCCGCCTTACCCTTTACAGTGATTTCAATAAAGGCGTTCTTCAATGGAGAGGACGTAAATCAAGATTGGATGGACGCAAATTAAAAAAATAATTACGTTTTTGGGACGCAATTTGAATTTCGGAAATCACTTTGTGAATCCACTAAATAATTGAAGGAAATTCTATATCTTAAAGAAATAAAACTTTCTTTTGAAGTTTCCTTCCCGGAAGTTGATTTCTGATCGAAATAGTACGAGGCATGTGATAGGACAAATAGTTATCCAATACTCGATATCCGAGCAGTAATTAGTACGAGTCTTACGATTGGCCCCTAGCTCAAGACCTGATTTAAACCATTTTCTATTGGTCAAGTGCGATCACAAGATCATTATTTAAGAATGTGCATGCGCAAGAAACTGAACCAAAAAATTGAACCTCGCACAGATCGCCCCTAAACTAAAGCAAAATCAGTAGCTAATTGCTTCGAAATACGCAAAGAAAATGTGTTTCTAATGGTTGAATATAAGTTATACCTCACAAGTGATGGTATCTGTATCATTCAATGACATACTAGACTCACCAGAACACTGATTTAGACCGATAAATAGCAAAAGCGATACAAAATTTCATCAATTTTACTTCGGTTAGTGTAAAAGCATGACTTTGAATTCCCGGGAACATTTTTTCAAGGGACGCAGTTTTTTGAGGGGGACACATTTTTTGAAAATCGTTACGTCCCAGGGATGCAATCTTGGACAAACTTACTGAGAACACTGCATAAGAATTCTCCAAATGTCATCACCTAGTTCGGTCTACTCCACAAATATCTAAATATTGTCACTAGGTCCCAAAAGGATTCTCCGAATGTCATCACCTAGTTTGGTCTACTCCACAGATATCTAAATATTGTCACTAGGTCCCATAAGGATTCTCCAAATGTCATCACCTAGTTCGGTCTACTCCACAGATATCTAAATATTGTCACTAGGTCCCATAAGGATTCCCCGAATGTCATCACCTAGTTCGGTCTACTCCACAGATATCTAAATATTATCACTAGGTCCCATAAGGATTCCCCGAATGTCATCACCTAGTTCGGTCTACTCCACAGATATCTAAATATTGTCACTAGGTCCCATAAGGATTCCCCGAATGTCATCACCTAGATTAGTCTACTCCACAGATATCTAAATATTGTCACTAGGTCCCATAAGGATTCCCCGAATGTCACCACCTAGATTAGTCTACTCCACAGATATCTAAATATTGTCACTAGGTCCCATAAGGATTCTCCGAATGTCATCACCTAGTTTAGTCTACTCCACAGATATCTAAATATTGTCACTAGGTCCCATAAGGATTCTCCAAATGTCATCACCTAGTTCGGTCTACTCCACAGATATCTAAATATTGTCACTAGGTCCCATAAGGATTCCCCGAATGTCACCACCTAGATTAGTCTACTCCACAGATATCTAAATATTGTCACTAGGTCCCATAAGGATTCTCCGAATGTCATCACCTAGTTTAGCCTACTCCACAGATATCTAAATATTGTCACTAGGTCCAGTAAGGATTCCCCGAATGTCATCACCTAGTTCGGTCTACTCCACAGATATCTAAATATTGTCACTAGGTCCCATAAGGATTCCCAAAATATCATCACCTAGTTCTGTCTACTCCACAAATATCAAAATATTGTCACTAGGTCCCATAAGGATTCCCCGAATGTCATCACCTAGTTCTGTCTACTCCACAAATATCAAAATATTGTCACTAGGTCCCATAAGGATTCTCCGAATGTCACCACCTAGTTTGGTCTACTCCACAGATATCTAAATATTGTCACTAGGTCCCATAAGGATTCTCTGAATGTCATCACCTAGTTTAGTCTACTCCACAGATATCTAAATATTGTCACTAGGTCCCATAAGGATTCTCTAAATGTCATCACCTAGTTCGGTTTACTCAAAGATATCTAAATATTGTCACTAGGTCCCATAAGGATTCTCCAAATGTCATCACCTAGTCTACTCCACAGATATCTAAATATTGTCACTAGGTCCCATAAGGATTCCCCGAATGTCATCACCTAGATAAGTCTACTCCACAGATATCTATATATTGTCACTAGGTCCAGTAAGGATTCCCCGAATGTCATCACCTAGTTCGGTCTACTCCACAGATATCTAAATATTGTCACTAGGTCCCATAAGGATTCTCCGAATGTCATCACCTAGTTTAGTCTACTCGACAGATATCTAAATATTGTCACTAGGTCCCATAAGGATTCCCCGAATGTCATCACCTAGTTCGGTCTACTCCACAGATATCTAAATATTGTCACTAGGTCCCATAAGGATTCTCCGAATGTCATCACCTAGTTTAGTCTACTCCACAGATATCTAAATATTGTCACTAGGTCCCATAAGGATTCTCCGAATGTGCATCACCTAGATAAGTCTACTCCACAAATATCTAAATATTGTCACTAGGTCCCAAAAGGATTCTCCGAATGTCATCACCTAGTTCGGTCTACTCCACAGATATCTAAATATTGTCACTAGGTCCGAATGTCATCACCTAGTTCGGTCTACTCCACAGATATCTAAATATTGTCACTAGGTCCCATAAGGATTCTCCGAATGTCATCACCTAGTTCGGTCTACTCCACAGATATCTAAATATTGTCACTAGGTCCCATAAGGATTCTCCGAATGTCATCACCTAGTTCGGTCTACTCCACAGATATCTAATTATTGTCACTAGGTCCCATAAGGATTCCCCGAATATCATCACGTGGATCAACCTCCATCACTGACCCTTGGACTGCTGTACTCAAAGCACCTGAATAAATCATTAAACACATTATGAACTGCGCAATATTGCTAATATATATACCAAGAGGAAAATCTTGTTCAAAAATCCAGTATTAAAATTTTGACATATGAACTACATGAACTCTGTGGGTATATTTAGGACTATATTAGTCCAATCTTTTAAAAAATATAAAGCTGAACGTCTAAAACCCGGAGTATTGCAAAATTTTTGAGGAGACCCCAATTTTCTCCATAATCTTTGAAAGATCTGTGATTTTCATGAAGAAATGTATGTACGATAATAATGATAGTGATTTAGATACCTAGCTGTTGGTGCTGCTGTGAGACTCTTATATCTGCATGTCGTTGGAACTCTCTCAATGTTTTCACATATTTACAGATATGCTCCACCTGCAAGTATATATAATGTCAAGTACATGTATTTTACTTGTGTTGACATAAAAGTAGCACACATTAAATGTCATTGATATTAACACACATGGAGCAGGCTTTGGTAGAATAACAGAATTTAAAGAATAATGAAGAGAGACCAAAATCACCCGACCCGCAAACCTTTTTACTGACCCAAACCTACCCGAAAAATGTCTGAGCCATGACACCTCTAATGTCAAGTATTATACAGTATATCTCAAGTACAAGTTAAGTTATATCAAATAGAATTTACCAATTGTTACTACTTCATGTATCATTGCCCATGGAATCTGCCATATGCTAAAATATTGTTTAGATATGAATTACAGATGGGAGGGATTCAATAAAACCATATCAATTACTGAAAGAAATTAAACAACATACTATCTATAACTAGAACTAAAGTACATGGCACAAAAATTGAAATTCTCCTACAAATATTGATACCAGATTTAATTTGACAAAATTTTACAAAATATATCATCATTACATTGAATTTCTGAACTCAAAGCAAAAATTGCCAGACATACACTAGAATGTAATTGGCATTAATGAATTCAAAAATAACAATTGTAAACCCAAAGGGAATAATAAATGTAGAAATGAGTGAAGGTTTGTCATTTACTGAGTTAGTATGACATTGTGAAGAAAGTTAATTTAACATTTTGAAAACATATCAACAAATAAATTATGGCCTTGGTGATGACCTTACTGACAAAATAATATCATAAAAATGTCCATTTCACGATCATGTAAAAATTTAATCATTGCAATTAGTTTAAAAATCCAAACTTTTTGATTAGTCATTCAAAACATAGTGGTGGCGGACTCATAGATATCTCAAGAAATTTATGAGTAGTTTTAACATGACTATGATCTGAACCAAAAACTTGACACCAAATGACAATTGTTACAAATCCAATGGTTAATTTAATTTCTGGTTTGCCTTTTAAAGCTTTGCTGCTATACCTGAAAACATATGGAATTGATGCATACAATTATCTTCATATCTGAATTACTAAGTATTTTTCAAGTTCAATTAATTCGGGACATTCAATATTCATGCCTATCCTTGAGTTATCGCTTATTTCTCACAATATTATTCTTTACCATATTTTGAATAAGAATTATGATGGCATATTCTGGACTCCTCATCCCATTCTGTGATTCCCAGTTGGAAACAACTGATAAACTGATAGGACACATTGCAAACTGATGCAGATGTCCAGAGACATCTCAAATATTACATCTCTGGCTTATTTAGTAACAAAAAAAACACAAATGTATTTAAAAGATTCATAAGACCAACATATTATATTGCCAAAGCCAATCAACTTGAATAAATTTATTAAAAAAAATTATACATCTGTTTGAATATTTGAAGCAAACAAGATGGCACCCACAATGAAGTGAGTGGCATTCATGATTCCTTAAAATATTCTACTTGTCTTTTATGGCGTTAACATAAAATAGTAATACAGAGATCGACACACCTTTGTCCAATGGAATTGTTAGAATCCTCTAACATCTCACAATGTCATTAATGTCAATATTTTAAGAGGTTAAGTTGATTTTGTAATAAGTACAATCTAGTGAGATTTCTATCATATATTATGAAATGACAATTTAATTTTTTTCTCATTCCAAGACAAATGATGCATTCACTTCATGAAACTTATGTTGCTCTATCATCAAAATGAAATTAAATAAAAAATCTGATAAAATTAAATATTATGATTAATATAGAGTATGCATACCAAGCATTCTTCTTATCTAATATGTCATTCAATTACATTGGTTTACAAAAGACAAGATAAAATATTCAACTGACAACTGACATTCATTGTTATGTCAAGCTATTACTTACATAAATGAGTCAGTTGGATAAACATTATATAAGTTATCATGCTAATGAATTTCAAAATTTAAAACATATTTTATATGCATACATGATAAAAGTGCATGAAAACATGAAAATGTTATTACTATTAATTGACTAACTTATCTTTTTTCAAATTTAGTTTAATTTATTATTATTTTGTATTAAGTGACTGGTGGCAGTAGCCATTGTGCATGTCTAGATGTATGATTGTATTTTTTGATGTTGCCCTTTGTGCCTCCTAAAAGACAATCCTTGACCAAATATTGATGAGAAGATATTATGGATAAATACTTGTATTATGGGCTTATAATAACATAGACAGTAGACCCCTGAGAATGGCATGACCTATAACAATGTTGAGTTTATCGTAAAATAATTTGAAAATAGTTTTATTTCAAACAGCCCCCTCATAAAATGTGAATCTTTTGACATCAAAGCTGAGTGACAAATAGAAAGAATATTATGTAATAATAATAATTAATAAAAAGTATTCAGTTACACATCCATGAAATGATGCTTGTGTTTTGAAATGACTTTGCTTTAAACACTTAAGTTTGTGTGACATCAGAAAATGAAAATGCAAGCCAATTAAAATAAAATTATATTAAATCATGAATTATTAAAATATTCCAGTAGAAAATAGGAAAAGTATTAGAAAATCTAGCATCCAAGATGGCTTCCAAATCATAAAAGTCATTTTTATTGAAAATGTTATTGGCATATAAGAGCAATTAAGGTATCAAGATATTGCCTCAACAAAAACTATTGTTATATAAGGAGCAGTTCTTGAGGCTGTTTTCATCGCATCTTTTGGGATCTCAAGCAAGGTAAGAAGATCATAATTGAATATCGAAAGCAAGTGAATATTTTTTCAAAGTTCATCTTTTAACTGCATTTTTAAGGGAACTCGTTTGTTAATAAAGATGTGTTAATGTTAGTTGATGCAATAATGATATTTTAACAAAATTATTTTTTCTATTTAAACATTGCATTTCTACTATTTAAGAAACATATTTAGTCGCAATTAGCTCTGAATAGTAACTCTAAGGTGGTACCAAAGACGTTCATCTGTTAGTTCTAATCTAATAATGACTGCTAAAGGACGTTATACACCTGCCATTGGGATCTCCCCATGGGAAAAAAATAATTCATCTGATTTTTCAAAATGAGTATTCTGCTTCAATTATTACATTTATATGCACACTAGTATCTTGTTGACCTATATTCAGCACTGTATTGATGTATAGGCCACTTATTAGGGTCATAATTCAATCATGAAGTGTAGAGGTATAGATTCCAAACCAGGAAGTATTTTTGTGTCTGTCAAAATCCATTTACATCCTACGCATCCCTGCATCTTATCCAAATATGTTACTACATAATTAAATATAATAGTATAATCTTTGGTTTTACAAACTTGTATGATATTTGATAAGTGTAAAAGTTGTTTTTGGAGCATTTTTCTATAGCCATTTTGTAGGGGAAAAAATGATGAAAAAATGTACAATCTTTTAATTTTAAGTATGACCTGAATCGATTGCAAACTTCATATTTGCACATTTGATGAGATAAACCATTTGTGTCGTATTGTGAAATTATTAAGTTTGCAATCGATTCAGGTCATAGTGTATTTTTGGTATTTCTGTGATAATCAATTGAAACCAATGGCCTCTATTGGGATCTGCTGATATCCTCATGTTAAGTCAATGGTGCACATCCCCATGTAAGTCAATACAACCTTACTGAACGAAATGATCCCTATCTCAGCTTATGTGTGTCCGAGCACTTTAATATTTTCCAAAGTATTATATGACATTTTATTCTTCATGTTACACCTACGAATGATTCATTTTGACCATAGGGATATTTGCCAATAATTGCACATTGTCCTTTACTACATAATTTTTTAGGTTAGTTAAAGAGGAATTCACAGTTATTAATGAAATAATTATAGACAATTAAGATGTGTATTATAGAAATAATAGATAGTTTCAGGAGCAAAATTAAAAGTGAATCAGATGCTAAATATTGTGTTAAGATTCAAAATCAATCTGATCTAAGCCATTTGTACAAACTTTTATAAAAAACTTTTAAAACTGGTTTAATTCTTACCATTGAAAGGGCAAGCACAATGAAAGGGTGACATTTGAAAGTAATACAGCACAAAAAAACAACAGATAAACCATATTAAGCCAATGTCATATGGACAATTCCATTATCAACCATGTTCACAAAGGAAATCTAATTGAGATGAAAAATGCATATTTTAAAATTAGTAGAGATTACATAATGTTTAATTTGTCTCTACAAAAAGATATTGACACTGGATTCAATTTATAACAACCTAGAATGCTTCTCATAGAGAGTTTGCAATATTGCTTTGAAATCTCATTGAAGTTTCATTTTTAATGAGATTTTATGAGAACTGTGTTTTTAACCATTTAAAACTTAGATTTTCTTCTATTTGATGGCATATTTGAAATATGTGTGTAGTTTTCTCTTAAAGCAACTTTGATTAGCCCTGTTATTTACCTTTATTCAAATTTCAAGGATTTTCGAGTTTTCTGGAAAAAGTTCGGGTTAAATCCCCATTGACACAATGTTAAAAAACAAACTTAAAATGTCAATTTTCTCTTTTAAGGTTTACAACTTAAATCACAATCTCCATGTCAACAAGAGCATGAATCCAAATGATAATACTTGATAAATCAAGAAATTAAGTGACTTTCAGCAAGGATTCTCAATACAATCAATAGTATTCTGGCCCTACCAACACATGTGCTGCCATCTTTTTATCTAGCAATTTTTACAGAACACAGCAAGAAGAAAACATCTGAGAATACACCAGTCAAAAGGAAAACAACCCCCAACTTTCCCAAACCATAACTGAAAGTAAAAGTCAAGTTTTATAAAAAACTGTTATGTTGCAGATGTTCAAGTTTGTGGTCCTCTTCTGCCTGTGCAGCGTGGCATATTGTGGGGATCCGTACCCCGTGGTGATGAGTAAGATATATTACTGCCTATACATGTTCATATACTACACTCTACTATATTGTTATGTTGCAGATGTTCAAGTTTGTGGCCCTTTTCTGCCTGTGCAGTGTGGCATATTGTGGGGATCCGTACCCCATGCTAATGCGTAAGATATATAATTGACTATACATTTCCTTACTCATATTTTTCATGTAATTATATTATTATTATACTATATATAGTATATAAAATGATCACATAGACCTTATTTAGACCCTTTATAAACTTGGAAACATGTGGAAAAACATTATCAACCAAGAATCGAGGAAATATCTCCATTAGTTTAATATGTTAATCTGATCTATTTTCAAAAACTGAACAATTTTCCATTTTCAGCTCATGATGTCACAGATAAGGGTAAGGCATATCTAGTGGCTTGCTCTAATGACTGAATATTTAAATGGATTGATGGGCTTTGTTCAGGGATTTTTTATAGTTTTTTTTATTAGTGGACATGGTTTATTTATAGATATTATGTATTTTTGTTGTGGTTATCTTTACAAGGAAAATTACACATTGGATAAAAAATATATACTTGAATGTCCAGTGATCAAGATTTCATGCTTCCTTGAAATAAAAATGGACTGAAAATAAAATTGAGTCCTCTAAAAAATATATAGAGTTAAATTAATTAACTTCACTTTTGTAGAATGGTGTAAGACTGGTTTCTATCAAGAGCCAACTGACGCCTGTTGTTACTACCAACAATGTGAAGCGGACAAATTGCATGCCTACAACAGGACTTGTTACTGGGGTGACGAGAAACTCTATTGGAACACTGAACTCTGCGCTTGTGCCACTTATTGGACACCTGGGTCATGTGATGATTCTAAGAATCACTTATGTGGTAATATTTATATACATATATATATGATACTTTATACTGTTGTACATTGACTTATTATTAAAGGTGTGTTCTCTGTAAGAGTAATTGCTTTTTTCACAGACTGTACACTTTCAGCTTTAAGTGTTAAGCTGTACTAAAATTTATCGTAAGCCTACTTTTTAAGACTTTTTTCATTGTAAAACTGTCGAAACAATAGTCTATTATTTTATAGTTTAGTACCCCGGACAGGTTGTATGATGCAGTCGTTTTTTTACTCTATATTTGCAATAGAACAACCATTCTTATTGGAATTTTCATATTTTATTCTGGAGACAATTTCCAACATGGAAAATAAATATTTTGTCAAAATTTCCAATTTTGTGATTTTGACGGGCTTTTTTCAAAAACACCACACTGTCAATAAAATACAGGTTTTTGCTTAAACAATTGAACTTTTGACGTCATTTCAAAGATTGTCTAGCTATTGGATTTTTGACAGCCTAAAGTCTTTCCAGATGTATTTGATGCCATATTAATTATGGCTGATTATTGTTATTCATTTTAGTCATCTTCAATAGGCCTAATATTATTACAGTGCATTAGGCCAATGAATAACTTGTCATTCTGGGTCACGTTTTCTCTGAAAACGCACCTTTTTCTCCACTGGGTTTTTCCGCAACCGTCACTCAGCATGCGAGCCCGTGGCACGTAAATTGTACCATGCTTTTAAAATGTCAGGTCTCCCTGACAATTTCATGATAAAATTTGACACAGCTGTATTAACATCTCTGAAGGATCTAATGCCAAGAATATTTCAAATAGGAGATTCGTAATGTTTTACTTTATTTTGGACAGTATTGAACAGTGAATTGTAACAGTGAGTTGAACTCATGTCTGTGGACAAGAAGATTGACCTCCTCTATCTGGGCTCAATCTAGGGAACGCTTCACAAAACAAGGCCCAGGGCAACAAATTTTTATTGGCCTAATGTACTGTAATAATATTGAATATGACTCAAGTGAATAACAATAATCAGCCATAATTATTAATAGATGGCAACAGATATATCTGGAAAGACTAGGCGGCCTGAAATTCCATAGCCAGACAATATTTGAAATGACGTTAAAAGTTCAATTGTTCAAGCAAAAACCTGTATTTTATTGACAGTGTAGTGTTTTTGAAAAAAGCCCGTCAAAATCATAAAATTGGAAATTTTGATAAAATATCTATTTTCCATGTTGGAAATTGTCTCGAGAATAAATCTTGAAAATTTCAATAAAAATGGTTGTTCTATTGAAAATATAGAGTAAAAAAACGACTGCATCATACAACCTGTCCGGGGTACTATCATAATTTCACGTTTAGCATACAATATAATATATTGTAGTATAATGTATAGAGGATATCCTATGATTTTTGAGGAATTTTATCCATGAGTGGATATCACCCTTCTCCAAGAGAGAGCGCAGCAAATTAGTGGAGCTAGAGATTGGCGATATCCAAGAGTCCGCCCAAGAAAATCATGGGATATTATATTTATCCAGTGGTAACTATTTTTGTATGGAATTATTTGGCGCCAAATTCTAACTAATGAAAAAATCATATCTGACGGATACTATTTTTAAGACATCATAAGAGTTGGATACAATTTTTTGGCGCATACCAAAATAATCTTGTGTCGTTATCCCATTATACATTTAGTATCCATCAAATAAAACATATTATCCCATACTTGAGGTAAAATCTGTAGGATAACATATATATAATATATTTATGATATTTTGCAAATATATGAAAAAAGTGATATCTGTGGAATACAGAGAATATTCCAAAGATATCACATTTTTCCACGGATTTGAAAATTCCTGCCAATGTGACGTGTATTGTCAATTGATGATTTCATGACTTCACATGATGAATTAATGAATTGATGTTGTTTTGAAATGTTTGGTTAGTTTTATAAGTGAACTATGGGGTAAATAAATAGAACATCCTATGAATTTTCGTGATATCATTTTAATCCACTCATTGATATGAATATCTGCACTCATTTGCTACGCCCACTCATCCAGATATTGATATTAACTCGTGAATAAAAATGAAATAACTCAAATTCATAGGATATCCTATACAAATAATATATAATAATAATAATATGAGGGCTATGTTATGGGAGGTTTTGGATATGGGGTTTCACAAGTGAGTGAGGTGTTCAGGACACCCAAATCCAAGTTTGCTTTCTTTAGTACAGTGTTCTTATTCTCAATATTTTTGAGAAATCCATTTTGATCGAGAGAAATTCTACCATCTGCTGCATCCATTTGACAGTTTTCTCTCTGCGCGATATTCTAACAAATTGACTCTTTCAATACTGAACAAACACAGCGGAAAATATACAAGATATCAATTCTACATCACGCTGTTATGTACCTGAAACTTCACTTGTCATAGGATAAAATATAATATTTATCAGTTTGTGGTCCAGTCCTTTCCAGGTAATAATATAATATCATTCGCTTCACTTGCGTTCCATGATTTTTCCTCCCTTCCTCAGAATTCTTAAATGCACTGACTATCTTAACCTTTTTCCAGGTGCAGTTTAAATAAGTTTGGGTTTTCCTGACTTTTCCTTGACTGTGGCATCTAATACGCTTTGAATGTCTCTTATAAATTGCAGAACCAGGATTCCATCCCCATCATAATAGGTGTCATGCTGATCCAGCAAAGAATGAATGCTGTCTAACAGGAGTTGATTATGATAACCATACTCAGGGTTATGGACCTAAGTATGTAAGAGATAGTTTCAACATCAGCAAATACTACATACCAAAATGGCATGAGTATGGATACTGCCCATGGCCTGGAACTTTCAGTTTGAAATACTGCGCATGTGAACATCTAAATAGTAAGAAATTATGTTTAATACTACAAACTTTTAGAATATTGACATTAAAGATAAGATAAAGCTTTACACATATGACCCTTACTGCATCAATATATTTCATGTTAGTACAGTCATATTTTAATTGATTTGAGAGCTCCATAAAACATTCAATCAAAAAACAATATTATCGTTTTCATCTATTGTTATATCCACTGAGCTAAATGATATGATGACTGGCAGTTCAGAAGACTATGCATACAGTGTAATACAGTACAGTGTAGTACAGTACAGAACAGTACAGCACAGAACAGTACTACAGTACAGTACAGTAAAATATTGAGTTGTAATATGAAAAGAATATGAGATTTTCATCCTTACCGATAACCAAGTAAACTGAATCCATTCAAGATTATTATAATATTCATTAATAATGATGATTTGAACATCTTAGCCACATGTGCCTGTGCACATTGGGACTTCTTTGCACCCGACCCATTACTGGATGATGGCACATACATGAGTGAAGGCAACTGTGAAGCTGGTGGAAATGGGCAGCTTGTATGCCCTCAAATATTTCCACCTATACCTGCTGAAATCCCAGCCACCCAGAAGATTTTCTTTGGCAAAACGGGAACAATATTTGGTATGGTTGCTGTCAACTTTGACGGAACAGTTGTGACCAACGAAAGTCCAGAAGCCAAGCCTCCCATGAACCACACCATTAAGATAGAGATTATTGATTGTACTCTAATTGTCTGGTTTGAGTACTTGGGAATAGAAGTATTTCATGAGGTTAATCTGTCTGATGCCGCTAAAGCTGTAAGTTTTAATTTTTTGAATTGGGTTAATACTCTGAAACAGTGGTAATACATACTTTATAATAGAGCTGTAACAAAATCATGAAAAAAATTGAAATGGTTTAGCAAAACTGAACACCATCATCTAAATTTGGTTTTACTTTTATGAACAGAGAATACAAAGAGGCGAGGGAGTGGGCAAGTACTTTGATATACATATTGAAAATGGGAATATATCATCTTGCTTTGGAGTGAAATTTGATGATGGAACATATGGACACACCGAATGGGAGGAACCTCTGCCAGTGGGTTGTAAGTATTTACTAATAACAATTTCACAATGGCAGACACAAGAATATAAATGTTTGAGAACACTGATCACTATTGTGATAGCTATCTTAATAATTTTCCAATTTAAAAGTAATCATACTTTGTGCAAAATACATTTTAGTCAAACTTTTAAACATGAACTTGACACCACAGAAAGTTGCATGGCTGCCTGTGCACTGTGCAGCAACTCCCAGCAACTTTCATTGATGTGCTTAACTTTAAAAAAATAATGAAACGTTAATGCTGCATCTTCAATACTTCATGCAGCCAGTTGGTGGTCAATTTTTATCCTATATCTTATGATTAGACCATCCAAGATCAATATTTTGCCAGATTTATTTATAAGATTTAATACAAAAATGCTTATTTTATTAAAACATGTTGTTTTACATCCTTAATATGACAATTTATGACATTAAAAGTACTTAAAAAGATTTTTAGTAAATGTTCAGGTAGTATGAGTGGAAGTTTATTACTTTTGCAACTTTTCATTTTATCGCAAATTTGTAATTTTCTGTGTTGTCAGTTTAACATTATAAGCATGATTTAAAATAGTCTATAAAAGGCTTGAACTAAAATATAAAGTATTGACAACTGATCATGAACAAAGGGAAGTAGGATATATTAACAGGATAACATGCACTTAAACTTCAAGACACCAAACATCAAATGCCATGTTTTCATGTGTTACAGTCAAACTAGCTGGTAATAAGTGCCCATTCAAACTTGGATTTACAAGACCAGCTTTATATTATGACGTAAGTTTCAAATTATCAATTACTAAATTATCAATTTGTCCCTTATTAACTTTAGTCACCAAGAATGCATTTAATAATTGTGACCATCATCATGGTCAAAATAACCTGTGATATAATAATACATTTATACATAATGTGAATATTAGAAATAAAAAAAACATAGAGGGAAGAGAGAGAGGGAAGAATGAAGTAAAATATGATGCAATACTGTTTTTACCATTTTGAAGTATATTCTTAACTGTTTGAATCCAAGTGTAAATTGCTTTAATTTGGCGCCCACCTTCCTGTACAAGATTGCCAATTTCAATTTGATATTTATTTTTCTGAAAAATGATGTAGCTACAAACTGGCCAAATTGAGTACAGCCAAATTAAATCAATTAAATGTGTAGTGTGGTGCATCCTTTGTAAACACATTATTTATCTTTATAGTTTGGCTATTGTGTATTTGCATGGACATACTCTGACTGGATAAACTACTTGGCAAGTGGTGTTGTGCCTCCAAATCCCAATCCAGATACAGGATCCTGGGCTGTGTTTAAAGATTGGTAGATCTGTGAAAATGAATTGGAACAGAACAAAACACTACAAAGTGAATTTAAATCTGTATTTGAATCATAAGAAAACAAATAAATGGATGATTAATGCTGCAATCGACACATATGTTTATTTAATACTAACCAGGATATCATTCAATTTCCTTTCTAATTAGAATGATAAACTGAACAGGTCAGAAATCACTCCACCCTTTCAAAATATCATTGCAAAGTAATACATCTATATTTTTATATTGTTCATATACTCCTCAAAAAAAGTTAAGGACCAGTCTTTTTCTGCCTAGGTTTACTTGTTACACCCCATGTATCTTAAAACTAAATTTTCTAAGCCCGAAACAAAAGAAAAACTGATATTGTAAATGGATATGCTATTTTCAATTTAATCTCTCTATTAATATAGTTCAAAAATTGATGTCAAAGTTGAGGAATTTTAAAAAAACGGCAGAACCCATGTTAACCAATGGGATATGGTGGGTTAGGGCCAAATCAGATTGAAAATCTGGAGTCTATTGTTTTTGCCAGTATTCTTTATTAGACTCCAGATGTAAATCTGGAGTCTATTGTTTTTGCCAATATTCTTCTTCTTTACCTTTTATTCTTCTACACACGTTTTCTCAATGACTAGAAGACATTGAGCCAAGACCTGTATGTGATCAATTAAGGTCCTATACCAGGATACTCAGAAATTGGGTGAAATTTTTATCTAGGTCAAAGGTCAAGAACTAGGTCAAATCTTACATTTTCTACATTCTATCAATCATCTTCGTTGTTATTTAACATCTTCATCTTATTTCATCATGTAGCTTAGAAACAGCCTTTTCATTATTGCTGACACTACACTTCAATAAATCAATATTCTTCGAAATTGTGTATACATGTATCCAAGAGTGTTAATAGTTTTAGCCTTTCACTGTCAGAAAATATTTTGACCCACTTTTGAGATATGGTGTCCGAAAAGTAGCTCAAAATAAAAAGTTCTAAATATTTATCATTGGAGTTATGAATTAAGACTAGAATTTTTCTCCGGAATGCGAATCTGCAAACCAAATTTCGATCCAGTTTGGAAGTAATGGCGTTTTGAAAGTTCAAACATCGCTAGATTTGGTGCCCCATTTTGGGTCAATGGGAAACAATTTTTTGAAGTGTAAAATATGAGATGTACTGACTGAGTACAGCTTAATATAATGAAAGCCTATGAAAGGAGGGGACCTTGAAGGCTACTTAGCTTCTTTCCTATTCTATTGTATTCCATCATATCTTTCCTTCCTATACTACCCTATCCTATCCCATCTTATTGTATCCTATCCTTCCTATCCTTTCCTTCCTAATTCTATCTTATCCTATCCTTCCTTGCAATTCTATCCTCTCCTTCTTTCCTATTTCATCCATCCATCTTTTTCTGGATGACTCGGCTTATTCTGGATGACTTGGCTTATTTTGGATGACTGGGCTTAATTAAGTCTAAAGCTGGAGTCTGAAATTGAACTCGTTCAATTTCTAAAGTCTAGTTATTATTGTTATATCTTTGTTACCACCATATTTGGTGAGCAATACCTCATTGGTATATTCTGTATTTTAAACTTGATGTCAGAGCCAGAAACAACTCCTCAGATGAGCCCTGTGTTCTTTTGTGTGCACAGGCACACAGACATACAAGTTAACACACCTTTTATACAAGTCCTGAACCACTCAGTCAAACACCCATTACCACCCCTGAATAGCCTGACAACTGTAAAGTCAGATACCGTTGTCACAAATGGTGGACATAACCGTCGCTTCAACTCTTGGATCACTTGGTCCTCATTTCATGGGACTTAATTGTCCCAAATTCTGTGTATGTATTAAGCTCTTGTGATGATGTTGTTTCATATGAAATCCCAATTTTGATCATATTGGGTCGGGTATCGCCAAAATATAGCATCTTTGATATCGTCAATGACAACAGAATCTAAATTATCAATATGCCGTTGTCTTGTAGAATATCTAAAATTCAATTCTAAGTTGTCTTCTATTATCCTCTGTTTTACAAGCAACATGCAAAAAATACAATTGAAAGGAAAGGAGAAGCTATGAATGACTTGTGTGCCTTAAATCCTAAAACATATAAACAAACAAAAAAAATAAATGAGGCTGATTACACATTAGATGAAGTTGAAAGGTATAAAGTTTATGTGATCATCATGGAAGTTAAACACTACATCAGAGATGATCTTAGATATTAGGTGATCTTAAATATTCCCAAAAAGAACATTTTTTGCAAGGCAATGAACTTGTTTTTTAAGGTTAGAGTCACTAAATAAGTGACTGAATTTGCAGGTTTAACAGTACAGGAATGGGCTAATCCATTTCAGTTATTCATATGCGATTACATATTATTCATACAATATAACAGGATTGTAATAGCAATAACAGGATTGCAATAGCTTTATAGTAACCATTCATATACCTAGAAATATAAATCTGACTGCATTCATGATGAATTGACATTACAATCTAAAAACAAAAACAAAAAACAAAAAATCAAACTAACAAAAAAACAGCATATTGGAATACCTGAAGAAATACTAACAAACTAAGGGCTTTTCAGAAAAGATTATGGCAACATTAAGAGATGAATTCAGATTACACAATTTTGGATTCAAGTTGAAGAATCACAAAGCTTTGTCAAAAAGTCAGGTAAGGCAAAGCTTCCAAAGTTATGTTTTGGGTTTTATATAAATACTTTAAAATACTAGATTTAAATCTTTTTGAACTATATAAATAATTTAAATTCTGGATTTCATACTTTAAATGTCCAGCTGACAAGTACATCTTTAGACACATTTCATCATGTTAGTCCATAAATGGTACTAGTATATTTATATTGGTGTCTACTGTACTGTAAGAGCCAGAATAAGAGGTAATAATCTAGGATGACATATTGCCTTTGAGACTTCCAATCATTGTGTTCTTTCATATCCAAAAAAGACCATTTCACCTTATCAAATTATTAGGATATGGCTTCTTATAGCTCAAAAATCAAGAGATATATTACATGGCATGATGTGAAATGACATGAAGATAAATTCACTGATCCCCACTTATATATATATATAACATTTATTGACATCTTGTATCATTACATGATTACATTAGACACCTACTACTAAACTACATATTAAAACTATATCTTATAAAAATATACATGATTTAATATATATTTAATATAGGATAAGCCAAAATACTTGTTTTACTAAATAGCATGAGATGCAAACAGCCAATCATGTGATGCCATGTGATGCTCGGGGCACTGTACTACCAGGAAGTTCAATGAATATCACTTATCACCATCGAACAATCAGATAAGGGAGCCATTCGTTGGCACCCTTGCATCGGTGATAACAGGAAAAGTGCGTTCAAATCATATCTTGGATTGCAGTTATCCAATCTGAATGCAACACAAATTGTGATACCTGAATGTTTGACGTTATGTTGGTGGGAGGAGCTTAAGTGTTGACTTTCATAAACCACAATTATTTACATAATTTGCTATATATGTTAAATATTGTATGTATTATATATCATATTAAAGATAAGTAGTTTGTTAACAATATGACACCATCCGATTGAAAACCATTGTTTTCTTGTGGACTTAGAGGCTAAAATTGACACGAGGGGTGTCAGGAGTGACCAAGAATTATTCACCGCAGATTTCCAAATTTGGGAAAATGGAGGGAAATTAAAACTTTTGCACCTTCAAAAGAGGTACATTATACAAGTTAAGTGCAAATTTTACCAATGATACTTAAATCTTTTTTAATTAACTTTCAATTGTGTATTACTCTTAAATAAATTTATAATGATTCAGTCAAGCATATTGAGTGCAGCTGACTGCAATGTGAAGGGAAACTGGGGAATTTTTATTTTTTCCAATCAGATGGTGTCATACTGTAAGAAATTATTCATCTTTAAAATAGTATATAATACATGGCATAAGCAGTGTTCGCGCTAGCCATTTAAATTTCTGAGTCCCAGGGACGCAACACATTTGAAAAATGTGAGTCCCGTCTAATTTTTTTTGCGTCCCTCATATTTTGTTATAAAGTGAAAGTAAAGTGGGCGATAATAGAGTGCTTCCGCTAAAACTGGATAAAAATGACATATATTGTAATTCTATGCATTCTCCCGATAAATATCTATCATTTGGTCCTTTTCACACAATTCTTTACTAATGTTATATCAAAATTCTCCGAAATGAATGAAAGAAATATTCAAATTAAGAGTTGTTTTCACATTTTACCAACCAGCGATCTTCAAGGTCGTGTCAAGGTCGTGAACTTTTTGTTTCTTCTAACATTTCTCCTTACTCTGACGATTTTTAGATGAAAAACGAGCTATCATTAAATAATTATATTGATGTATAACATTAGATCGATATCTAACGGTTCCTAGTGGAAGTAATTAAGATTATCGTGAAAAACAAATCCCAATTCTAAATTTTGAAACTAATGTTTGCGTACAACAGATTATCCAGCTTTGGTATACTCCGGAATGACTCGGAGGGCACCATAGCCAATCAAATGCTGCGTTTCAGACTAGAAACCCCGCGAATATACTGAGACACTTCGGTAGCCAATCAGATTTGCCGACATAAACATTATCGAGATCAAGGAAGTAGACGATTTGAAAATTCTTCGGACAATCATGTTTTATCACTTCTACGCTGCAGTAAAAGTTACCTGATGGTGGTGTAGAATCTTTGCGTCCCAGGGACGTAAGTTGTTTCTGATTTTTCCGTCCGACCTCTTGAAATTTCCGTAAAAACGAGAAAAAACGGCGTCAACGCGAACACTGCATAAGATATATCATATATCATCTTTAAACTTGGGTTTTGTTTTTTAGCCCACCCTGTAGATCTCTTTAGAGTTTTTCTCTATTTTTTCTATTTCTCAAGAGGTTGCAAAATTCTCAATTATGATAGTTTTCTAAATGCAAGTGGGGACAGGCCTATTTTTCAAATCTCAAGTAAATGCAAGTATATATTTTGTTCATTCAATACTAAGTATTATGCTCTTGTACAAATATAAAAGAATGGAAAGAGAGTGCCATCATGCAATTGTTTAATGGGAGGATTTATTACAGAAGAATCTCCTATCGTCAGATCTGACTTGAATTAGATAAATAACCAGAAAACAAAAATCACAAAATTAATGATTAATGCACTTATGAATACAGACAATCCATATAACATTAAATTTGTGTAAACAGTTTTAGCTGCTCTTATATATGCTTCTCTTGTGACTCCTGGAATTGGATTTCATTCAATCTATACAAGTATGTTCAATGTAAAAAATAAATGCTGTCAGGTTAAAAGCCTTTTAAAGCCATTTAAAAATGGTATAAGTTACCAACACTATAAAGTACTCAATAAAAGGCAGATATCATATATGGGGTGACAAAATTACATCCAATGTATATCCGAGTGCCAATATGTTCTTTACCACCTAATATATATAATTATTCCATAGTTAGCATGATATTCATAGGATAACATGTGAAAATAAAAACGGTATTTTGTAATCAGTGGTAAAATATGATATTTTTGACAAATTTTCACTTAACCATAACATACGGTTTTTAGCCATGACATACGACGTCGTATGCGATGGTTTATGGATTTTTGCTACTTCAGACTCAAAACGAGGCTAAGTGTCAACATCGCCGGATCGTTTGGAAATTCGAATTAAATAACTTAATTTCCGACGATTCTGATGATGACTTTAACTATGGAATAAAAAGAACATCCTATGATTTACTCGTGATATGATTTTAATCCACTCATGGATATTGATATCTGCACTCTCTCGCTACGCTCACTCGTGCAGATATCATATCCATTCGTGGATAAAAATCATATCACTCATAAATCATAGGATATCCTCTATATATTTCAATATGACTGTTGGTATCTTATTAACTGTAACTAATTTAAGATTTGGTGTGTAAAATCAGTAAATCAATGCCAACCAAGGGTCCAATGTTGAATTTCACTGATTCTCTTCTTACTGGATGGAAATATGGTTCCTATGGTATCTCATTCTTTGGGTAGACAGGGCAATATTTTCAAAATTATTCAAAGGATAGCAATTCATGTGTAATGCATTCAATGTTATTTATGGTTGAAATGCCCATCAAAGACATTATTAATTGACATCTCTTAGCCATTTCAAAGTTTATCAAAAAATGATATGCCATTAAGTTATATGTCATTAAACATCATAGTTACTAAATTATCACTCATTTGTTTTATTTTCTTCAGTGGGAATGGCATCCTGTGATATTCCTGGTGTACAGGTTCATAGTGTGTGGATACACTCTTGGATATTGGATAGCAGCTGTGGTTGAGTCAACTGACAAAGCACGTATGGGGATCTATTTGACACATTGGACATACACAATGTTGACACTGCATTTTCTAGTAGCATTCATAGTAGCTGTGATTTCACATGTATGGAAACAGAAAATCAGTGCAGAGCCCGAAAACCCATCTGAAGAAAATACACAAGGTACAGATGAACTGGAGAACAGAGATGTTAATATCAACTATCAGCCTATGGCGATGGATCCAGAAAAAGCTTATATTGTTCAAACAGGCAAAACAGTTCCATGGTATATGATGATATCTTGGGTTCTCTATGATGTTACATTGGTGTTTTCAATAATAGTAACTTTGGTTTACTTTGGGGCATTGTATGATCCAAATAATGGCCTTGACCATTACAACCTCAACAGACATGCTCTCAATTCAGTGATTGTAATAATCGACTTTGCCATAAACGCAACACCAGTTAGACTCTACCACATCATTTATCCAATTGTTTATGGCTCATGTTATGTAATATTTACCCTTATATACTGGTCATTGGATAAGGATAATAATGTGGTTTACTCCATATTGAACTATAACTCTGGAACACTGGTAATAGCAATTGCTGTTATATTTGGACTATTACTAGTTGGGTTGCCTCTTGATATGTTGATGTGGTATGGACTTTCCAGACTTAAGAGACTCGTCTACTTTAAAATATACAAGAAGGAATATATTTGCTAAAACATTTTGAGACATTAGCTAATTTTAGCTGTCTATTAGGGCTAGCACCAGTGGCACCAAATATTGCTTGATTTAAGTTCACTTGTTTTATTTGCAAGAAACATTTTAATAAATGATATATTACTTAATTAGACCCCCCCCCCCCCCATGTTTAGCAATGCATTTATTTGGATGATGGACATTCAGGTTCTGCAAAAGATGTAGTTTGATGACAGAAATGTGGTAGAAATAAAGAGCAAATTAGATGGTAAAAGTAATAACAATTCTTTATGACATTCTCTTAGAGGTATTATAGGATAAAACTTGGATTGACCAATACAACTTTACAAACAGTTTACAAACATGACTAATCCCTTTAGCCCAATATCCCTGCTGTGCATTTATATGTGCATGTACATATAAAAGCACTGAAATACTTGGCAGGTAGATGAACAATTGATATGTTTCAATAAAACATAAATGGCATACACTCCCCTCCAAAAGTTTGGCAACTGGAAGTGCACTTTTTGAGCACATGTAAACATATTTATTTACTTATTAACATATTACATATGCCTGTATGCTTTGTGTTATCAATGTATTCATCAAGGTTGTAATGATAGTTGCCCCTATTATAACTGGGGCATAAAGTTTAAAATAAAATGAACTTAAAGACTTGACCATGCTACAAAAAGGAGACTTATCCAAACGCATTATGTAAGGTGTGTAAAACCATTGTAAAACTTATATCAACTGGACATACTGGGGTTTTGCCAGGAAAAGGAGTATAGAGAAGTAGTAACATTTTACCCTTGGAAGGTAAAGGAGCAGTGTGAACAACTATTACAGTCCTTATCTAGAAATACATTTTTGAAGAAATAACCATGGCAACATTTAAAGATGAATTCAGATTACACAATTTTGGATTCAAGTTGAAGAATCACAAAGCTTTATCAACAAGTCAGGTGAGTCAAAACTATCTAAAAATCAAAAATTTAAGGAAATATCAGAGAAAATAAGTAACTGATTTCAAAACTGTTCAATTTCAGAATTGTAGTAACATGTACCTAACAAAACTCATCAAGCATCAAAAGTCAAATGGGAGCCATTTTCACAAAATGTACTCTCATAAATTAGTGAAACCAATAATGTCAATCATGGATATTACATAGTGTAACAGAATTTAAAAAAGAGAACACCCATTTTTCAGAATTATTTCATAGATGACTTATAGATGAGATAATAGGTAAGACACACCATGGTGTACCATAATGGCAATTTCAAATCTGAAAGTCATGTTAAAAGTCAAAATGGAAAGTTCTCATTGCATGCTGTGAGCAAAGACAATGTTAAAAATTCAACTGCATTTTCAAAGGTTACATTATGACTATAACCACATACAAATATCTAATTTATTTAGTTTTTGAATAACAAATTGGATGAGTCCAAATATTTCACCCCTAAGCCTCCATTCGGTCAATGACACAAAAGGATTATAAAAACTATAAATTTCCAATACATGCTTCAAATTGGACAAATGTCAAAACTAAAGCAGTCATTCTGAAAAATTACCTTAGGTTACTACACTGATGTGTTATCATCATTGCACTACACTGATGTGTTATCATCATTGCACTACACTGATGTGTTATCATCATTGCACTACACTGATATGTTATCATCATTGCACTTCACTGATGTGCTATCATCATTGCACTACACTGATGTGTTATCATCATTGCACTACACTGATGTGCTATCATCATTGCACTACACTGATGTGTTATCATCATTGCACTACACTGATGTGTTATCATCATTGCACTTCACTGATGTGTTATCATCATTGCACTACACTGATGTGTTATCATCATTGCACTACACTGATGTGTTATCATCATTGCACTACACTGATGTGTTATCATCATTGCACTACACTGATGTGTTATCATCATTGCACTACACTGATGTGTTATCATCATTGCACTACACTGATGTGTTATCATCATTGCACGAGACTTGTTGTAAAATGTTAAAGCATCACTTAATATCTACATCATCATTAGTGTTTTTTAAATGTTCATTGACCATGAAGGGTTACATTTGCCTTTGGCTGACAACAGTCCAAGTCATCAAATATTTGATTTCTTGCCATTATCATCCAGACGAAAATACACCTTAAAGAGATCAGTAATGTCCCAATATAATTACTGTTAACATATAAATTTAAGCCTCAGAATTGATAAGTTGATAAACAAACTTGTTATATCTTGTAACACGAAAAAATTAGGGGGTTACTCTAATTGTGTTTTTAGGAGACCCGATCTCTTTAAACTTGCATGTTTTCTTTTCTTTTTATTGAACTTTAAAATCTGAAATCTTTTAATCACCAAATAATTTGTAAAGTATAAACATTCTAAATCTATATTATCATTTCACATGTTCAAATCTAAGTCATTTTGCAAATGTTTTGTATTCATTCAGAGCAAAAACCAAATGTTTCTATTAACTGTCTCCGAATATAAAAATCTATTAAACAACATAAAATGAGGAATTCAAATATTCACCTTATACAGGGTGGTCCAAAAAAAATTGGAACATTTGTTAATTGAACGTAAAACCTTTATTTTTCTTCTAAAATGTACCAAACTTTTACTGAGCATAGTTCAATCACTTATTTATCTGATGTAAAGTTTATAGGTGAAAACCACAAAGTTAATGCATTAAACTAGTCAATGTTTGATAGGACCCCCTTTTCCTAAATATACACTTGTCAATTCCGCGGCTACTTTTTCAATTATTATTTATTTCAAAGCTTTAATGCACATGTTAATTGCTATAAATATTTTATAAAATCATATTCAGTTGACAAAGGGTATTTACATCTGGGGTTTGCCAGAAAAATATTGTGTTAACTTAAACTTAAACAATACCCAAAATGATCATTTTCATTTAAGAGTAGGGAAGAAGGAACATGTCATAGGTGAGCGATCGCATAACCCTCACAGCTACTCAAGTGACAAAAAAATTGTTCCCACTTTTCAGTAAAGGCAAAACTGACCAGTTATTCACATTAAAAACCAACGCTAAGCACATATACAGTGTATAATTTTTATATAATATACCATTTGTGTTCTCTCTATGATATTGATAGACATATTGATATTTCCAATGAATATTATTCATATCAGAACAATAAAGGGGAGGGGTTTCATTTACCATTTTTCATTTCAAATCAGACTGCCCTGGCCTCTTTCTGGAGAATATTCAATCAGTAATACACCCAACAATAGCCATCAAAATATGCTTGATACTCATGAATTTGGGTAACAAAATGTTGAATATGTTACTAGATTTGATCTTCCAAGGCAAACAAATAGGAAGTTTGATCAAGCTGAAATTATTAATTAAGATGGCTTGGACGAAACAAACGAACAGCAAACTAATTGAATATTAACAAATCTGAGCCCCAGGCCTCAACTTGTAAGTCAGGAGAAGAGGGGTCATATCAAATATTGACTAGTTTAATGCATTAACTTTGTGGTTTTCACCTATAAACTTTACATCAGATGAATAAGTGACTGAACTATGCTCAGTAAAAGTTTGGTACATTTTAGAAGAAAAATAAAGGTTTTGCGTTCAATTAACAAATGTTCCAATTTTTTTGGACCACCCTGTAATTAGCAATATAAAGTTTTGAACAATCATGACCTAGTTTTTAATAGTAATTGCACAGTAATTTACTTTATTTTCTTCAGTGGGAAATGCATCCTGTGATATTCCTGGTGTACAGGTTCATAGTATGTGGATACACTCTTGGATATTGGATAGCAGCTGTGGTTGAGTCAACTGACAAAGCACGTATGGGGATCTATTTGACACACTGGACATACACAATGTTGACACTGCATTTTCTAGTAGCATTCATAATAGCTGTGATTTCACATGTACGGAAAACCAGAAAACCGGGAACAAGTGAGGAAGGACATGAAAACACCGGATTTGACGGAATTGAATTAGAGAGTGGAGTTGGTAAACCTCCCAAACCAACAGAAGAAGACCATTTAAAACCAGATCCCAGTGCAGCACACAAAACAGTGCCATGGTACATGATCATATCTTGGATTCTCTTTGATGTCTCACTCATATTTACAATCATTGTAACAGGCATCTACTTTGGAGCTGTATATAATCCTGAGAATGGCCTTGACCATTATAACATCAACAGACATGCTATCAATTCAATTCTAATGGTGATTGACTTTGCCCTCAGTGGCACACCAGTACGAATCTTACACATGCTATATCCAATGATTTATGGACTCATCTATATTATCTTTAATGTCAGTTTCTGGTCATTTGACAAGGAAAACAACATTGTCTACTCCATATTAAATTACAACCCCAAGACTCTGCCAGTCGCTGTGGGTGTTATACTTGGCTTGTTAATAGTTGGTATACCACTTCTTAAATTCATCTACTATGCACTGTTTAGATTCAAGAGGTGGATCTATTTTAAAATACACAAGAAGGAGTATGAAAGAATTTAATAATTAGCTAGATAGTGATTTGGGGGTCATTAACAGAAACTTCATAAAGACACAAATTCATAAATCAATTGTTACCATGGATATAATGACGTCACAGTTAGAGAACAATGGACTTTACGAATTCTTAACTTCATGCAGTTTCTGTTAATGGCCCCTTGGTTAGTTGCATTCTTGTAACAATCTAAGTAAGGCCATAAGAAGTAGATTCTTTGTTTTGCGTCCTGGCAAAATTCAAATCATGCAAGGGTACAAGGAAAACAAACACAAACTCAAGAAAAAACACAAACTTGTTTGCTGAGAAACGAATACATTTCAAGGGCATAATAAAAAGGGATGACATACCAATTTGTAGTGATTACAAACACATATCTATACATTTTATACAATATATTTAAACATATAGCTGTTATTCAAGGGCAAAAAATAAGAAAATAAACAATGTATGCCAAAATAATCAATAACACTGTCAATTTTGAGTCACATCAAATTATCCGCCATTTCGTCTGATTCTGATTGAACGAAATGCCATGGTACTTTCAGACCCTTGTGATTGCTATTTGATGATTTTGTTTTTTCTGATTTACTCAAAATCGTGCAAGCAAGCAATAAATTTTCATAAATCCATTGTTATTACCATGGATATTGTGACATCATAGTAAAGATACAACAAACTTATGAATTTATTAAGATTGAAAATACACTCTCAGTTGATAAACTTGGAACTAGACTGTAGACTACAATGGTGAATCCAGCAATTGAGAAAATAAACTTTATCACAAAACTACTGAAATAAACAACTGCTGAAATATAAGATTGAAAAACAACTGACGAGAGCATTAATCAAATCCCCAATATCAATTAAATCCCCTACATTAATTAAATCCCCTATATTTAGTAGGATGACCTGGGCCCAAAACCAGAAGTCCATTACTAAAACTACAAATTAAAATGTAATCATGAATCATAGTATAGAAATCATTAATTTAACAAATTAATATTTACTTACAATTTCAGTATTATTCTTTAAATCAACATCTCAATGAGTTGGGTATGTTGATATATTTATCAACATTAACCCTTCTGTAATCATATACTATTATTTGCATTAACTCACGAAAAAAAAATGTTTCAATTATGAATTAGTTAGAGTTTGAACTGATTTATTTGTTACTCAGAGAGTCAAAATGATGATACACTTTTTCATATAAATAAGACATAAAATCAATACTTAATGTATGATAACTATAATTAATATATTTTTGTGGATAATGTGCCCAATAAATGTATGGAAAACATTTAATTGTAGCTTCTTTCTTGTTTTATATGGTTGGGTTTCACAAGTTACTGAAATACATGACATAAATAAGGAGACAATTTCACGAAAACTGAACCACTGGTCCAATTAACCTCTTGACAGAAATAACAATAGTTGTGGATTTTGGTCTTCTGACCCAGTCATTAGAAGGATGAAAGAGACACATGGTTTTGCAATGATTTAACAAGTTCAACAAGACATGTTGAGGCATGAGAAAGATTCAAATATGCTGGAACTAAAAAATTCAATTTAGAGTGGAGTGGTATGTATCCTTTATAAAAGCTTGCCATTTAATAGAAACTCTTTAAATGAGATATAGTTTTTCACTTAGGCTAAAATCCAATCATGTTGATGGAAATCTGAAACACTAATGTTGTGCCCCAACAGACAGAGAGATGCACATATGTCCATCAGAGCAAGTGGATGACAATATTGCACTTTGAAAAAAAAACTTTTTTAGTTTTCAGTATTATTAAAATCTGATTACATATTGGAAAACTAGAGTGAAATTCCAACATACAAAAAAATATTTAAGGAACATCTCGACTTAATATGTTGATATTATAGCCATTCATAGTATGAGTGACGCAAATACATAATTCACCATTTTGACTCATATTTGTTCAAAATGGCAGCATATTTCGTGAATTTGAATGTTCAGTTGAGAGTTAATATTTAAAGATTGTCATAGGCCTATAAGGTCATGCTGCCACCTTTACAATCCTGATGTAATGCACCAACTGACTAATAATCAAATACAAGAGGTTAACTCTCCAAGGGTATATGAACTCAACTCTATTGAAATGTTCGGGGTTGTGTTCAAGAGGATGTGACAAGGTGCCGCCCCAATGTACGGGGTGTGATGAGAGTAGGTCCTCATTCTTTTCAAAAGCTCCAAACAGCCATCTCAGAGGCCATTGAAAAGCTAAAAAACAATTCACATGAATGCCGAGGATGGGTTGAGAAGAGTGTGACTGGGAAATACATTAAAAACTGTGGCAGTATGACCCTATAGTTGCACATGTTAGATGAACTAGGGTTGCTAATCCACTACCGACGAGTAACAATGGAATGGCCAAAAAACTTAAAATCCTGCAACCCCAACAAGTCAATTTAAAACAAGGTTTTAAATGCAGTCATTACCTCATACCAAAGCAGCAGACTACATGACTTCATAGGCCCATGATATTTCTTAAATATTAACTTTCAACTGAACATTCAAATTCACAAAACATGCCACCATTTTTGAACAAAGACGACACAAAATGGTGAATTATGTATTCGCGTCACTCACACTATGAATGCCTATAATATCAATAAATTAAGAGATGTTCCTTAAATATTTTTTTTGTATGTCAGAATTTCACTCTAGTTTTCAAATATGTAATCAGATTTTGATAATACTGAAATTTAAGTTATTAAAGAAAAAGTGACCATTGAACAATTCTGTCCGGGCTACTATATTATACATGTCTTTTTTGACACATATATAGATATATACATATATTATACATGTCTGTTTTTCAGTCTAGAGCAAACTGTTGTGAAAAAGACTTGAATAAAATCTTGCAGTATTCACATTGCATAAAATAAATGTACGAACCTGTAGAGTGAGCGTCTCATGTTTGTATTTCAGATCATCGATGATTTTGTTGCAGTTTGGTAAATTGTTGAGAATCTGACACTGGTGTGAACTCAGGGATGCTGGCCGATCTTTCAAAGGATTCTGTTTCACATTAGAAGCCAAGCTGGAACAGAAAGTATAACTTTAACTGTATGATAAAATGAAATCATTTTAAGTGAGGGGACTATATAATATAATTTAAATCAAATTCCAAAAATGAAGCTTTTGCTTGCTCAGTGAAACTGAGGAATGGGGAATGGGGAATCTTTCCAAAATCAGAATTCAATAAACTGCAGTCATATTCTCGACATGAAATTTTGTATGAAGATTTCAAATGTGATAGCATCTCACCTTTCAGCCTCAGTCGTTAAGGCTTTCTGCTTCTGTAACATTTCATCCCATTTTTCTGCCTCTTCTTCGTATCTAGGCAACAAGAAAACAATCAACATATTAAATGGTTGCTATGGTGAGTAGCATCTCTTTGTCTGATAGCATTGAAGTTACACCCTGAACATTGAAGAAATACCCTGAACATTGAAGATATTACCCTGAACATTGAAATTACACCCTGAACATTGAAGAAATACCCTGAACATTGAAGATATTACCCTGAACATTGAAGTTACACCCTGAACATTGAAGTTACACCCTGAACATTGAAGTTACACCCTGAACATTGAAGATATTACCCTGAACATTGAAGTTATACCCTAAATATTGAAGGTATACCTGGAACATTGAAATTACACCCTGAACAATGAAGTTGCACCCTGGTTACAACCTGGCATTCCTGAACATTGAAGTTATACCCTGAACATTGAAATTATACCCTGAACATTGCAATTATAACCTGAACATTGAAGTTACATGATCTCCAAATCAATGTTAATGAGACCTAACTTTGTACCCCTCCCCCTTTAACATACGTTTTGTGTAACACTGTTTTTTGCCCACAGGCACTCCTTGTGCAAAGTCATTCAGTCAACATACCTATCCATCTTCTCCTGCATCTTATCTGCCAGTCTTTGAACCTCAACATTAATTGGGTTAGGGGCAGTTCTGAAATAAAGGAAAAACAAGCAAAGGACATTTATCATTCAGTCAAACGACAGCATATATATGATTTTAGTAATTCATTTGTCTTTTCTCATGATCACATTATGTACTGCAGTTTGTGGTCTTTTCAACTTTTTAAAAGTTGAATTAGTCCCTGACTTTTCAAAGAATTCTAATTCCCTGGAAGTTTCAGCAATTTTTGACACATGTCTAAAATTCCCTGAATTTCCCCAAATTATGCCACCAGAGAATCCACTTTCTTGTAATTGCTGAATGAAATAAAAAGAATTATAATTGATACGAGTGATGTATCTTCCAGTCTAACATCAAGCTCCTCCCTTCCTCGACTCAGTCCCTTTAGCAAATGCTTTTATTAGAATGAAGGGAGAGAGGTTTAATGCAAGACAAGTCATATGTACCTTCCTTTTGAGACTGCATGTTTGAAAAGTCCAGTGGCAACCATTTTCTTGCAGGCCTCTTCTCCAGCATGCATTACTACATGTAAATTCAAATATAATCAACGAAAATAGTACAAAACACAAAAAAGTCTTATTCGAACACTACTGGGGCAGACTAAAAGTGTTTGGATTAGCAGGTGTTCACAATTTAAGTATTTGGATTAGCAGGTGTTCACAATTCAAGGTTGCTTTAACATGGGAGTGAATGGGAGGTTCGAAATTTCTGAATGTGAAAAAGTTATATTCAGGGGTGTTCAGATCAGAGAGGAGTTCAAATATAAGATTTTGATAATATATAAAGAATCAAACACAATCTTCTAATGCCTTAGACTGGGACAGATTTTGAATTTATGAATTAATGTGTTTCATTAAGAAGGGACTAGCTTCGGCAAAATTATAATATAAATTATCAATGGTTTCATTTGACCGCTAAGAGTATAGAATCATTTTACAATGAAATTGAACTTTATTCCTCATTACTCAGTTTGCCAAAGTCCCAAAAATAAAGACCTTTTTCCTCCAAACTTTCAGCATCATTGATATCCTGGAACTCCTGTTGCAACTGTTGCAGAGTGTACTGAAAAGAAATGAGACCTGTTAGAATCAAATTAACTATTTTTTTAATTAGGGAAATCTATCACTAATATCAGTCATACTTGCTCCTCGGGAGATGTATCCCCTGGGATAAACCCTATATCTAAAACCTCAAATTCATGATTTCTCATTTTTATAATGTTTTATCTCATTCCACTGAAAAATGAAATTGACACCTTACCTCTAGAGTTGACTTGGTTAGCATTTCAAGCCTTTTCTCATCAGGTAAATCATATCTTGACTCTTATACCCAACCATACCCTATAAACCACCCTACCTCTGGAGTTGACTTGGTTAGCATTTCAAGCCTTTTCTCATCAGGTAAATCATATCTTGACTCTTATACCCAACCATACCCTATAAACCACCCTACCTCTAGAGTTGACTTGGTTAGCATTTCAAGCCTTTTCTCATCAGGTAAATCATATCTTGACTCTTATACCCAACCATACCCTATAAACCACCTTACCTCTAGAGTTGACTTGGTTAGCATTTCAAGCCTTTTCTCATCAGGTAAATCATATCTTGACTCTTATACCCAACCATACCCTATAAACCACCTTACCTCTAGAGTTGACTTGGTTAGCATTTCAAGCCTTTTCTCATCAGGTAAATCATATCTTGACTCTTATACCCAACCATACCCTATAAACCACCCTACCTCTAGAGTTGACTTGGTTAGCATTTCAAGCCTTTTCTCATCAGGTAAATCATATCTTGACTCTTATACCCAACCATACCCTATAAACCACCTTACCTCTAGAGTTGACTTGGTTAACATCTCAAGCCTTTTCTCATCAGGTAAATCATATCTTGACTCTTATACCCAACCATACCCTATAAACCACCCTACCTCTAGAGTTGACTTGGTTAGCATTTCAAGCCTTTTCTCATCAGGTAAATCATATCTTGACTCTTATACCCAACCATACCCTATAAACCACCCTACCTCTAGAGTTGACTTGGTTAGCATTTCAAGCCTTTTCTCATCAGGTAAATCATATCTTGACTCTTATACCCAACCATACCCTATAAACCACCTTACCTCTAGAGTTGACTTGGTTAGCATTTCAAGCCTTTTCTCATCAGGTAAATCATATCTTGACTCTTATACCCAACTATACCCTATAAACCACCCTACCTCTAGAGTTGACTTGGTTAACATCTCAAGCCTTTTCTCATCAAGTAAATCATATCTTGTCTCTTATACCCAGCCATACCCTATAAACCACATTACCTCTAGAGTTGACTTGGTTAGCATTTCAAGCCTTTTCTCATCAGGTAAATCATATCTTGACTCTTATACCCAACCATACCCTATAAACCACCCTACCTCTAGAGTTGACTTGGTTAACATTTCAAGCCTTTTCTCATCAGGTAAATCATATCTTGACTCTTATACCCAACCATACTCTATAAACCACCCTACCTCTAGAGTTGACTTGGTTAGCATTTCAAGCCTTTTCTCATCAGGTAAATCATATCTTGACTCTTATACCCAACCATACCCTATAAACCACCCTACCTCTAGAGTTGACTTGGTTAGCATTTCAAGCCTTTTCTCATCAGGTAAATCATTGGGGATTTGCTTGCATAGGTCTGAAAATAAATTGTAAAATAATACTGGAATACTATAACCTAACATCAGACAACTTTCAGTACAGAGTGTAACTTTTACAAAACAGCGCAATTTACCGCAACTTTAACATTAACGTTAACACTTTCAGTTAGTTTTCTAGTCAATATCTATCATTAATTCCTTGTTAAGACCACTCAAAATCAGAATCAAACAATTTTTATTCAAAAGATTTTTTTGTCTTGCCGATAATTGGTCGTTTTATTCTGGTTTTATGACATTGCTATGGTAATTTACAACATAGCGCATGCCAATTTACATGATCAGGTAATATTGAAAAAATTGCTTTAAGTAATCTTTACTGACTACGTGTAATAATATTCTAGTTTATGGGCATGAATATGAACCCATTCTTGGTGACTGATAATGAAAGACCCATTCATAAGGTGTTTACAGGGTGCAACTTTTTTCTTTTTGCATCACAACTCTAGCATGTCCCTTGTACAACTTTTTGGGAAAAAATTGCAACATTCTCTGGTGTCAGTAACTAATTTTGCTTGATTTTAACTTAAAGAAACATATAATAATTGAATCTATATTTTAAACCTCTAAAAGTTGGAGACTATAACAAGATGTCAACATTTTTTTGAATTATGGTAACATAAATATGACTATGAATCATACATAAAGATATCAAGAAAATGTATTGTGATGCAAAAATGAAGAAAACAATTCTTGCTAGGATTCAAACTGTACTCATTCGACACTACACAATTATTCTAATTTTTAATCAAAGAATAATTTTTTGCTTTATGATTCAGAGTTTCAAAATATTATAATATTCATGGATCAGCTGTTTTGGCAGCTGAACCCATCCTTAAAGAAATGTGCAACTGTTTTCTTGAGAAATACTGCTTGAAATCTCAAACTTCAACATCTACAGTGCTTTCAAGTAACTTGTATAACTTTAGCGCTCTATTGGCTTACAATAAATAATCAAAAATATTTTTGATCAATCAAATTTTTATGTTTAAGATGGGGCTTCACATTATCTCTCACAAAATTTATTTGGGTAATTACATATTTTCTTGACGAGTTAAATTAGTGTCTCATTCAATGATGATCACGCAAGGAACTTCACAGTGAATTCCACATTTAAAGATATTAAAAGATAAATATATATTGACACTTTGTGCTGAGGGTTGCTAAGGTGAAGCAGACAGGTTGCTAAGGTGAAGCGAACATCTTCTTCAACATCAGACGACTATCAGCCAATATTTTGAAAATGATCAACATACAAGACAATATGGTGGGCATTTTTGCGATATTGCCAGAATGGACGTATGAACGAAGCCAATCTCTATATCCTCCTAACGACCTTCAAAGAATTGGCAAAAAGAATTCTTTTAGCCCTAAAATTATGTCAGCTTGTTATCTAAATTGCCCAGTTTATGATGGCAGGAGCAGATGTTGACTTGTTGAGGCCCTGGTTTTTTGTAGGAGCCCAGCTTAAGGGGGTGGGGGGGGGCTTGGTCCATCCCAAGGTCTACCACTCTGTTATCACATGAATTAAGTAATCTAGCAAACAGTGTAGAAATAAAAAGTTACCTTTGCTTATGATTGAAGGGAGCTTGTTGGAGAATCTGACTCGGATGAAACTTGATCTGCGCTTGTTCAATCCAATCCCTAAGCTTGAACGCCTTAAAGTAGTCACATCCTGGAAATTGAAACAAACAGACTTGGTGTAACATACATGTAGAAATCAATTCTGGGCAAGGGATCAGTATTGGGAGAAAGTAAAATAGTTGTTAATTTCTCTTACAAAATAGCAGATGGTAATAAATTTGTTATATTTTTACTTTTTAATGAATTAAACCACTTTGCTGGGGAAATTCATCTTTGAGATTTCTATAACACCAAGCTTGTACTATGATATTGAAATTCTGCGAAATGAAAATAAATTGTTCCTGTATGGCCATGGTGTAAGACAGCCTCCTCCTGATACTGATACTTTACCATTTGGGATAATGGAAAATGATGATTTCAGAAATGATGAATGCTGATTCCTCAAAAAATCATGAATATGAAACGCAAATCAACATATTTATATTTTTGAAATATCTTGAAAAAATGTATGATTCTAAATCAATAATTGATAGAGCATTTAAATGTCAAGAATATCTGCAATCAAAATCAAAATGATCAAAATGTACTTATATGTGCATTAACTTATTTCACTGTCATTTGCCTTACTTATTTATTAAGATCAAATATTGTACAGTGTACCATCAAGATCAACTATGTATTGTACCATTAATATCAAATATGTAGCTTTAAGATCAAATGAGTACCATTAGGATAAATATGTACCATTTACATCAAATATGTGCCATTAACATCAAATATGTGCCATTACATGAAGGATAAAATATGTACCATTAATATATAAAATATATACCATTAAGATTAAATATGTTCCATTCCATATGTACCATTAGGAAAAAATGTGTACCAAAACACCAAACATTTACCTTTCTAGGAGAAGCAAATCTCTGTTCCAATGTTAGTTTTGTTTCATCAATTTTCTTTTTAGGTTCATCATCAAAAGGAAGGTGGATATCAGCAACAACTAATTGTTCATTTGGTTTGTGAGGAGTCTGTTTAGGTTTGTCATCAACTGCAATATCTCCAGAAGGGATCTCTTCATGTAATGTCTCCAACATTGACTTTTCACGAATCTGTTTCTCATTTTCATTTGGTGGAAGTACAATCTGTTCAGCAGTTTCTGGGAAATCACATTTTACATTACATTTGTCTGATTCCAAGTCTTCATTTTCTGTGATTGTTTCTATAGTTAATGTTTCATGGTTCACCACATTGTCTTTCACCACATTGTCTTTCACCACATTGTCCTTCACTGCAACATCCTTCACCACATCGTCCTTCTTTAGATTAAACGGTCTACTTTTTTCTTTTTCTGGCTCATCTTTTGTTGATTCTTGTGAACTGTCTCCAGTAGGCGCAACATCTGATTCTGAGTCAGTATTTTCTTTTAAGGATGATGATTTTTTCTGTCGTCTTTTTGAAGGGGTGTTCACTGGGGATAAACTTGCTGCACCTCTTTTCCGTGATATCCTTGTTGATCTCTTGGAAGCTGTTTCAATGACATCACTTGTTGTTCCTGTTTGCTTAGAACTTTTGTCAGCCACTTTAGGACTTTTCTTGGAACTTTTAACACTTGGTTTAGGACTTTCAACACTTGTTTTAGGACTTTTGACACTTGGTTTAGGACTTTTAACACTTGGTTTAGGACTTTCAACACTTGTTTTAGGACTTTTGACACTTGGTTTAGGACTTTTAACACTTGGCTTTGGACTTTTAACACTTTTTTCAGGATTTTTAACACTTGGATTAGGACTTTTGACAGATGGTTTAGGACTGTTTACAGTCTGCTCAGAACTTTTAACATTCTGTTTAGGAGGTTTCACAGATGGCTTAGGACTTTTCTTCTTTGAAGACTTGATCATTTTCTTTTCATCTTGACTATCTGTGCCAGAACTTGAACTAGTCTTCACAGGAATCTTGGTTTTCAATTTAGACGATTCAGACAATGCTCTCCTTGTTTGTCGTTTTGGCTCCTTTGTGACATCTTTAGTAGATGCACTCTCAGCAACATGCTGTTTCTTACTGCTTGTAGCGGTTTCATCACATTCTTCGACAGCAAGACGCTTTCTAGTTCTACGTGCTGTTACACTAGCTGGAGCTGTTTGGATTGGGAAAAGCTGTGGAGTTGACTTTTTGTCCAACCCTTTCCTTGAGGATCTGGAAATGTGCAATAACAGATAAGTACAGTATAAAGCACACGTAGTTATGCCCAGTACGACATGTACATGTGGGAAAGAAGTAACTGCCAAAAAAGAGAGTGTCAACTCAGCCGTCAGCGTCAAGCATTTGACAGCTTGAAGTTAAAGTTGAACTTCAACAAGTTCAAGTTGAACGACATCAATCACTCGGGTGATTTCAAATTAGAATTCAATCGAACAATGAATTCTTCAAAATTAGTGTATAGTCTGAATTCAGATGTAAATCTTAATCAGCAGTTGTAGCTAATTTGTAAAGGAATGATGTAGTTATTGACAAATTAAAAACAAAATACCTGGTTACTCGTAAATTTGGAGTTTCCGCCATTTCTAATATTTAATCTATGAATCGAAATAAATGAGTATAGAATAAATAACCAATTTATTATTCATTATTAAATTAATTATTTCATTTATCAAATTATAACGTTTTACATTATGGGACAATTTTTTTTATATGAAATTGAACTTTGAAAAAATCAATTATATTCGTTTCTAAAATGAAGCTCTGAGTTTGACACTATTAACAGCGCATGCGCACAAAAATCAAAATAATTTTGAAGAAAAAAGTTTTTTAGTTTCGATATTTCCTCATATTACATGTCAGGTATGTGCTTAGGTTAATGTTTTGACACTTTAATTAAATGTACGAGAGTTGAACAGTGTTTTGTTCTGAAGATAATATTTTTGAGATGGCGATCGTTTAATATTCTGCTCATTCTAACCTATTATCGCCCATTTCAAAATAAATAAATATTTCCTCTTCCTGGTCTTGACTTTATTTTACAGATTTGAAACGTTAGATATCCATGGCTCTTTTTCATAGAAAGAAATGATCAATTTCAAGTGTTTAGCTTTAATTTGTTGGAATTTATCATCTTCCGTTCCTGGTGTGTCAATCGCGATGGCATTAGACATATTTACTCAAGGTTATCTTCATGCGAGCTTAGTCTACAAGTAAGCTTAGTAGCCAAACTCGCATAAAAATATCTCTTTCAAATTGAAGAAAATAGTATTCCCAGTTACGGAGAATGACTATATTGATACTGCTAATGGGGTTTTACGAAAAAGTTTGATCCACTGACCAGTCTGTGTTTTCCACAGGTAGCCTCAAAACAGGGTTTGAGAAAAATGTATAAAAGACTGACCATGTCATGTATAAAAGACTGACCATATTTGTGTCCTTAATTGAATACATGTCAATCGTAGGCAATGTTTTTGTACCCAATTTGTTCTTTTCAGTTATAAGTAAAATGGTTAAAATGAAAGGCTAGAAAACACTTAGGTTCTAGACCTGCCAACCTATCGTTTCTATGGGAATCTATCCTAATCTTTTACTGAAATTCGATGTAAGCTTACACCTATATCTATATTTATGAAATTATGTATTTATAATAAAAATGATTTGTTATTGTCATACTGATTACTGAATATGGTTACATGTGTTCTCTCATCAAGATCAAAAGTTACTAACCATTCATATTTAGCAGACCATTTGAAAGCTATTTTTGTTATATTAAATGTATTTTTTACCAGATTGTCGTTTAACAACTGAGAAACAAACATTACTACTTAAATTTTAAAAAGATTTGAAAGACTGACAATGTTAAGTGTGTTTTTTGTTATTTTCATACTGATGTAATGTTACATGCGTTTTCTTATCATGATACAAAGTGACTAACCAGAATAAAATTGGTCTTCTAACAACTGAGACATCATTTAAAAATATGACATTACAGACCACAACGATGTTACATTTTTCATGTATTTTTTCATCGTGATTTAAAAGGTACTCATTGGATTCCTAGTTTTTATTTTTAATTTCCTCTTCTAATTTTGCATCTATTCAGCTTTATGTAAAAGACTGGACAGTGGTTGTTTTTTAAGCAAAAAGGCTCACAAGAAAACCATATATTTGACATAGTGAAATTTTTAACATGATTTTCAGTTGTACTATTTTTGGGAGGCTTGGTATACTGGCAGCTGAGAATAGCAAAAAGCATCCAATGGATTTACATTAGCCAGAAAAGCTTTCCTTGACTTATGCCCAGTCCATCTCTGTTAGTCACCATATGTTTGAAAATGTCATTTTATATTTTAGTTTTAGTGATGTTATTCAGCTGAGCAGTGTGATGTTCAACCATGCAAGAGGTGAAAGACAGCCTCCCGTCTGATTACCCAATCACAGGGCTGTGTATTGTCTCCAACCAATCAAATTGTCCCCCTGGATACCAAACTGTGAGTAATATAATGGGAGACTACAGAAATCTACCTTGTTCCAACTTCCTAGATACTTTTGAAGATATATACCTCAAATGTAACTCCTTTGAAAGTTCCTCAAGAAATCTGAAATTTGCACATTTTCTCTGTAATTTGTAGTTTGACAAACTTGCCTGAATACTCCATCCAGTGAAATTTCACTTCTGTTTCATCTAAATTATAAAGAATGAACATCTTTTAATGACGTCTCATAATTTATAGATATCCAAGTCCTACGATAGAGGAGAAGATGCGGATCTGTGGAAGGACAGTATTTTCAAATCTAAAGTCACACGATATTTGTGCACAACTCGCCACTTCCCATTGGATTATGTAAGCAATATCAATGCATTGTTAGCATTGATTTTTTTTTAAAAGAAAAATTTGTAATATTGCATATCCAAAAATGGAATTGAATTGAATCTTAAATTACATAAAACAGTTAGTCTCTGACCAGCTGTTCTTGTTTAAACTCTAATATTTCTTCTCCATATATTTTTGTTTGCAGGGCCGCCTAAATAATGTCCTTGCAGACATACTGATTCAGAATGAAAAAGATATAATCCCTACTGGATTCACAGATTTAGGTGTAACATTAGATACAAGTAAGAGGATTTATTACTGTAAAACAAACATTGTAAAACAAGTCAATTTTTATGTTACTGTTACATAAGATTGATATTTGAATTAGGTTAAGGAATCTTTTGGTTGTTCATAGTTCATAGTGAAAATGAAATCATTCTAAGAAATGATGACTTGTAGTCTTGTCTTTCAATACAAAATGATCAATTGGATTGCTATGTATGGGCATTGTTGTTATCTTGTTGTAATGGGTCTCCTTAAAAATAGATCTACTTGGTCTTTAATAACAAGGCAAATACACAAAGTACTCATTTGAGTCTTTAATAACAAGGTAAATACACAGAGTACTCATTTGAGTCTTTAATAACAAGGCAAATACACAGAGTACTCATTTGAGTCTGTCTTCCTTAAATATAAGGCTAAACATGGTGATCATGAATAAAAATCTTTTGTCTATTCTTCAGAGGAAAAGAGTATCAAGAAGAAGATGATCTGTGTAAAGATGCTGCCAAGAGAGGCGACAACACATGCCATTTGTGAGCTACTTATCCTCAGTGGCTCGCGTAGACCCCCCACTGGATACACACTAGCAGGGTATGTATGTTAAATAGGGTTTATTATAGTCTCCTTATATGTAAAGATGCTGCCAAGAGAGGCAACAACACATGCTATTTGTGAGCTACTTATACTCAGTGGCTCACGTAGACCCCCCACTGGATACACACTAGCAGGGTATGTATGTTAAATAGGGTTAATTATATTCTTATATGTAAAGATGCTGCCAAGAGAGGCAACAACACATGCTATTTGTGAGCTACTTATCCTCAGTGGCTCACGTAGACCCCCCACTGGATATACACTAGCAGGGTATGTATGTTAAATAGGGTTTATTATATTCTCCTTATATGTAAAGATGCTGCCAAGAGAGGCAACAACAGGTGCTATTTGTGAGCTACTTATCCTCAGTGGCTCACGTAGACCCCCCCACTGGATATACACTAGCAGGGTATGTATGTTAAATAGGGTTTATTATAGTCTCCTTATATGTAAAGATGCTGCCAAGAGAGGCAACAACACATGCTATTTGTGAGCTACTTATACTCAGTGGCTCACGTAGACCCCCCACCGGATATACACTAGCAGGGTATGTATATGAAATAGGGTTTATTACAGTCTCCTTATATGTAAAGATGCTGCCAAGAGAGGCAACGACACGTGCTATTTGTGAGCTACTTATACTCAGTGGCTCACGTAGACCCCCCACCGGATATACACTAGCAGGGTATGTATATGAAATAGGGTTTATTATAGTCTCCTTATATGTAAAGATGCTGCCAAGAGAGGCAACAACACATGCTATTTGTGAGCTACTTATCCTCAGTGGCTCGCGTAGACCCCCTACTGGATATACACTAGCAGGGTATGTATGTTAAATAGGGTTTATTGTAGTCTCCTTATATGTAAAGATGCTGCCAAGAGAGGCAACAACACATGCCATTTGTGAGCTACTTATCCTCAGTGGCTCGCGTAGACCCCCTACTGGATACACACTAGCAGGGTATGTATGTTAAATAGGGTTTATTATATTCTCCTTATATGTAAAGATGCTGCCAAGAGAGGCAACAACACATGCTATTTGTGAGCTACTTATCCTCAGTGGCTCACGTAGACCCCCCACTGGATACACACTAGCAGGGTATGTATGTTAAATAGGGTTTATTATATTCTCCTTATATGTAAAGATGCTGCCAAGAGAGGCAACAACACATGCTATTTGTGAGCTACTTATCCTTAGTGGCTCGCGTAGACCCCCCCACTGGATACACACTAGCAGGGTATGTATATGAAATAGGGTTTATTATAGTCTCCTTATATGTAAAGATGCTGCCAAGAGAGGCGACGACTCATGCTATTTGTGAGCTAACAAACATAGTCTCGCATCAAGCCCACTCACAAACAACGTAGTCTTGCATCAAGCCCTTATGTACCCCACTCACAAACACATTACTGTATCCCATTCACAAACATAGTCTCGCATCAAGCCCACTCACAAACAACATAGTCTTGCATCAAGCCCATATGTACCCTACTCACAAACACATTATTGATTACCCTATTCACAAACATAGTCTCGCATCAAGCCCACTCACAAACAACATAGTCTTGCATCAAGCCCTTATGTACCCTACTCACAAACATATTATTGATTACCCTATTCACAAACATAGTCTCGCATCAAGCCCACTCACAAACAACAAAGTCTTGCATCAAGCCCTTATGTACCCCACTCACAAACACATTACTGTATCCCATTCACAAACATAGTCACTGATCAAGCCCACCCACAAACAAAGTCTTGCATCATTGTTGGAGAGTACACCTTTAAAGCATGAAGATGACAAATGGTATAAACATGAAAATACCTCCTATGAATAACCATGGTGATTACATCCTTTTGGTCACCATGGTAACTGAAAAATAAAAAAAAGCAACATCTCTGGAGTGTTCATTTTATTTCAGGGAGCTGAACAACCTGATGTTATGTTTTAAAATGGGTGAAGTTCCCCGAGACACCAAGACCACACCAACCCCCGGGGAGCATGGAGTTCCTCCCGCTTATATGCCAAACAAGATCAACCAATCAAGGTACAGCATTGCCTCAAAGAATAGGACAACATTTATTCTTATATCTGTATTCAATTTGTAGCATTCAAAATGTTCTCCATACGCAACTCTTTTATTTAATTGTCATTTGTTTAAATTATTAGGTCATTTGACATTCATTATTAGAGTTGGTTTGGTGCGTTTAAGAACTAAATGTATTGAATATAGTGCTTATCATTTTAATAAGTTACTTATTGGTTTTATACAAATACTAAATTATTCTTGAAAATTAAATGATTTGTTGTGTGTCTAGACCAGATGTAGAAATACAAATTGAGACAACTTAGCTCTACATAGTTTTATCTGAAAAACAAACACTTGACTCAAGAATATGTGTTTACATTTTGTAACCAATAAGGTCATATGGTTCTTGGATGAATCATTCAGTTAATAAATACATTGGAATCTGTATGTCAGAACACCTCTCAATGTGAACACTTTTTCGTGGTCTTAAGTTTGTTATCTCCCATTGACTTACATGTTTATAAAACCTTGAAATATGGCCCCAGTGTTAATCTGAACCTTTTTGCCTGTCCCAGAGGCATTTGGATTAGACAGGTTTGGATCACTGTAATTCCAAGTTATTCTTGTTTCAGTGCTTGAAACTTACAGCTGTCTGACTGCAAATGGCAATCACTTTTCACTCTCAGCATTGAACTTAAAAAAACTGCATTCCTATTGGGCAATTAAATAGACTGAATGCCAATATGCTTTATTTGTCTCGTGAATCAGCTTGTATTGTGTTTCTAGCCCTGGACCTCCCTCTGCACTGCCGTATGCCTTGAATCCAGCATCCCGACCCCAACCCGGCAGTAACCAGTCTCCCCAAGGTGCAATTCACAATGGCGACATCCCCACACGTCCTGTTCCTGTGTCTGAGCGATGTTTTAGCGGCACTCTTGTCAGACAAGCCAGTATCCTAACAACACGTAAGTAGGATTTTTATTCATTTATTCACCAATGATTTATAATATTGTCAGTATTTTTTGAAATCTAGTGCTAGTGTTGTTTAAAATACACTGGTCAGTATCAAGCGAAGGTAACGTCCGTCACGTTCGCATCAAAGATGGCAGACGGGAAGTGTTGATTTCGATATTTTTAGTTTTCATTGAATTAAACTACTCTTTAGTTGACGTAATGCTTTGATATTTGAACTAAATCCAACTAATATGACATGGAAACTCTGGGGTATGATCATCTGCTCATATACCATGTGTGGGCGCCACAGTTCAAGGATATCTTCCACTGCTTAAGGGAAGGTAACTTTGATTTTGGTTCTATAGATGATAAGATAACGGTGATACGGTAACGTTATGAGAGTTTATAATGGAGAGCTAAGATGTTTCGTTACCGTGTATTGAAAACTTACATGACCGTTACTGTATCTAACATTTTCAGTTACCTTCTCTTAAGCAGTGGAAGATATCCTTGAACTGTGGCGCCCATGCACAATATATGATCAAATTATGATATTCCATAGTTCCCATGTCATATGAGTCTGATTTGGTTCAAATATCAAAGCATTACGTCAACTATGAAGTAGTTTAGTTCCATGAAAACTAAAAGACTTCCCATCTGCCATCTTTGATGCGAAGGTGACGGCCATTACTTTCGCTTGATACTGACCAACTGATACTTGATACTGATACTGAAATAGAAATGATTTTGTTTCTCTACTTTCAGCACTATCAGGTGTACCTTTTAGTTTGAACCCAAGATATACTGACCTACAAAGCTTAACAAATGTAAGTACACAAATTGCAGGTTCAGTAAAATTGGCTTTCTTCATTATAATCTTTGTTACAGTACTGAAAATTACTATATTCAAGTTATACACGCACTTCAGGCTCAGTTACATTGGCTTTATTCATTGCATTCAGCCTCTCAATACAGCTAAATTGATTGGCCTAGTTGTTTCTGCAAGTGTTCAAAAATTATGTTTTCTAATTCATAGAGGGTCTTTATTTGACATAGTAATGTTCTTGTGATAAAATAAAAGGTGACCTTAAACATCTTGATGTAAATTGTTGTGTTGTTGTAGGTACATATTGCAGAACTTGGCTACAGATCATTGGTTGATATAGAAAATGAGGTAAGTAATCCAACAAGGATTAAAGTGTTGCTAATCAACCTGATCTTAAAAGCACATATGGTAAACATTTTTTTTTTTTTTTTTTTTACAATTTATATGACTTTATTTTTATTTTTTTCTGTTTATTAAGTCATGTTACAAATACATTTTCAATGTTACAATTACATGATAGTGTCACATATTTTCCAAAATTGTGGGTAAAATACATTTTTTCTTATAGCTATTTCCTTCTTCAAAGAGTGTAATATAGAATCTAAATTTCTGACATTATTGTCATTTATCTGTCCTTGGTAAACCTTATAAATTGTATATGTAATTACACTGACAAAATGGTTAAGAAATTTAGTGAAATCATCATTGCCATTATAACCTAAAATAATTTTTCTATAAGTTATTCTAAGTTTTGATTTATCTTGTATGAAGTTCCAGATGGTAAACATTATATTAGGAAAGCATAAGCATACATACTGTAGTGAGCTATTGAAATAGATATAAGATGTGACACAATTGGACAATATTAGAAATATGACTGTATTCTAATGTGCAGAATGTTTCCCAAATTATTCCCATGGGAGCTAAATGTAAAGAGAATAGAAATAGACTAGAAGACAAAAAGTATTGAACAAAATATGGATTTAAATTCAAATCTTTCATTACTGTACTGCCATTAAATTCATATTTATTTTGACTTCTATTTTCCAGTATCAATATAATTTCCGATTAGAAAGGACAATAACAACTAGATCACCAGATGATTTGGAATGACACCTGATAAACACATGAAAGCACCTTATAAACACCTGAAAAACGCCTGATAAACACCTGAAAAACGCCTGATCAACATCATTTATTTGAAAGTGTAGACACTTTAAATCATCACCATGATCCTGTGTGAACAAAAGCTCCGATAGTGCATCTGACACTTCTTGGTTAGGTCGGCGTAAATGGTGTCTGTCAGTATGGTCTGACCTGTTCACTTATTTTTAGGATTTACAAGGAATTATAATTTGGAGAAAATACTGTTGTGTTTTTGTGTGTATGTGGCAAAGCACATTTCAATTCTCAAAAGTGATCATCATGAAATTGACTGAACCCAATGAGAATTGTGCTATTTTAATAACAATAAGCACATTTCTGAAGCTGTTTAGAATACAGAATGTAAACTGAACAGAAAGCCCTGGAATCCAAAAGGTTGTACAAAACCAAAAAGAACCCCCATGTCTATACGATGTGAAAATATGTGTGCTGTACAATGTATCTATCTATATGGAGTCTAATATCCGAATATAGCACAGTAAAACCAGTAAAGTGGAATACCTGTAGAAGTTGAACACCTCCATTTGTGGAACACTTGAGAGTCCCAAAACCAACTGACATAATGTTAAATAAAGCTCTGTAAGTGGAACACCTTCCAAGTGGAACACTTTTAAGAGGTACTAAAGGTTTTCCACTTATACAGGTCCTACTGTATATTATTCTGAATTTCCCATCAACAGAGCTGAAGTTCTGTTTATGTGAAATGCATTTATTATAAATTAGAAAGTATCAGTACTGTAAAACTTTATGAACTGTATATGAAGCACCCTCAGTACTGGCAAAAGGTTTTCCCTGCAGACAGGTATTCTTTACAGAGAGTCTTCATTTACATGTAAGTCAGTGGGACTTTGTGGTAATGAAAATTGTTCCATGTGGAGAGGTGTTCTGACAGATTTTTCTGAAAAGATAAAAAACATATGAATTCTCTCAAAGCAAATACTGATGATGAAATTTCTTCTTAAATGTTTTTTCAAATATTGTATTGTGACGTAGCTTACTAAATAATATCAACGGGACAAAAATAATGTATTTTTATGAGAAAAACTTTCAAACATTAACTAAACATGCTAAACAATGTGAACAGACCAACTGTGTAGCTTATGTATTTCTAAATGTTTAGTAGGATTATTTCTGTATTAAGATAGATCAGTATGATGAGACATTTTACCAATATTCATGATTACAATCACCAAGAATTAGAACAAAAAATGGGTACAATATTTTTACATTTTTGTGAATGTTTACAATAAAGGAAGAAAACGCATGTAAAGGTGAAAAATGTTTCAATAATTATGGCTAATTGTGATCATGAAATTCATAAAAATTCTAGACATACTTTGAGCTATTTTGGAAAATGAATACTGTACTGTCTCATAGTACATCATAGTACATGTATCAATAATGACTTACAAAATATCACTTACTTAATTGTTTAACCCTTGTAGGACTGTTGTGTTTCAAGTCGGAATATTTGTAAAAACATGTTTGGTTTTAGATGCTATACACTTTTTATTATGTTATATGTAAAATGTAAGAGCTTTCTATTGGTACCAACTGTGAATAAGCTTTCTAATGGTACAACACACCATTGGAAAGAAATGTTGAATAAAATTCTTGTAGTATTATGAGAAATTAGCATGCTTGATGAAATCAAACTGAACAGTTAATTAAGACATAGCTGCAAGTGCTTTTCAAGGAAAATTTTTTGAGATTGAATTTAAATAAATGTTCAGTGTTCAGTGGAAAAATATAGAACGTCATATACTGTAGATATCTAGGAGCTGTGTCCCTTTTTAAGTTTGGTAAATGGAAGTGCCCTTTTGGACCAAATCTTTTTATGTTTGATGAGTTAATAGTTGTCACAAAATTGGGAAAATATTGTAATTAAAGTGCAAAATTAAGATTCAAACATTGACAGGTTTTGATTATCTATCCAATAACATAAAAACTTCCAGTTGCCAAACTTATGGAGGGGAGTGTCCATATATGGAATTGTATATAGAACTGTGAGCCTGATTGCTTTCTGAAGTGTTACACTATACTATTTTACATGTTTAATTAAGTTACTCTATTTATAATTATGAACATGTGCATGGTTTGTAGGGTGTAGATTCAGCCATGAAATAAATTGCAAATAAAATATTCTTTCCTCATAATAACAATGAGATAACTTTCTTTGATTGTTTCACTAATTGAATGCTAGTCCCTTTATTTTAAGAAATATGATTCCCAATCAATTATTTTGTCCTGAACCCCCCCCCCCCCCCCCTGGTTATGGGCCTGAAAAGAATTTGAGATTCTTTAATAATATTTTTGGCCCTAAAATAAAATAACCTCAATCAAAATATTGACCATGATTTGCATAAAGAAAAATTGAGACAATATCCGTATCTATATCCCTTAATTAAAAATTGCAAATATGTATTTTTTGGAATGGTACGATTAACATTACCTTGTTTGAAACACCTTTAAAAGCATGTAGCAGTTATGGTAAAACTTGTGTACAGCGAACACCCTTTGAGCAACAAAATGTGTTCACTGTAGGTAGGTGTTCACTACAGAGGCAATGTTATACAGAAGTCAGTGAAATATGTGCTTAGTAAGGGGTGTTCACTAGACACAGCTGTTCACTAAGGCAGGTTTAAGTGTTATTTTAATTGTTGATTTTAGTTTAATGTTAAGTATTATGTAGACATTCTATGTAGGACAGCTTACTTTGTAAATATTGAATATTACATGTGAACTGAATAATACACTTAAAGTGAAAAATGATTCAAAATCTTTTGTGACATTTCCCCTCAGCCCTCCCTCTTCAAAAATACTTTATATATTGGACAAACAATATAGTTTTCTCTTATCTCATTACAAAAATATAATTTGACTTAGTTGTTTACTTAACAGAACAAAATATCATATTTGATTGCTGTTTAACTATCTCTTCATCAACCGCAGGATATAGACTAAAATAGACAATTTGCGATAATTATTAATGTCTGATTGGAAAAGATAATTATAATTAAGCCGAATAGGATAATAGATATAGTGTTCATAAATAGATGTCTCTGTTCATGATTGGTTTAATACGCTTTAAAAGATAGCGTGGTAGTACATATAAATCGCAATATGTCGTTGTTGATAAGAAGGCCCTGTGGCGCAACGGTAGCGCGTCTGACTCCAGATCAGAAGGTTGCGTGTTCAAATCACGTCGGGGTCATACTCTTTTAGTGCAATTCATTGTATGCTTTTATAGCAGATCGTTTGTTTCATTTTTTCTGAATGTTCTCATACACTTGACTAACAGCCCTAGAACATGTTATACTACTCTTAACCCTTTCCTGCCCAAAATTATTTGATGAATTCAGATATATGTCATCACAATAACCATCGAGGCATTATGATTCAAAGTAATTGCAATAAAAAAGGAAATGGGATGGATTCATTTTAATTAAATACCAAAATTACATTTACATCAAGAATATCTAGAAGATAAGCCTTTGTGACAATCAAATTAAAACATTAGTGACAAAACCATACTAATTTATTTGGTTGGACAGGAAAGGGGTAAGTATATAGCATTACACTGAACACTAATACAAAACTGTTTAAGACCCAAATAAGGACTTTTGCATTGTTATTACACAGCTTTCAGTGACACCTTTATTTTATGAAATATACAACTGTCATGAACATGATTGTATGTAAAATCTGTAGCATATTCTGATTGCTCATAATTAGCATTTTATATACGTGGTCCAAAAAATGGGACAATCGTATTTCAAAAATAAATATATGGTTTTTTTCTTTAGGAAAACATGTCATATTATATACCGGTGGATAGGGAATTTACTCATCTTAATTTGGTATATCATAAGTTCAAATTTATTATGATGTCTCTCATCCAGCGTCCATAATGTAAATGACGTCATTTTCGTTTCAAAACGGGTTTTCAAAAACTTTGGCTTAAACTGGTCAATTAGCATCATTGATATGCTGTTGAGACAATGATTTTCACTTCTCAACAATTCTGTCCTTAAGGGACAGAATAGATATAAAGGATTTATGGTACACCAATTCCGTTAGTTCTCCCCATACATGGTAGTCGGAAATGTTGGGTGATCGGGTGTTATGAGGAGGCAGAGATCAAGGGGATGAATCTAACCACATTATCTTTTAAACATTTGATACTTTTGTGGGATCTATCTTGTTGGAAAATGTAATGATTTGAAAAAGAAAAACAACATAATTGGACCATCCGATGCCAAAGTCTGCGACTACCACGTATTGGGAGAATTAACAGAATCGGTGTACCAAGAACACCTTACATCTATTAAGTTCCTTAAGGACAGGGTTGTTGAGAGGTGGAATTCATTGTGTCAGACGTTATAACGACATATCGTCCAGTTTTCGAATATCGCCATTTTCTTGGAGCCGTTTGTTATAATTGTAGACGA